TACATCGAGGCTCGACTATGCAAACTCACTGCTTGTCAGCCTCCCCAACTCCTCCCTCCACAGGCTGCAGATCATCCAGAACTCTGCAGCCCGTGTCCTCTCCCACACTAGGCTCCGCAACCCTCATCACACCCATCCTCGCCCAACTCCACTGGCTTCCAATCACATAGAGGACACAGTTCAAGATCCTGGTCCTCACCTTCAAAGCCCTCCACGGTCTTGCTCCCCCCTACCTCTCTGATCACCTAAACCCTTACTACCCTGTTCGCTCCCTCTGCTCAGCGGGCTCCGGCCTGCTCCATGCACCCCGCCCTGCTCGCCCCACTATCAGCAGGCGGGCCTTCTGCCACTCTACACCCACCCTCTAGAACTCCATCCCGCAGTCCCTCTGGCTTGCCCCCTGCCTCGCCACCTTCAAGACCCACCTCAAGACCCTCCTCTTCGACCGTACTTTCGATCTCCCTGCTTCCGCCCCCCCCCCCCCCACAACCCTCAGCTTGGGTCCGTAACTCTGTCTGTCCAGCGCCTTGGAACGTCCTCCCGACGTGAAAGGCGGGCGCTATACAAATTTAATTTTGCTGCTGTTGTTGATCGTTTCCCGCACCCTGTAAATGTGCTAGTTTCTGTTACTAGCTTATTAATAGACAACTCTCTCCTGCTCATTTGCCTGTAATTTTATAACTTGCCTGATTATAATCACTGAACGAGCAACGTTTCCTCTGATATAGGCATACTCAAATACAGTAAAAATGATTTAGGTCCTTTGGGCTGCTGAATTCCAAGATGTTGTAAAATGTACTACATTTTGCTGACTAAATTTCATGCACAGAAAAATCAGTACTCCTACAAACCCTTTCATAGATAGAAAACCGCAGTTTTCACTGAACCATGGTGCAATTTTACAAAGTTCTGCTTCAAAAGTAAATAAGGGTAACCAACTAATGGGCATAAAAACTGTCTTCAGTATCTCCCACCATCAACATTAGTTAGTAATCAGTTGAGTGGCAATATATTCCAGGTGAGACATCTGGCAACAAGTAATAATAAAATATTGCCTTGAGCTCCCAATCCATTTTGTTATACGAGCCTCAGGAGTGTTCCACTATAATAACCTCAGGTTCACACTATAGTACAAAAGAAGCAACAGATATGAAACAATTTCCAAATGAGCTAAGAGCATGAGGGAACAATAAACAATTGTTATGGGTATCTTCAACTCACCAGTGACAAATTTGGTAATAACAGGATAGGAGTAAAAGGAATAATATATTAACACACTTGGGCGGTGCAATTTGGAGGTCAATCAAACCGTTGGTGGCATTGGATCCTAATGAAGTCCGCTTGTTTTGATAGCAACTATGACTGGCATTGTTGTTTCTTCCACAATTACAATACAATTCTGGGTATTACTGAGTCTCAATAATGAATTTCCGTTGTAAATTACCTACATTATCTATATCATAGCATCCTCAATACCTATTTACTGAAAGCAATGTGGGGGGGGGGGGGGGGAGCTCATTCCACCACACATATGTATAGGTGTATGAAACAAGAAGATATTCTTTCAAAACTTCGGTCTTATATAATAAGTCAGAATTGTTACCACATTAAACTTAAATGTGCAGCATTAACAGACTACAACACGAGCAGAAGTGAGAAATCATAAAACTCTCCACTCATAACATTTTTCAAGTGGGAGTTATTAAGTCATGCTCACTTATGGAAATACTCTTCCTGTCAATACATGCCACAGCAGGTCTCAATGTCTGCAAGGAAGGATAATAAAATAACAATTAACAAATGCATTTCTACGGATCTGTGAGCCATTTGTCAAGCTACGCTTATCAATTTCCTACACAAAAATGTACAAAACAGCACCACGTAAGAATGACTGACAAGGCAAAATAAAAATAACCATTGCAAGCAGATTTGAAATTGAGGATAACACAATAGCTTAGAACCTCTTCTAAAATATCAGCATGGTTCAGTCAGTAGCACTATTGCCTCTGAGTTGGAAGGTTGTGGATTCAAGCCAGATGTTTGGACTTTTAGGTCATAGTCAAGGCCGATATTCCAGTGCACTGGGGTGGGAGGGGAGGGGTCCATTTTTGGAGTTGCTATTCTTTGGATGAGATGTTAAAACCAAGATCCCCTCTACTTTCCAGGTGTCCTCCCAACATGAAAAGCACTGTATAAATGCAAGTAGTAGTTACTGTTGTTGAATATTACAGATCCCAAAGCACAACTCAAACGAGAAGGGAGCTTCTTCCTTCTGGCCAATAAGGTGAAATTGATAATTCACTTCTTGGCTGTTTGTGGGACACTGCTGTGTGCATATTTGGTTCCAAATTTGCATTCAAATTACCATCATTGAAACCTACAATATATCCTGTGAAGCGCTATGAGACTTTTCAACATAACGTGCTTTCACCACCGCCTCCAACTTCCTGGCTGACAAAAAAGATGCTATAATCAAATGTAAGGACTATTAAAGATATTATTTACAATATTCTCCTGGACAAGCTGGTCCATGACCATATACCAAAAGATGGATTGGTTTCCGCAAAAGTACTGTTTGAACAATAAATAAATCCTCGATTTTGGAGTTGCAATTGTGGCCATTAACTTTATTAAAAAAAACAATCAGCTAGAAAACAGATCCTGCCGAACCATTTTAGTAAAATTAATGCAATGCATTACTAGAACACAATTGTTTTTAATTGAGCAAATCAAGGCACCGACCACTTAGTGGTGTCAATGAGCCACACAGAAGGAGTTACATCAATCTCAATCAGAGCAGCAGTTGGGAGACTTCAATTGGCTTAAGGATCCACATCACGACCAAAGACAATGTAGAAGTTCCATAACAAACGCCAAATTGGTAGATCAAGGCGATGAGCATCCCAGCTCTTTTCCTCTGTATCCAGAGGAACCCAGGCCAAAAGAGCCCAATCCAAGGGAAATTATTCACACTGGGATCTATATGATTCACAATATATATAATTTGTATATTCTTGAGTTAGTAACAACTCAAGAATATACAAGTTATATATAATCCCACAAAATATACAATCAATTCACTTTAAGGTATATTCTGAAAAGCGCTTTGAGAAGTCTCGAAGACATGATAAGGTGCTATAAAAAATTCAAGTATTATTATTGTTTAAGAATGCACCTCCAGGCACTGGTCTCCACACCTCGGGCGCTGGCAGCATCAGCATCCACGGCTGCCCACTCAACCTCACTAAGCCAGTCAGGAACCCGGGTGCCTTGTTTGACCCTGAACTGTCCTTTCTCCCCTACATCCGTGCCTTGACCGGTACTGCCTACCACCACCTCCGCAACATTGCCAGGCTCCGGCACTGCCTCACCCCTCAGGCTGCCGAAACCCTTACCTATACATTCATCACATCAAGGCTCGATTATGGAAATTCCCTCCTCATCGGCCTTCCCAACTCTTCCCTTCACAAGCTGCAGATCATCCAAAACTCTGCAGCTCATGTACTCTCACGCACCAGGCTCTGTGACCCCATCACGCCCACCTTCGCCCGACTCCACTGGCTCCCCATCCCTCAGAGGATCGAATTCAAGATCCTCATCCTTATTTTCAAGGCTATCCATGGCCTTGCCCCCTCCTACCTCTCTGACCTGCTGACTCCCTACCAACCTGCCCGCTCCCTCCACTCAGCGGGCTCCGCCTGCTCCATGTCTCCCGCCCAATCATCAGTGGCTGAGCTTTCAGCTTCTCTGCCCCCACACTCTGGAACTCCATCCCACAGTCCCTTCACCTCACTTCCTCTCTTGCCCCCTTTAAGGCCGGTCTCAAGACCCTCCTCTTCGATTGTGCCTTCGGTCGTCCTCCCACCTCTCTGCCTTCCCTCACCCCTAACCCACCCTCCCCCATGCTCGGATCCTGACCCCTGACTGTCCAGCGCCTTGAGACGTCCTCCCGACATGAAAGGCACTCTATAAATGTCATTTTGTGTTGTTTTTGCACAAAGCACCTTGGCTGCTCACCTTGGTTCACCAATAAAAAAGGTATTTGAAGAGTTCAACCTTGTTTCTCACATGCAAAATTTCAACATTAATGTGCCATCAACGGCTATCAACTTTTTATTATAGGTTTCACCTATATTAATATTAGACAGCAACAGATTGACAGGGCATTTGAAAATGCTCTATCACACAGACGTTCGTTCCACAAATAATAGCACAAAATAAAACAGCTTTAAATAATAAGTAGTTAAATCCCTAATCTAAATGGAAAGACTATAAAACTAAAACAAAGGCTAATTTATAATATTGGCTTTAGAGAGCAAACAGATCAATTAAGTAGTTAAACTAATGTACTAAATAAACTAAGCACACAATTGATGTGTCAGACATGGGATTAGATGGATGTTTAGCTCATACAGGTATTCAACTAAATTCCTATTGAGAAAGTTTGAACTACAACTCCACAAAAAGTAAAGAAGGATAAAAAGTATTTACTCCGGTCACAAAATTAGCTGTTAGCTTATTAAGGTCAACAGACTCATTGTAGAAAATATGCGGTGGTCGCAAATTTTATTTAAAAACAGGCAATTCTTTTCGGGAAGAGGGAGAAAAGGGGGTATTGTTTCCACACAGAAAAACCTCCCATCTTCTCTAAACATTCAGCATTGCGCGGTGTTTACAAGGCACAAAAGTGACATGGGTGCGGGGGGAGCAGCTCGCGAAATGCTAAAATCAAAACGACCCGAGTTTTGAATGAAGGTACGGATTAAATTAAGTCACTTTTTCCCACCGCTGGCGGCGGGGGGCGCTTCCGGTGAAGATCGCAGGCTCCGTAACAACACGATTGCCAAGTGACAATGTCCAAGTGAAATCGGAGCATTAATGACCGTGTCCTCGAGTACCTGTGTGTGCGATAAGATAAACAGCTCCGAGCTGAGACCCTGAGGAAGTTTTGAGGCTGCGGCAGCTCCCTCCCTCCCTCTCCCTCCCTCTCCCTCACTCACCATATCATAGACATTCAGGATGACCGGCTCGTTGGCCATTCTCTCTCTCTCTCTCCCCGCTCGGCACAGGCTGGGCTCGGCGTTTCCCCGCTCCTCCGGTTATCCAGCTTTATTATCGGGCTCCCCTCACTCTGGCCGCGGCGCCCTCTCTCTCTCTCTCCCCCCCACCCCCGGCCCTGCTCTTTCTTTTCTCCCTCTCTCCCCCGAGCCCCGCGCGCCCTCCGTCTCTCCCCGGGCTCTGCTCCTCTCTCTCCCCCCCTCGACCCGACCCCGCGCCTTCTCTCTCTCTCTCCCCCTCTCTCTTTCTCTCCCGGGCCTTAGTCTTTCTCTCTCGTTCTTTCTTCCCCCCCCGGCCCCGCTGTCTTCCCCCCCGGCCCCGCTCCCTCTCCCCGGCGTCTCCGTCCTCCCCTCACAGCCGCTCTCTTTCTCCTCTCCACGCGCCGCCCCCACCAACCGCCGCCGCTCTAACTGCCGCGCGCTCAGGCACGAGACCCGGCGGCGCCCACCTCACCGGCCGCGCGGACAAAAGGCGGCGGGGGGCGGGGTCACGCCTGTCACTCTTCTCCTCCTCCTCCTCGTCCTCCTCCATTCGCAGCGCCACCTACAGCCCCGCTCCCTGCAATTACACCCTCCACGCCACCCAGGACCCACACTGGGAGCTCAAGCTCAAGATCCCAGGGGTGGTCAGGAAGAAGAAGCTCCACCTGATCTCATCCCCCCAGAAGCATTTTGAGTGAGGGTGTGTGTGTTTTGGGTGGGTCAGGGGGAGTGGGAAGAGTTGCCCGGCGAGTGAGTGTCGTAGCCTAGTGGTTAGAGCACTCGCCTCGCAAGCGGGAGGACCTGGGTTTGATTCCCAGGTAGGGTGAAACATTGAGCAAGTTTCCTTACCCCGCACTCCTCTGTTTACCGACCAGTAAGTAGGAACCCAGTTGTTAGTCAATTGGTGCGTCATTTTTCCAGCGGTAATAATCCCTTCAAAAAANTGAAGGGGGTCACTCAATCCACGACTGTTTGTGGGACACTGTTGCGCGCAATTGACTGCCACGTTTTGCCCAGAAAATACACAGTCACTGCACTTTACAGTATATTCTGTGAAGCGCTTTGAAACGTTTCAATGGTGTGATAAGTTGCTATGTAAAATGCAAGTATTATCATTACCCATCCTCCCTTCAAGCTGCTTTGTTTAAAAAAAGAGTCCAGACTCCTGGCCCCACCGACCCTTCCTGGCAACCTGTCCTGGTCATTAATTACTACCTGGTTAAAGTAAAACTTCCTGGTGTCTGTCCTGAACATGTCAGTTTTGGATAGAAGTGATCACAAGAGAGGTTCAGATGAAGAAGGTGGTTTGGCCCATTTGATCTCCTTTCGGAATAGTTTTGTTGGGCTTGAGAGAGAGGCATTGTTGACAAGGCACACTCAAGACACAGCGTTCCCTGCACCAGCTACATCCAAATGCACACTGTCAACAACAAGACATTACATTTGTATAGTGCCTTTCATGTCGGGAGGACATTAAGTCACAGTACAACAAATACATACAAAGATGTATAGACAAATGAGATGTACCCATTGTATAAACCAAACAATAGACAGGTACCAGTCTGATATCTCATTTAAGTATACCTTGTGAACTGAATAGAAGTGTGGACCTCAGGCCTCATGTATATTATATGGGCACAGTACATTCTTTCAAGGTGGTGCTACACTGGTAAATGTGTGGTTCTGCTTGCTGTGTCATAAGGGGACTGCTCAGGCAGAAAGTAGAGTCAATGCAGAGGAGAACAATTAGATGATTCCCCAATGTTAGAGGAAGTGAGCTGTGAGCTGGGCCAATAGAAAAGAACGGAAATATTTGCCACATTTTTCTATTGGCCTAGGGTATGAGCAAGGGTATGAGAAGATGTATCAGCGGGGGATCTTATAGAGGTGTATAACATTTTGAATGTGATTGAAAAAGTAAATCAAGAACAATACGTTAGGATGCGTCAAGACATAGGTTGAACAAGAGAACAAAGGTTTGGAGTCACAAAGGGCAATTTTAGCATACACACCAGGAAGTTTGTCTTTACCCAAAGGGCAATTAACGACTAGTACAGGTTGCTAGGAAGGGTGGTTCATGGAGATAGAACTTATTTAAAAAGCAGCTTGATTCTATGATGGGAGGGTGATAGGATGGGTGTTCTGAAAGAATGAGATTAAATGGACCAAAGGGCCATCTTTATCCAAATTGATCTCATGATGTTGTGGTATCTTCTATATATCAAAGCTCTTTTGCATCATGCACTCTGATGTTACTCATTGGAGCAGTTATTCTGCTCCATGCAGCAAATTCACTGCTGCGCTATTCTCCTCTTTTCAGTAAAATTACTGAGTTTGTTCCTGTACGTTTACAGGCTTTGGGATTTGCTCCTGACATGAAAGGTGCTATTCAAATGTAATGTAATTTTATGTTGTTTATAAATCTCTATACTGCAAAATCAATTTACAGCATTATGTCATAAATATAAAATTAAATGATTTATACAATTATGTTTCAGTCATTTCTAAGTTCTTGGGGACAAATTTGCAAAATTTATTGAATGGTACAGAAATCAGTTTAGCCCATATCAGTGATTATGCTACTTTTATTTTGGTTAGCCAAGTGTCTGTCACATGCAGAAACTCATCACCATATTTATGAGAATCAGACCATACTAAGAATTCCATGTATGCCACCCATACATGGAAATTCGTATGTCTGGAATGGAATGCACACTCTCTAGAGGGATGTACCCTGCTTATCTAATTTCAGGGAGTAATAATAATAAATAATAATAATAATCCTTGCATTTTGATATAGCGCTTTTCACATCGGGAGGACGTCCCAAAGCGCTTCACAGAATATACTGTAAAGTAAATTGACTGTATATTTGTGGGCGAACGCGGCAGCCAATTGCGCACAGCAATGTCCCACAAACAGTCGTAGATTGAAAATGACCAATTTATTATTGTTTTTGTTTTGGAGGGATTATTATTAGGCTCTGTGTGGAGTAAGGAAACTTGCCCAAGGTTTCGCCCTCTGCCTGGAATTGAACTCGGGTCTCTCGCTTGCAAAGCGAGTGCTCTAACCACTGAGCTACAGGACTCCACAATATTAAGCAAGGTTAGCAAAAACTAAGCCTGGCAAAAGCCATGGCTGGCAAAGGCCATGACTGGCAAAAACCAAGGCTTGAGGACTCCCGAGCATATGTTGGGGAACTACTGAAGTCTAACCAGCTAAAACTGCATAGCTTGCCATTGATAGCAATGTCTGGCAAGTTTCCTGCTGCTTCTTCAGCTAGGAGCACCCTTCCTGTTGGGGCTTTGGCTTGCAGAGTTAACAGGAGCTGATTGAGATGACTGGTCTGCCTTCCAGTCCTGCTGGTGAGCCAGGCTGGCTTTGGAGTCATCAGCTGTGCCCTGGTGTACTGCGGTCTCGCTTACCTCAGAAACTGGACTACCAAGACTGATACAGTAGATTGACTTGATTCTGACATTCTGTTGTCCTTGCATTTAAAACATTGACAAACCTCTGCTCTTCTACTGGTTAGTTGTATTATTACATCTCCTATTTTATGCTCCACATATTTTATGTTAAAAAAATTGCTATCAAAAAGCAAGGCTTAGTTTGAATAATTAAATTTTTTTCACCAATGAATACTATCTTTCTCTTGAATACGTTAAAACTCAAAATGGAAAAGGTTGATCAGGACTGGGAATCCTCTCTGAGTTTTCCTTCTTAACGTAGGGGCCCCAATTACAGCCTAATTGTAGCATCAAGTGCAGCTAACAAAATAGAATGAGATTTAAACCTGTAACTCTATCTGGTCCATATGGCCGAGTACTACCTAAAACCTTAGCCACAGGGTCATCTGGAAAGCTACGCTTTCTTATTTAGTGATTGAAAACTATTGATTTTGTTCGGGCAAACCAGAAGATGTGTCTACATGCTGAGGTCCTCTGCTGGTCATTATGTGGCATGTCAATACCAAATGTTGGGAAAGTAGTTTCAGAATTCCATCTGATGTGAAAGGTGTGACATAAATTATATTGTATTGGTAGGGCTCAGGTAGAAAAATAATGTGGTTTCATGAGCAGTCTCCAGGCTGTGACCAAAGGGCAAAATGACCTAAAATGTGGAGTCCTGTAGCTCAGTGGTTAGAGCACTCGCCTCACAAGCAAGAGACCTGGGTTCGATTCCCGGAAGGGCAAAACCTTGGGCCAGTTTCCTTACTCCACGCGTCTGATAATAATCCCTCAAGAAAAACAATAATAATTTGGTCACTTCAATCCATGACTGTTTGTGGGACATTGCTGTGCACAATTGACTGCTGCGTTTCGCCCACAAAAATGCAGTCAATTCACTGTATAGCATATTCTATGAAGCGCTTTGAGACATCTAGAAGACGTTCAAGGATAATTCAAGGATTATTATTATTAAAATGCTCCCTCTTCAGTGTGTTCACAGATGATAGCATTAATTATGTTTATGCAGAACTCTTATCTCTTGCTAACTATAACAATTGTCATTATCTGTAACTATGTAATTTTTTTATCATGAAGGCTATCATGAAGGTATAATAATAACACGAATAATCCTTGCATTTGATATAGTGCCTTATCACATCTTCGAGATGTCTCAAAGCACTTCACAGAATATACTGTAAAGTGAATTGACTGTATATTTTGTGGGCGAAACGTCGTAGCCAATTGTGCACCGTAGTGTCCCTTAAACAGTTGTGAATTGAGTGACTAATTTATTATTCTTATAATTCTTTTGTATCCATTGTTCTCAGCGTGCTTCACCTTATTCAAGGCAGTTTGTAGATTTTTTTATGTTTTCCCTCAAGAGCAATCCTTTCAGTCCCATTTACCTGTCCTTTCCAGTTACTCCTGTAGCTGACTTTTCATTAAAGTCAATACATTAACAAATGCTTACAAAAGTAGTAGGGAAACAGTACTTATTGTTTCCTTCTTATTAATGCTTTTATCTTCTCAACATAAATTATCATTTTTTTCAGTTCTTCTACTAAGATTGTATAAGTTAGTATAATTTGTCACTGCTCCCTCCCCCCACACCCTTTTTTACTCATGCTGAGAAACAATTAACAGGACTGGTGCTCCCGGTACTTTTCATGTGTGAGCCTAGACAGTGAATGTAAACAGGATACTGACATGACAGTCAGATGTGATCCTTTCCTCATGAGATGGTCATGAGATGATTACACACTTACTAACTTGTGTCATGGAATAGCATGATCAGCAGAAAAAGAGTGCTCCAAGACAGTACCCCACATGGAGAGCGCTGTATAAATGCATAAGCTGTTGTTGTTGAGGGTCTCATTCTTCCTTTCCAGCCCATTCAAGCCCTTGAATGATCATATGGCCTTCCCTGGCTGACAGCACTTTGATTCTACAATCAAAAAATGAACATGCCAGTAATCATGGAGGTATCATGTACATAAATGCAGATTTATTTATTTGTTTATGAATGGTATAGATGGTTCCTTTACTCCACCATGGTATTTCAGTGCTCCTACCACCATTACCATGGTCACCACAGAGGTTCCTAGAATGATCCATGGGAATCTTCTGCTGCAAAATGTCCTTGCCTAGGGAGGTAATAGTTGAGATTTCTTTGTATGTTTCTGTCTTGAACAAACACAAGTGTAATTCATAGATCAATGGTTACACACATAAACCTATTAAACATTAATGTAGAACGTCAATGCAGTTAACAGTTTCAGGTAGGCGTAGCCCTCCCTTTGAAGGGAAATTAACTAGATTGTATTGGAAAATTGAGGATGGAAACAATAAATAAGGTTTGCTCTGTGTGCCAAAATTGTCATCAAAAAAAAAATTGACAAGCTGGTCAGAACATCAATGGTTCCGGAATCAAGGATGGAAGCTGAAGGTAGAGTTTGCTGTCACTTGGTGGAAATCTATATGTAATAAATAGGAGTAGTTCAAACATAGAGCTCTGCAGTACATCACAGCTGAGCATACATCTGCTTCCATGACAGTTTATGAGAACAAAAGATGACAATAAGATGTGGGCCACATTGGTTCAAAACATAAAGAACAAAATCCAATGACCTTCGAAGATTTAGAACGCACTGATGTAATCCGGTTGCTGGACTCAATGTCGTGGAAGGTGCATTACCACCAATCTGAAAAATATCAAAACATTTTTGCAAAAATATCACACAGAATATGGATGCACAGTACAAAGGAGGCAATAGAATCATTTTACACTTCATAATTTGCTTTCTCTTCCTCACCTTCGGCCCTTTTCATATACCATACTTTGCCTCAGTCAATGCAAGTTGTAAAGCGACAAATAATAATAATAATAATCCTTACATTTGGTATAGTGCCTTTCATGTTGGGAGGATGTCCGAAAACGCTTCACAGAATAAACTGTAAAGTTGAGTATCTGAATTTTTGTGGGCAAACGTGGCAGACAATTTGTGCACAAATGTAGCTCTCAGTGACATGATCTGCATTTTTTCCTTTTTGCCAATGGGAAAGGACTTTGCCCCAGCTTCAGGAAGGACATCCTAAATTACCTGCTACTTTTGCTTTAGACTTACTTTTTATGAGTTTATTTATTTGTTTTAGTAAGCTTTAGGCTTACTCGCTCTGACTGGCATTTGTTCCATAGGTGCTTTGCTGATTGTAAAAGTATGTTGAACAGTTCCTTACCTTCCTCTCAATTTGTAATATAAGCACATCATTCTTAATGTTCTTGAACACCTGTGCTGCCTTGTCATGCTGTATATTAACAAGTGAAACTCCACCAGCCTAAAGACAGGAAATCAAAATAGATACTATTGGGTAGCACTGTTTAAAAGTAAGCTTGCCTCGATTTGATAAAAAATCATTGATATTGATAGTCCATATTTTTCCTGATGTTCCGTAATCCGATCCAAATTACATTTTCATCGATAGAAAATCATTTTTTTTACAATGTCGTCAGGTGAAGAATTGAGAAAAAAAAAGAATGGAAATGTGGCTGGAGCATTAGAAACGGAGTATAGTGAGATCAAAGGTGAGTAAAGGGAATATGGGACTAAAAGCATGTGCTTGTAGTGAGTGACTCACGGGCATCTGAAATGTGTGCTCTTACTGAGGCAGTGGTGATTGAGTGACTGTGAGTGAATTTTGGCTTACAAGACCAACGATGTCCCAACAAAAACGTATACTAAGATTGCTGATTCTGAGAAGGATCCCATGAAGGGTGAGCCATTGAGCCAGGTGATAGAGCCATGATGGTCCAATAAAAATATGAGCTTGTGTTAATTCAGAGGATCAGGAATGGGTGTGCAAGTGATTTAGTGGAGGAGCTGATTTAGTGGTGTCCGCCATCAGTGCAAGACACAAGAGAGTCCTACTTTACTGGAGGAACAAAGAGCGTCCTTTGCAATTACAGTCAGTAGAGGAGCCCAGAGTATCTTTTCCAGGTCAGTGTAAACTCCCTCTTTGGTTATTTTGCTCATGAGTCACAGAAGAAAATCCCCAGAGGGTGTTTGCAGAGAATAGCCTGAGCTTGAAATTAAAACAATAAAAACATCTTGAAAGAGAGAGGAAGAGAAAGCAATTCCAGAGATGACAGATTCAGGGTGTGACAATATTTCCTTGCACAGAGGATAATCAATAAGGAAGCGTGGTTGAGGCCAGGATGCTGAACTCATTTAAGAAACAACTTCACTGTATACTGGGAAGACAGTAGGGTGGGTAATCTGGAAGGATGAGATCAAATGGACTGAAGGACTTCTTCATTCTGAACCTTTTTTGTGAATTATAATTATCCTTGCATTTGATATAACGACTTATCACGTCTTCGAGACGTCTCAAAACACTTCACAGAATATATTGTAATGTGAGTTGGCTATATATTTTGTGAGTAAAATGTGGCAGCCAATTGTGCACAGCAGTGTCTCACAAACAGTCATGAAATGAGTGACCAAATTGTTTTTAGGGGATTATTTTCCCCGGAAAAGCGATCTGCCAATCGACTAACAACTGGGTTCCTACTTATTGCTAGGTGAATAGAGGCATGTGGAGTAAGGAAACTTGCCCAATGTTTCACCCTGCCGGGAATCAAAGCCAGGTCCTCTCGCTTGCAAGGTGAGTGCTCTAACCACTAAGCTACAGGACCTCCATGAAGTGAAGTACAGTTCCTAAATATTTTTTTCAGAACAGTCGTCCTTACTTGTAAGATCTTGTCACCCTCTTTCAGTCTTCCATCAATAGCTGCAGATTCTTTTTCTCTTATTTTAGCCACATAGATTGCATTGTCTCCAGGATAACAAGGATTGTCTACTCCTCCCAAGATGTTAAATCCAAACCCTGTGAATTAATATCAAATCATAAAGGAAATCAAATGAAACTGAATACTATAGTAACATTTAGTACCATTTTGTATTACCAAATATTGTTTCCGCTAAATCGTCTTTCTACTCCAAGACAATCTTAGAGGCCAAGGACAACCCCAGGCTTTTCTTCATCACCAACCGGCTCCTCCACCCAACATCTCAAGCCTCTCCCATCCTCTCCTCCAACACTAACTGCGAGGAGATGCTGGACTTCCTCAAAACCAAAGCCATGGGGATCCGCTCAGCTGCCTCTGCCCTTCCGACTACTTCCCCTTCCCCATCTCCCCTTCACATCCTGGCCCCTACCCATCCATCCCTCGAGCCTGTCTCCCCCTCCTCTCTCACCACCACTAAAACCCACATGAAATCAACCACCTGCTACCTCAACCCCATCCCTACCCTCTCCTTATCTTTCACCTCCACCTCCTTACACCCCTACTCTCAAACATTATAAACTTCTCCCTGTCCACTGGCACCACTCACACACCTTTAAAAAATGGCCGTCATCACTCCTAACTCCTATCCTCTAAAAACTCTCCCTGGACCTATCCCTGCTCTCAAATTACTGCCCCATCTCCAACCTCACTTTCCTCTCCAAGGTTCTGGAATGAGTTGTTGCTTCTCAGCTGTGCTCCTTTCTCTCCCGCTACTCCCTTCACAAACCCCGTCAACCTGGTTTCCGTGCCATCCACAGCACATAAAAACAGCTTTGGTCAAAGTGACAAATGACATTTTGCCCATCTGGGACGAGGGTTCCCTCTGCCTCCTTATCCTCCTTGACCTCTCTGCTGCCTTTGATATCATTGACCACTCTATCCTCTTCCACTGCCTCGCCTCTCACCTCAATCTTTATTGTTTTTCCTTGAATGGTTCAGATCCTACCTCTCACACTGTCTCCAAATCATCTCCACAAACAGTTTTTCTTCTAGCCCCTGCACCGTCTCGTGTGGAGTTCCTCAGGGCTCTGTCCTTAGTGCCCTCCTCTTCAATATCTATATGCTCCCTCTTGGTGAAATCATCTGCAGACATGGGGTCAACTGTACCTCTCTACCTCTCAGATGTCTACCTGTCTACCTGTCAGACATCAAGTCCTGGATGAGAGCTAGCTTTCTACAGTTGAACATCAACAAGACCGAGGCTTTCCTGATTAGCTCCCATCAGCGCCTACACACCTCAGGCACTGACAGCATCACCATCCGTGGTTGCACACTCCACCTCACTGAGCCAGTCCGGAACTTTTGCATCTTGTTTGACTCTCAACTATCCTTTCTACCCCACACCTGTGCCATGACCCACTCTGCCTTCCCCCACCCCCGCAACATCACCCGGCTCCGCCATTGATATGTCTCTTTAAGATATGTCACACAGCAGGATAAGAGGCCTTATGTGGGGTTGCGAAGGGCAATATTAAGACAGACACTAGGCACAGTGATGGGAATGCAGAAGGGCGAGTAATCTGGAGGGATGAGATCAAATGGCCTGAAGGTTCTTTATTACGGTATGTAACTGCCTTGTTGCAGAGGAGACTATTATTATGTTAGTCATTTCCTCCTATCTTCTATACTAATAAAGACAAAATGTCTGTCTATGTATCTGTGTATCCGACAATCACGCAATAAGCAATTAACGCAGACACATGATTTTTACCTCATCGGAAAGGTCTTGCATCTGGCAGTGTCATTGGCTATTGTTGATGAGCTATATTAAAAAATGCTTTAATGAAGCCCCAAAATATGAGGTATGCATCGTACTCTGCAACTATGTAGTGACAGAGGAAAGCACACACCGTTCAGAGATACATCTATGTTCTGCAACAAATGTATGGCACTTTTTTCTGTTTGTCATAGGAGCTAGATTCCTCCCATGTAGGACAGACAGAGAGAGAGAGACTGAGAGAGACAAACTGAGATAGTGAGAGAGACTGAGAGAGACAGATAGAGAGGATGAGATAATGAGAGAGACAGAGAAAGACTGGAAGAGTGAGACTGATAGGAACTGTGAGATAAATTATATTAAAGGAGTGCTCTCACTGAGTCCTCCCAGTTGAGTATAGATGAAGATGAAATGTCTGTCTGTCTATGTGTCATTCTACATTCCACATTGAATCCTTTGATTGCAAGCGAAGCTGCAACGGGTACAGCTGGTACGTTATAAGAACATAAGAGTATATGGACATGAGTACTTTTGACGATAAAATGTAGTCAATTCACTTTACAGTATATTCTGTGAAGTGCTTTGAGGCTTCGTGACCACATCACTCCCACCCTCGCTCGCCTCCACTGGCTCCCCATCCCCCAGAGGATCGAATTCAAGATCCTCATCCTCACCTACAAGGCCATTCACGGCCTTGCTCCCTCCTACCTCTCTGACCTACTATCCCCCTACCTGCCCGTACCCTCCGTTCCTCTGGCTCCGGTCTGCTCTACATCCCCCGCCCCAACCGCCCTACCATCGGTGGCCGGGCCTTCAGCCTCTCAGCCCGAGGCTCTGGAACTCTATCCCCCAGTGCCTTCGCCGCCTCCTCCCTTTCCTCCTTCAAGGCCGGTCTCAAAACCTTTCTCTTTGACCGAGCCTTCAGCTCCCCTCTCGACTCTCTACCCCCTCCTCGCTCCCTCCCTTCCCTCCCCTCACCCTGACCATTTCCCCCCCGCTCGGGTCCTGACCCAACTGTACAACGCCTTGGGACGTCCTCCCGACGTGAAAGGCGCTCTATAAATGGAATCTTGTTGTTGTTGTTGTTGTTGTCTTGAAGAAGTGGTAAGGCGCTATATCAAAAAGCAAGGATTATTATTATTATTAGACAATTCATCTTGTTGAGCCAGTTCCACCATGTTATCAGATTATGACTAATCTGCAATTTAATACAATTTTTCTGCCCTTTCACCATATCACATAGCATCACTGCCTACCAATATTCATATAGCTCCTTATATATATATATCAATTCACGTGAAATCTACAAGCTTTTTTGGGGGGGGTTGTGAACTCCACATTTCCCAATCTTTTATATGAAAAAAAAGCTTTCTGATTTCATTCTTAATTGCTTAGCTCTTATTAAGCTTTCTAGATGAATTAGGCTTCCATACATTGTACTTCAAGGTGTCAAAACAGTGGGATTGACTTAATCGCTCAGTTATTAAACGCGTTTTGTTTAAACTGCGAGTATTATCACACGTTCTCCATGTTATGGGTTGGACCTGATCAGGGAAACTTCTTCTGTCATCGCTGCTCGAGCTCCATCTACATGGACGGTGGCACTGACCTGTCCCTCCTCGTTTCAATGTGATGGTGTGGTGTTGAGTTGCTGGACTGGACATGTCTTTTGAGTGTCCCTCCCCAGATCCCTGTGACTGCACTCAGCCCTGGGCTGGGGCTGGGGCTGGGGCTGCTCACACACACCACCACACACCACACACATTGTTACGTCTCTTCTTATCTGATACCAGACTACACACACAACACACACACAACACAGCAGCACAAGTCACTCACCCCAGAGCCTGGGAAGTCTTTCACAAGAACAGAAGGGTTTTTTTTTTTTTGGGTGGGGGGGAAACTGTCAAAAATAAACTTGAAAGAGTTTCAGATCCTATTTGGAGTTTGGGGCTGGAATTGCCAGACTGACCTGAGCTGACTTTGTGGATTCCCAGAGAATCACTCTTCAATCAGAGGGTGACTTTGCTTTATTTAGCTTAAGGTTCATGAAGCTCTCGCTTGGGTTGTTCTGTCATAGGAGCTGAATTCCTCCCATGTAGGACAGGCAGAGAGACAGAGAAAGACTGGGAGAGAGAGACTGATAGGAACTGTGAGATAAAATATGTTAAAGGAGTCCTTTAACAACTTGCATACACAGGCAGATATATATATATACATTCATATTCAGTGTGTTTTTTGCGCATCCACAAACATTAAAAGTTTATTATCCAATTCAACTTTATTATTCAGTCATCCGTGTTGCATATTTATATTATATCGGAACAAATTTACAATTCAATTCTGTAATTTCCCCCACAAAATATACCCGTGTGTATTTACAGTATATTCTGAGACATCTCAAATAAATATATTTACAGTATATTCTGTGAACAACAACAAGATTCCATTTATAGAGCGCCTTTCACGTTGGGAGGACGTCCCAAGGCGCTGGACAATTGGGTCGGGACCCGAGCATCAGGGGGGGAAATGGTCAGGGTGAGGGGAGGGAAGGAGCGAGGAGGGGGTAGAGAATCGAGAGGGGAGCTAAAGGCACGGTCCAAGAGAAAAAGAAGCACTTTGAAACATCTTGAAGACGTGATAAGGCGCTATATCAAATGCAAGGATTATTATTATTAAAAATATGTAAAATTTGTGCATATAATCCTTTTAAATTAGATTGTATGTATTTTGTTAGGTTGAGAAATTGAAATAAAATGCATTCTTTAATTTGAATCTGTCTGGGTAAATTAAGGTAGACAGCTGTTTGTGGGACATTGCTGGATGCCAACTGACTGCTGCATTTGCTTACAAAATAGTCACTACACTTTGCAGTAAATTCTGTGAAGCACTTTGTGACACCATCCCAACGTAAAAGACTCTATATTAAATGCAAAGATTATTTTAGAATCATTGAAAGTTTAGGGCTGAGGTTTGTGTTGGTGCTAACTGCCTCACTGAGCTACCTCCTCCAATTCCATTCCGCTGTTCATTCTTGTAACTTTTAATATTACTTTTTCCTCAAGTATTTATTCCAATTCCATAGAACCATAGAAATCCACAGCTAGAAGAGGTGCCAGGTCCCTCATAAGCAATCCTTTCACTCCCATTTCTCCATACTCCGATAGCTGACTCTTTATAAGACATCTGTCTTGTTCGCTCTTGAAGGCCAATAAGGATTTTACCTCAAATACCACTGCCCTTGTGGAGATTTCCATTTCCTAACTATTCTGTACAAGAAAAAATTCTCCCAATGTCCCCATTTGCTCATTTACTGTCAAATTGATGCCCATTTAATGATGTGCAGGAACATCAGCCAGTACACTTGGAGAACTCCACTTCCCTTCTTAGAAAGCGATTCATGTTTCCTGAACTGCAGACACCACAAGACAGGATGTTGCATAATTGTCACTTGTTACTGAATGAGAGAAACTTTCTTATGGAAACCACTATGCAAGAAATATAAATTCAAAATTACAACTTATTCAATACTAATTGTACACGTGCAGCTTCGCTTGCAACCATTATGGAATGTAGATTGACACACAAACAGACATTTCGTCTTTATCTATACTTAGCTGGGAGGACTACTTTAATATATTTTCTTTCAGTCTCTCAAGTCTTTTAGTCTCTCTCTCCCAATCTCTCTCGCTCAATCATTCGCTCCCTGTGTCTGTGTTTCTGTCTCTCCCACAAAACACTCATTTCACTTTATAATATATTCTCTCCCAGTCTCTCATTCTCTTGCTCAGTCTCTCTCTCTCTCTGTCTTTCTCATTATCTCAGTCTCTCTCTCTCTGTCTATCCCACATGGGAGGACTCTAACTCCCATGACATCCATAAAAAAATGCCATACATTTGTTGCAGAATATAGACGTATGTCTCTGAATGGTGTGTGCTTTCCTCTATCGCTACGTAGTGCAGAATATGATGCATACCTCATATTTTGGGGCTTAATTTTTAATATAGCTCATCAACGATAGGAGATCCCCCCCAAAAAAAAAATGCCGATGAGACTGCCAGATGCAAGACCTTTCTGACAAGGTATAAATCATGTCTCTATGTCAATCAGTTATTGAATGATTGACGGATACATAAGACAGACATGTCTTTATTAGTAAAGGTTATTCTTTAATATTATTTTTTAAATGAATAATAATTTGCAAAACTGGCATTTTTCCCAACACCAATAGAGATACTGTGAGAGTAGGAAATCCGTAGGAAATCCATATGAAATATATTGTGCAGGCAATTTACTTTTCTTCATTATGCCAATTTGATTGTCATATGGCACAGCACCCACAGGAGTGACTCTAAATTTACAACCATAAACTACATTCCAGTGATACTATCTCAAAGGAGTCACTTGGTGTGATGTAGACTTGAAATCCTGTCATTGCTTTATTACCTCCGAGATACATTTCACAATCCCTCGTCTTCCTGAATACTTTACACATTATCTTCTCTCAGGATCTTCTATACACTGGGAAGAGTCTATAATAGTACAAGGTCCATTGGATGGAACAGGATTAATGAGCCAAATGACCCGTATTTCATCCCATGTTTCCTTATGTAAATCCCCTTCCTGCTTAGGTTTGCCATTCAAGGCTTTGGAAGAAGAACGCAGCACACCATTGCACCATCCATCCAGTGAGAATGGCAGATAATGCAAACTTCCTGCTACTGTTCAGAACAACTGTAAGAGAACATAGACAGCATTAGATATTGTCAGGTGTAAGGACTTCAACAAAGAAACAAAAGATCACCCAATGGGCTTGTGAGTAAAAGCACTAGTTCCAGCATTAAGCCACAGGCTGTAAAGTCTCAGGTTTATTCTGAGTAAACTGATCCCAGTTGAGGTGTTACAATTGCCTTCAGTGGCCCTGCACTTAGGGAAAGCAAAATCAACCAAAGTTCTTGCTGCTGCAACCCTTACTAAAAGCTACATATGAGTAGTCGAATAAGGGCAAGATTGAGCTTGGCAGTGATACCCCTGTGGGAAAGGAGCCTGCTGACACTTCTCATGCATAAAGAATACTGACGACTTGGCAAGGTCCTGGAGGGTGTCTGGTGCTTGTGGGACAGTATGCCAGTAGACAGCAAAAAAGAAGCAGCCACTTTAGGATGAGAAGAGAAAAATTGGCAGAACAAAAAAAAATGGACAGAAATACAGTCGCATCATAATTATAATAATAATCCTTGCATTTGATATAGCGCTTTTCACGTCGGGAGGACGTCCCAAAGCGCTTCACAGAACACACTGTAAAGTGAATTGACTGTATATTTGTGGGCGAACGCGGCAGCCAATTGCGCACAGCAATGTCCCACAAACAGTCGTAGATTGAAAATGACCAATTTATTATTGTTTTGTTTTGGAGGGATTATTATTAGGCTCTGTGTGGAGTAAGGAAACTTAATCATTACTTTTCCTGGAGGTTCAGAGACAAACTACTAAGCTGAGTGCGAAGAATCTCCACTCCCAGTGTGCCCCCCAAGACCTGGTGGCAAGCCAGGCTTTCTGGTCTGTCATCATCAGTGCCCTGGAGTACTACGGACCTGCTTGGCTCAGGAACCGGACTATTGAGACCACCAAAGAGGATTAACTCAATTTATACATTCTGCAAGCACAGCTCCAGGGAGACTCATTTACGTCTTTCACTTCCCCTCCCCCCCAGGAGGTGGATAGTCATGATTTGGTTAACAAAAGCTTAATGAATTTTGACTGCATAATATCAAGTTATTTTTACCATTACAAAGTCACCACATTTCATTCACAGAACAGGATTGACAAAGGCCAGATTTTGTTTTCATGTTCACGCAAAGTCAATCTGATATGGTAAGAACGTTACCTCTGACAGCTTGAGAGTTTGAAATAAGCACAAAGAATTCAATGAGGTTGATGTACAGAGGGGAGTAGTCATGTTCCCAGATCACAGCTGGGATCACAAGTAGTTTCCCATAGCCAGACAGCAGTAAGGCTGTCAGCATTGTGTGGAGGTTTGTCTTTTTCCGGATTAAATCTTTTTTCGTTAACCACAGGAAGAAAAACACCCCACTAAGGAATGCTGCTAGTTCTAGAAAAAGAAAATAATAGTAAGAGTATATATTGTATCTCCACATTGTATAACAAGCATATTTCTTAACACTTCCATTTACTAAATGTTATTGAACTTTGGGTTTGTCTGAATCACTTTAATAAAAAAACGTTTTTGTTATGTGAAAACATCTGAAATGCTGAAAAGATCCAACACCAGGTTTAGAATTGGTGCATTTGCTGCTTAGTGCAAAACTCAAAACTCTGAGGGTGCATGTTAGTGTTATTAAACAACTTACAGTTATATAGTGCCTTTCATGTTGGGGAATGTCTCAAAACACTTCCTACAGCTTAATGAGATCAAGAGCCACTGGGGCACCGAGGAAGGAGGAAAGTGGTTGAAATCACAGTTGAAAAGGTCTTCACCTTGCCCTCCCCACCATTGGTGGGCACACCTTCAGTCTCTCTGCCCCCACCCTCTGGAACTCCATCACAAAGTCCCTCCATCTCGCCCCTCCCTTGTCTCCTTGAAGACCTCCTCTTCAAACTTGTCTTTGGTCACCGTTCTACCCCTCCCCGCCCTCCACTCCTAATCTCAACCACCAGCTTGGGTGCGGATCCCTGATTGTCCAGCGCTTTGGGACGTCCACCTGACATGAAAGGTGTTATACAAATTAATTTGTTGTTGTTGTCTTAGGTGAGTTTTGAAGGAGTGGAAAGAGGGGACATGGCAGAGGAACTCCAAGATGGAATTCCAGAATACGGGGGCAGAATGGTTGAAAGTTTGTACACTGATGGTGGGGTGGTTTGGGCAGAAGACATGAAGCAGTCTGGTGTTTCTGAATGGAGGGAGCAGCTGGGACAATAGGGGCGCAGGAGATAATAGAGGTTGTGTGCAGCTTTAGCTGTGGAGGAAATTGAAAGTGAGGATCTTAAATTTGAATTGTACAGTATGGTTTTAAAAAGCTGTTTGGACTATCCAGTCTTTGATAAACTTGATTAAAAGGAAACAAAATCCTGTTACCCAAACTAGCTAATCCAAACATTTGATAGAAGTCCCACTCTTTGGCATAACGAATAATATCCGTGGGATCAAGAGTTTGATGTGAATCCTGCAATCGTGACCATCTCAGGTATGCTTCACACAACAAACAGAATGTGCACAACTTCCAATGGATCTGGAAGAAGAAACAAATATTCATTACATTAATTATGCCTGAACTATCAATGGCAACACTTTACTGCTATGTCTCAGCACTCTGTAAATTCTGCTAGCAGTAAGATATCTGCTGCTCAGACAATTAAGTCAATTAAGTTTGTGTCTAACGTCCTTCCTTCTGTAGCACTTGAGAGACTTCACCTAACTGTTCTTTGTATATATAGTGACTGTGAATTAATTTACACACATCAATTAACTGACAAGGATAACATCATGTTAATTAAAGTCACCTGAAGGTTATAAAATACACAGTGACTATACTTTAACCTATGAAGTGTTTGAGATGTTCTCCTGATTCAAAAGGCACTATATAAATGCAATAATTATTAGTAATCATCTATACTGTCACACAACATATGAATGAATTTGTTAAGGAGCACACTAGATTGCATTGAACGGTAATAACAGGGATTTCACAATAACATGTCACAATTTAACAATACTTACATTAACCTTGATATTTAGGATTATATGCCTATAAGCTTGTACTTTGCATAAGATTGCATCAATCAGAATGATAACTGGATCGTATTCAATGTACTTGTCAACTGGTTTCTGACACGATTTCTGGAAGAGAAAACAAACATATCTGTCACTACAACTAACTGTATTAATTCCTAACTACTATTAACAAGACTTATCAATTTTAATTGTTTATGTCCATTGTAAAGTTCCAAATATGGAATTAGTTTGCTTAATAAAATACAGTTACTAAACTTTACAGTAAAATCTTGTGATATGTTCCAACAATGCAAAAAGGTACAATATCAAAAGAAGGATAATTATTCCGATTAATAGACCACAAATACCAGGGGAGAGCTTCAGATTTTATTCAGCAGTATTAAACGATGATTTAGGAACCCTGTGCAGGTCTCTTTAGTTTAAGACTAATTCCCTGTACGACCAAAAGCACACTGACAACTAGTTCTGTATTTGATATTCATTTGTGATAAAGATTCATAAATATCATTAAAAAGGCCAAAGTTAAAACTGATGAAGTATCTTCAAGAATGCTTGCCTACACATACACACACTCAGCTGGCAAAAGTCACAATTTTTTTTACATAAACATTTAAGTAAGAGCAAATATTTGGAGCTGTCCAACAAGCAAAACAAAAGTTGTCCAAACATTCAACAACAGGCACAAAATCATTTTCATTCTCATTACAGATGAGCATATTTTCAAAATGACTTGTTGTGTCATACTGAAAATCCTCTAGATGGGGATTTAAGGTATATAAATGCAAATTATTGTTGTTGTTGATTCTGATTTGTTAAGCTGCAGCTATGATAAGTTTTTTTTAAAATTCAGATGCAGAGCCATTTCAAATTCAACACCATACCTCAAACACCGCCTGGTGTATATTACACTTAGTGCACCCACTATGCAGCACTGAGCAAAAATATCACTATTCACATAATCTAGAAGCATCACTCTAGAGAAATCCTTGAAGTAGGATTTGTACAGACCTATCAAGCAGTGCTCATGAGGAAAACTTTGTTCGATAAACAGGATTATTTTGCATACAAAGCATGTAGCTTTGCAAGCTGTGGGCACCCTTGTTCATCATAGACCCTGGAGTTATCGAATCATAGATTCGCCCCCAAAATATACAGTCAATTCACTTCACAGCACCTTCCGTGAAGCGCTTTGAGACGTCTCGAAGATGTAATAAGGCTCTACATCAAATGCAAGGATTATTAATCATAGTAACGTACAGCACAAGAAGCTATTCGGGCCATCAAGTCTGCACTGGCTCTCAGAGCAAGTCCTCCACTCAATTTGTGGAGTCCTGTAGCTCAGTGGTTGAGCACTCGCTTTGCAAGCGAGAGACCGGAGTTCAATTCCAGGCAGAGGGCGAAACCTTGGGCAAGTTTCCTTACTCCACACAGAGCCTAATAATAATCCCTCAAAAACTAAAAACAATAATAAATTGGTCATTTTCAATCCATGACTGTTTGTGGGACATTGCTGTGCGCAATTGGCTGCCGCGTTCGCCCACAAATATACAGTCAATTCACTTTACAGTGTGTTCTGTGAAGCGCTTTGGGACGTCCTCCCGACGTGAAAAGCGCTATATCAAATGCAAGGATTATTATTATTATTATTATTATAATCCCACTGCTCCAGTCTACTCCCACGTCCCTCCAAGTTAGTCTCCAGCTTTCGTGTCCAGTGTGTGTAGGGCATCCGCTTCCCTTTTGAAACCCACAGTGAGGGCGGGAGGGGTGAAGCTCAGAGGCCCGGAGGGCGGGAGAGACGGAGGCGGGGGGGCGGAGGGGGGGGGGGGGTCGGGTTTGGGATGTGTGAGGGGCAGAGTTCGCCGATAGCACCAACGAAGCAGCCGCCGTTGTCGCGATGAGGAAAAGAGTGGAGTGAAGTGAGAGAGAGACTCGGTGTCGCTCTCATACTCACACATATGGTTATCTTGATGACGCCGCGGCTGTAATCCCGGTACAGCTCCCGGGCCTCCTGGTTACACTCCACACACCTGTAGGCTCCCTCCATTGTTGGGATCAGGGCCAAGCCCGGCTTCTCCCAGCGCACCCCGCGGCTCCGCCCGGCCCAGCGGGGCATTCTGGGGGCTGTAGTCTCCGCGGGGAGGGGGGGACAAAAACCCGACTCTTCACCGCGGGCACAACTACAACTCCCAGCGCACATCGCGGCACCTCACACCCCAGCGCCCGCGGACACACCGCGGGAAAGCGCCACAACCCCCCAGCGCACACCGCGGCACCCCACGCCCCAGCGCCCGCGGACACACCGCGGGAAAAGCACTACAACTCCCAGCGCGCGCCGCGGACGGGCCGAGTGCCCGGATGTGGCTGTTGGGCACAAGATGGCCGGTGCCGGTGATGGAGCGGCGGCGCTGCCGGTCGTGTTGTTGGTCCTGTGCGGTTCGGTCCGCGCCGAGTACCTGTCGTCGCTCCTCGTGCTCAGCAGTAACAGCCACAGCCACCACGGGCCGCCCTTGCCGGGGCAGGGCTGTGCGCCGGCCGGGGAGGAGCTGGTGGAGTGCGGTGAGGCTGCGCTCTGGGCAGCGGCCTGTGGCTGGCGGGTGCGGCGCCCGCTCCCGGGCCCGGGCCCGAGCGAGGGGCTGCAGCTCGGGCCCGGGAGGGCTCTCCGCTCCCGGGCTCCCGGCGTTCCCGGGGCTCCCGGCGCTCGGGCTCTCGAGTGCCCGCGTTTTTCACCGTCGGCGCCTCTGAGGTGGGATTGGCCCCCGACAAAAGCCACCGCCGGGACTCGGGCACTCAGTTCACGCAGAACCTCTGCTGTTAACAAATAAAATGAGTTCCTTCCCGTTTCTCGCAGTCGCATATCGTTGATGCCAGCGATTTGCTGGGGTACTTTGAACGAACCCTTTTGCATTGCCCCCCCACTCCTTCCCCGCGAACACACAGTCGTTGCTCTTCCCGATAGCCTCCCCTGGATTATTTATTGTAATTAATAGCTGCATTGCTCACTAACCTGAAATGCAGTCTGTGTCTGAAGCGCTGTCGGGGCACTTGCATCCCGATGTAAATGGTAATTTGCCCCTCTCTCGCCTTTTAAAATGACTGTCTTCACGAACAGGAGCCACATTCGAGTTGCTCGACGCAGTGGTACAAATTGAAGTTTGATCAAGCGTCACCCTGCCAGCACTTGCAGCTTCCTCCCTTTTTACGAGTAAAGAGTTGACGACAATTTTGAATTTTCATTAATTAAAGTTGCCACTTTAAGACCGCTGGATGGTGCTTCCTGGCACTTTTAATGCTATCTCGAGTCTGCTTGTCTTCCACCTACCCAGCACTTTTCTGATGTTATTTTGACACTCCCAATTTTAAATACCACAACAGCTTGGCTCTCCTCAGATAAGATTAACGTCTCATTGACATAACATCTCTAATGGAGAGCTTTAAAAAGTTATCAAAGGATGTTGACTTAGCATATGTCATTCCAGGAGTGTTTAAATGTTAAAGGGAGAGGAAACATGAAAAAAAATGCAATAGTGTTCCAGAGAACTTTTGGGGATGATTTATACGCTTTAACTATGTGGGCAGATAATTGCTATTTCAGGGTAGGGCAGGATTAAACTTCAAAATGTTGTAGTCTATGCAAATTTGTTTTATAATTCACTAATTTTCATGGAGTAAAAAGACTGATTACTGCAGTTCAAACATCATTGCATTGTTTGATAGTATTTTTCTTATAATACTACCTGTATATCTGTGGTCATACTTTTTAGAGGGGCATGATAGTTGTAATCTGCCGGTTGTAGAAACCTTTACTTGTCAACCACTTATTGAGAACAGTATTTGGAAGAAACAACTAATTGAAAGTTTTGCTTCTTTATAGAGTCTTCATTTCTGGATCCTGATGACACTGACTGTGTGCCGAGGGGGGCTCCACCTTGTGAACCACTACTCTCTCTCGATACAGAGAAAATTCTGGTATGTTGTTCCTAAAAGCTATTAATATTTTAGCTTGTAATTGTGTGTACTGTAGTTTGTACTGCTTTAGGAAAATGTGATTTTTTATATAATGCCTGATTCTTAAGGGTGAGAAAATATTGACCGTGTAGTATACTGGTAAAAGAGCAGTACAGTATAAACACATAATTAGTGTTATCTAATTATTTAAAGGATCTTAAAGTCAATACTGTTCTATGTACATAAGTGGAAAGTTACATGAGTCCTGATTGCTGCCCAGTGATTGCAACTGTATATCCAACAGTCTATGCTAAAGACTGGCTTTTGGTCTAAAGATTCTGTTCTAAAAGTAAGTTTTTTTAATATATATAAAAAATTATTATTTGGGCTATTCTATACCAAGCAAAGCATCCTTCCTGTCAAAGAGGGCAGAAAATGGTTAGAATCACAGTCAGCTCATGAGGTTGGGTTTATTCCTATCAGCAGTTGACCGCACATGAGATCTCTGTGGGAAATAGCACACATTGTTTTTATTAAGCTATTTTAGTATGGCAAAGGCCACTAGGGAATTTCATCCTAACTAGATTAAAATGTAGTAACAATAATTTGCATTTGAACGTGAGGGGCATTTGAATCTGAGGATCTTAAAGTCAATACACTGGGGGACAGGGAGCCAGTGGAGCTGAACAAAATGGGGGTGTTGGGCTCATGGAGCCTGGGAGACGATGTGTGCTGTAGAGTTCTGAATGATGTGGAGGTTGGCAAGTGGGTTTTTGGAAATTTTAGTCTATAGTTGACAAAGGCACGGAGGAAAGTTTTGACTGCAATGGGAGTGAGAGGTGGGCGATGTTGCAGAGTTAGAGGAAAGCAGACTCGGTCAAATCCTGCTTAAAGGGGAGAAGAGGGTTGCACAAAACGCGTAGTTGCCACACAGGCTCTGGAAGAAGCAGGAATTGATGTAGTATTGATCTCCACCCAGGACATTGTATATCACTGGGCGTAGCGAAGGGATTCTAAATAGTAAAATGTGCCCAAATGCTAAGTGGGCACAGCTGAGTTATGTTAACTTCCACCATGGTGCTCAAAATAAACAGCATCTGGTAGCTCACAGAAGAGTCTCTTTTGTAGTATCATTTTTGCATCATAATTTTTCAATATGTTCTCTCCTGGACCTCAGTCGCCTCATGTTGGGGTGTGGTTCCATGGATGTTTGTTGCCCTCTGGTAAACTGTCCAAGTGGCCATGTTATGTGAGATTTGGCAGTTAGTGTTGGCAGCCTACTCGACTGTAAAGGTGGTCACTGTCGAGCATGATCTCTCTTCGGCCAGTGGTCAAACACGCTCACTACTTGACCAGGAGCAAGAACCCAGGCTGCCTTTTTTCCCCTAACCCAAGGAAGCTTGGGCCAAAAGTTCCACGTGCTGCCCAGGGGGAGAGTTATTTTGGGGACTAAAGGGTTAAAATGTAAATTTATTGTATTGTATCCATACCGACCTGTCTGCTTCCTCCACTCAGCGGCCTCCGGCCTGCTCCATGTCCCATCATCGATAGCTGAGTCTTCAGCCTTTCTTCCCCACTCTTTGGAACTCCATCCCACAGCCCCTTTGCCTCGCCCCCTCCGATGTCTCCTTCAAAGCCTGTCTCAAGATCCTCCTCTTCGACCGTGCTTTCGATCACCCTTCAACCTCCACTCTCTTCCCTTCCTGATTCCAACCCCTAGTTTGGGTGCAAACCCTTGACTGTCCAACACCTTGGGATGTCCTCCAGACTGAAAGGCGCTATACAAATGTAATTTATTGTTTTTATTGTATTGCTAAACATTCTGTTTTTAAGTCATTTCTTGAAGTTAGTTTCCAATTAGTAGATTGACTTGAAGCCCGCATATTCCTTGCCTGCTGTTTTTGGACCAATTCATTGTGTTTCTTTGTTTCAGGCTCAAGCAAAAGTATTGGCTGAACAAAAGCGCTTTCCCTTTTCCATTGATAATGCAAATACAAATGAGGAATTAGGTGAGTATTTTCGATTTCAATATTTTTGCCGAATTTTAAAATGTGCAGTCACCTAAATTGAAAAAGTTGCATTGGTTTTCTCTACCTCTATCCCAATATTTGTTGCCACTGGCAACCGCAACAGCTTTCAGCTGGGGGTAAGAGGGAAAAGAACAGATAGAGAAGGGAGGAAATGTTTGAAAAAAGATGATCTGTTTTACGAGTGACTGACTCTGGGGGAGGTGGTTGTGGAAACATGATTTATTTTCAGAGAGGAATATCATGATGTGCTTCTGGTGATCGGAAAGAGTCCCTCTTGGTTTCTTTATTGAGAAGCCTCAGAAAGCCCTGTGCGACCGACAGGGGACCCTTGTTCTAGCACAGTCCTCTGAGTCTGTGTTTGAGGTGCTTTGGGACTCTTACCCCGTGTGAAGGGCATTATATAAGTGCATGTTGTGTTGTTTCTGTGCATGGTGCACGCATGGAGCATGTGCAAAGTGATATTAGCAGTCACCTGATGACCTGGATGTTGGTCATTCTTGTGAAAAGTATTTATTGCACTGCCCTATGGCTGAAGTCATTCAGATAACTTGCTCCGAAGCCTCTGCCGATATAATGTAACATAATAATAAGAGGCTATTGATAGAAGGCTCCCTTACTGTGGGAAGTGCTGAGTGAATCACACAAGTTAATTTTTTTTTTAATGATTGCATTTGATCATGTTGAAATGTCTCAGTTGCTTCAGAATTTTGCTGTAAAGTGTAGTGACTATGTATTTGTAGGTGAATGCGGCAGCCGATTTATGCCGATTTGTGGAGTCCTGTAGCTCAGTGGTTAGAGCACTCGCTTTGCAAGCGAGAGACCTGAGTTCAATTCCAGGCAGAGGGCGAAACCTTGGGCAAGTTTCCTTACTCCACACAGAGCCTAATAATAATCCCTCCAAAACCAAAAACAATAGTAAATTGGTCATTTTCAATCTACGACTGTTTGTGGGACATTGCTGTGCACAATTGGCTGCCGCGTTCGCCCACAAATATACAGTCAATTCACTTTACAGTGTGTTCTGTGAAGCGCTTTGGGACGTCCTCCCAACGTGAAAAGCGCTACATCAAATGCACAATTATTATGCACAATGTCCTGTTTTTTAACCAAATATATAATATATATTATATATTATATATATATTCATCATGGAGATTTTTGGTCAGGACATAGGAAGGAACTCCTTTCTCTTTTTAAATAGTGCCATAGGATCTTTAACATCATCTAAATAGGCAAACAGGACCTCTGTATAATGGTACCTTCCCTGAATTATTGGGGCCTATTTTGGTCATTTAATAGAGAATCAAAGTTGCACAATCAGGAGCTTCTTTGGTAATTGGAAATTAGGTGTCAGCCTGGATCAGTTGTTGTCATTCATGCCTCTTGAGTTAGAAAGTTGAAGTCTTACGCCAGGACTTTGAGCTGTAGTCTAAACCCAACATTCCAATGCAATCCTGGGCGAGTGCTGCATTGTCAGATGTGCTGTTTTTCAGTTGAAATGATAGACCAATATGCCTGTTCAGGTGGATGTTAAGATCCCATGGCACTATTTAAAAACAGAAGGGAATTTCTCCTGGTGCCCTGGTCAACAATCTCCCAAATGAAATTGGTTGCTCACTTCATAGCTGTTTGTGGGACATTGCCCAAATTGGCTGCCGCTGTAAATACATAATCAGTACACTTTATGGTAAAATCCTGTGTAGGGGTTTGAGATATCTTAATAACATGATATGGTGCTATATCAAATGCAAGGATTATTATTGTGCTGATTCTGAATATGCTCCGAAGGATTCGTTTGGGATTGGAGTTTCCGTGGTTTGTTGGGAATTCCAATGGAAGGAATCCTGTTAAGAAATGATGTAAATTTGATCCCATCATCATACATCCAGAGTAATTGTGTAAGTTAATCCAAATCACTCACTCAGATGTGTTAAACAACACATCCAAAATTGTTTTCCCAACATAGGCATTTTCAATTTCATTATCCCAAGACATTGAGCGATTGATTTATAATCTTTTACAAGAAAACTATAATTACTTAACAATTAAGATGTTGTTCAAATACTGCTGATTGATGCATGACATTTTTATTTTTTCCCCAAATGGACCAGCATTTGGTTATGCCTTGATTGGGAATGGCTTGTACGATGAAGCAGTAAAACACTTTTCGTCGCTGTTACAGGTAAGTGTGTCTTACTGAAATTCAACTCTAATTAAGAACTTAATAAAAGACAGAATAAGAAAATGACAGACATTCGGACCATCAGCTCCACTTCCTCCACAGAGCCTCCTCATCATGAACCTCACCCACTTACTCTACTAAGGGAAAGTTTTGCATAGATGCTTCCTGATTTTCAGTAGTAATCAAGCATTACCACCAGAGTCATCCCACGTCTCATTTGTTTAATCCTCGGTTTCCCTCCACAGAAAGTATCATTTTGGAATTCTAAAACTTGAAAGTTGCAACCTGGACTCATGAAGGATTTTGAGATTGTTAAAAGTGCAGAAATATGCCGTTGTGTTTGCTCTGGTATTTCTCTCCATATGTGCCAATCGAGTCCCATATGTGCTAACTCTTCTTGCTCCTAATGCTCTTTAATATTTCTCCTCTTCAAGCTGATTACTGATTGTGTGATCTCCATTCAAGCATATTCAAGAGTCATTTCTGGATGAATCCAGGTTACAGCTCCTTCATTTCAGACTGATTCATCTGAAACATTATGCATTTGAGATATTGGCTAGATAGAAATCAACTGTCAGGTATTCAGAATTCCAGTTACAAGATAAATTGGTTGAGCCTTAGCCTCTAGCCTCCTTGGTAAAATCCGTTCCAATTTTTATTTACTGTCTTTGAGTAAAGGAATGTTTCCACTGATGGCAGCCAAGGCAATCTGATGCAATGGCACAATTTGGAGGGGCAGGTTGGTCAGAGGCTGGGATTCTTTACACTTAGCTCCTGTTAACAAGTAGCAGAAAGCTATGTGGTTTTAGCTGTTTAGACTCCAACTGTACCTTAACTTTAAATAAATAACTTGTACAGAATATAGCTGTCCAGTTTGAATGCAGATTTCTGACCTTTGCAGGTGTGGAATGAAACATGTTGGTGTAAGGGTAGTGAATTTATTGTTTATAATAGGATTGTGAGTTGTGATCATACATTTAGATTTAACTTTAATATTTATAATCGTATTTTTTGTTTTTTCCTCTGTATATAAATGCATGGCTGTGAGTAGAGGGATCCAGAACTAGTGAGTGCTATCTATGGAAGAGGAATAGCTTATGGAAAGAAAGGTTTACAGGTTAGTATATCTTCAGTTTGAATTGAAATCCTAGTTGTGTGACAGAAGTGTCCTGTCACTGTCTGCTCTGCACCAGGACACTGCAATTTATATTTATAGAGCACCTTTCTCGGAGGACATCCCATAGCACTCAAGAATTCTGCCTGGCTACAGGAACTGAGCCTGGGAGCTGAGAGGGTACTGCCACCAGTCACTTAATAACCAAGGCTATGACTTTGGCAATGTATCTTTTAGCTAGGCAAACTTCCTTCTATATGGACTCAATTAGTATCACACAGGCAAATGCATATACAAATATAAATTAAACTAGATTTTGGTTTATTAACCTCCTAACTAAGGTAAACAAGAACACAATAAACCCACAAGTGCAGAGACACACATAATCCTTTGTGAGTTCAGCAGTTAAAACTTGTAACTACCAAGAGTTCTGCGGCCAAACTCTTAAACAGAAGGTTGTTTTTGTGTTTTCTATAAGACTAGGTTTCCTGCTGTCAAACTAACAGCAGTTTCTTCCCCCTCTTTCCACTCTACTGACCACACAACATCACAATACATTGAAATTATGTTCTGGGTTCAGCAACAGCCTGTTGCCAATTTTATTCTTTTATGTATCCCATGAATTCAATCCCCTGAGTATGAGCTATGGAATGGTCAGGGATATGTCTTGACCTTGTGTTATCTTGTTATGTGCCCCTGCATTCCTTAAGGAGCTCTCATCTTGGGTGTGATAATGATTCAGTCTATGCACTGAGGGGAAGATCCACACTTTCCTCAGTGAAGAACGGTCTGAATATGAATTTTAGAAAAATCTTTAAAATCTCTGTCAAGTTATCATAGGGCAATATGTTACATTCCATGACAGGAGATGATACTGAAAAATATATTTTTCTTTGAGCTCATTACAGGAATATTTTCAGATAATCCCACAACACAAGATTTATTTTACATTGAGAATGATTTCTGTATATTTTCAAGAATAAGAAAATAATCTGTGCAGAAATAAGTCAAATTATTTACATCAACCACTGTGTTCCTTATCACTGATCACCATCCATACATGGGTGCTATTGTATGATGGCCGTATCATAATAGTTGCTTGTTTTATGTAATCAGTCTATTCTGAATGAAATTAATCACATCTGAAGTGTGCTGGCATGACGAGGGCAATTTCTGTCTGCAGGATATCAAGAATGCTGAACTTGCTCTCTTTGAGCTGAACCGAGTTATAACAATCGAACCTAATGCACCAGAGGTATTTGAACAGCGAGCAGAGGTAAGCTCAAAAATACTGGAGCCATTAGCATAGTATTACAGAATTATATTTAGTTTTAATGGTGTTTAAGAGACATTTATTTTTAATGGTGTTTAACAGTATGCTGTTGGTACCTTTTAGCCATGGCTTTTTTTCACTTGACAGATCCTATCCCCATTGGGTCGAATCAGTGAAGCTTTAAATGATCTCAGCAGAGCCATTCAGCTGCGGCCATTGGCCCGATTGTACAGACACCGAGGAACCCTTCACTTTATATCCGAGGTAAGTAGAATTTTAGTTACAAATAAGGATTAATTATCAGTTCATATATAATATATATTTACTTTTATATAACAGTTATACATATATATAATCCTTGCATTTGATATAGCGCTATTCACGTTTTCTAGATGTCTCAAAGCGTTTCACAGAATATACTGTAAAGTGAATTCACTGTATATTTGTGAGCGAAACGCGGCAGCCAATTGCTCAGAGCAGTGTCCCACAAACAGTCATGGATTGAAGTGAACAATTTATTATTGTTTTTTTTCTTGAAGGATTATTATCAGGTGTGTGTTTAGTTTATAAATTTATAATTTATAAATGTTTAGTTTTCATAAACTTGTAATAAACATTAGTTACCACTTTTGACTTGAAATACTTTCTGCATTTGGAAAGTGCTGTCCTATTCCTAGATATTACTAGTTAGTTGCCCTAAGGAATTGGGAAACAATTGGATAACATTTTGAGTTCTGTGTTAATTGTGTCCTCCAGGATTATGCAACAGCCCATGAAGACTTCCACCAGTCCCTAGAAATGAAGAAAAGTCAACCGATTGCAATGTTGTATAAAGGCCTAACCTTCTATCACAGAGGAATGCTGAAAGTAAGTGCATGGATGTTGACACTGAAAATGGTGTGGGAGGTGACGCCTGTGGTTTGTATTGTTGGTAAGTTACAATTTCTAAATTTAAACTATACATTGGATTCCATTGTTAGAAGCCTGATCTTGAATTAAAGCCTTCAATTGTATACAAACTTCATTAATAATAATAAGACTTGCATTTGATATAGTGCTTTATCTTCCATTTGATATAATGCCTTATACTTAACAGTATATTCTGTGAAGCGCTTTGAGACTTCTCGAAGACGTGATAAGGCGTTATATCAAATGCAAGGATTATTATTATTATCACGTCTTCTATACATCTCAAAGCACTTCACAGAATAAAGTGAATTGACTACATTTTGTGGTCGAATCACGGCAACTAGTTGGGCATTGCAGTGTCCCACAAACAGTTGTGGATTGAGTGACCAAATTATTATCAGATAATTATCAAATCCCTTACCCAGAATCATTTTAAAATGCTTGGGTTTGGGGAATTGTGCATGATTCAGTAACTATTTTAAAAATAAAATAAAGGGGAGCAGAAACTCTAGCATGTCTTGAAGTCATCTCAGTCTTCCACTTTCAATACCTGGATTTAAATCCAGTCTAGCCTGATGTAGAAGTATCTTCTGGCTGCAAGGGTCCTGTGTGTAAAGAATTTGAAATCCATTTTGCTCTAGGTTCCAGTGAATGTGAGCTTGTAGCACAGAACTGCCCTTACGTGAGCAGTGAATTTTCCATCTCACTGGTATTGCTATTAAACTCTGTATTTGGCAGCAGTCAAAGATCATAATAGAGACGAGTGACCTGGATAGATGCTGTGAACGCTGAGAATTTATAGTTGAGTGTGTGTGTGTGTATATATATATATACACACACACAGAGAGAAAATCGTGTTCACTTTTGTAATTTTAGCTGTTTCAGGTGATCATACAAGGAAGTGCATAAGGAAACCCTGGCATTAGAGTGTTTTATTTGGTTGTCTGATTTCTTTGTTTCAGGAAGCCATTGATGCATTCAAAGATGCTCTTAAACTTAAAAGTGATTTTACAGATGCTTACAGAAGTCTAGGGCAAGCATACAGGTGGGTCTTGTTTTTAGCAGTTTGTGTGGTTTAGCGGAGGGAAAGAGATATGTTGCTGGGCCCCTTCCCATTCTCTCCAGCTCTTTGGAAGTTTGCGCTGTGTTCTGGGTTGACACCGACACCTCAGATCGACAGTTCTTCCCCGTGACCCAGTACCTTCTCTTCCTCATGTTCTGTCTGCAGCTCTGACATGTATTCAACAGCTTGAGATGTTCTGCTGACATGAAAGGTGCTGGATAAATGAATTTTGTTGTAATAAGCAAAATCAGAACACCAAGTTCCCCCCCCTTAACCCAGAAATGTCGAGAACTTTCGTGTTAATTTATTGCCTAATTTAGCAATGTGGTTTCCCTGTAAGGTAGAAATACAAAAAACAGAGTTCCCTTTAATACCTCAGGGAATTCTACCATCAATCCCTCTTGTAAAATGAAGATATTATGGTTAATTGTGATAGTATCATTTTTGTTTGGGTTGTTTGGGTATTTTTATTTAAATCGAGTCCCGAACTTACATAATCAAGAAGTGGCACATGGACCATAAAGAGTTTAGTGAAGAGTGAGGGGACATTACTGCATGGCCTCTGACAGGCCCTCGGGATTCAGTCCTCTTGGGACACCACTCTGACTGAATATGGGTCAGCTGACCAAGGTATACTGTTGTGCATCTTCCTCCGGTAAATTTCTGCATGAGCGAACTTAGTCTGACTTATAACTGATAATGGATTCAGTTACTTGGTAAGCCAAATCCAACACCTACCACAAATGTGTGCTTTAAAAGTAGTAGGCTTGGAAAATCTTACGCTTAAATGCAGCTTCCTGGTTACCTATACAGTACAACATGTTGGCCCCTTTTTGAGACTGGTACATACCACTGGTTACCCTGGTGCCACGTTTCATGCTGATGTTGGATTAGCTCGATAACTTCCTGAATTTATGGAACTCTTGTTGTTTAATGTACCAACCTACTGAGCCAGTGTTCCCTCCAAATAAAGTAAATGGTGCAGCTTGTCTGCCCTGGCACATAGTTGTGTTATATGTAAGAAAAATGATTCCTTGGGAAAGGCATGAAAGAATATTTGATGGTCAGTCTGTTCATGCACTGGAGTTGCTTGTTTATTTGAGCTAAGTCCGAATTGAGATGTTCCTGATATTTATTTTCAGTTGTACTGCTGGTGAACGGTGTTTATTCTCAGACTGCATGCTTAAATAAAAATTGTATTATAACAGTCTAGTATTAGCTCTTATTGCTTATATGTTTATCTTTTAAAAATATATAAGCTGGGATCACGGTTACAATTTTCTTTTATTAAGGAAAAGTGAGCTGTACACCTAGTTCTCGTCTTGCTCTTCTTGCTCTTCTGCATTTGTAAAGCATTTTCAACTTTAAAAGGAGTTTTTTGGCGTGACTGAAGCTTTTTATAGTTTGTGGGTTTTAAAAATAATTGTTTATGCTGGAAAGGTTTACCTAAAAATCTGTTGTGATCTTATTGCATTCTTTCCATAGAGAGCTGGGCGACTTTGAAGCAGCTATGGACAGTTTCCAAAAAGCCTTATTGTTGAATCAGAACCACATTCAGTCCCTTCAGCTCAGAGGAATGATGCTTTACAATCATGGTAGTCTCCAGGAAGCTTTAAAAGACTTTAAGGTAGAGCTATTTAAAACCCCCTCTTACTTGAATTTACAGACATTACAGCATTGAAGGAGGCCTTTTGACTTATTGAATTGAAACTGGTACTAACACAACCTATAAAGCCTCGTCTCAATTCCCTGCTTTTTCCTGCAACCTCATATTTTTTCTTCAAAAACTTATCCTTATCTTTTTAAAAAATGTTACAGCCTCAGTTTTAATAGCTTTTTGTGGCAAAGTATTCCTTATTCTGATATTTGTTAATGTGAAAAAAAAACCTTAATTCTTCCAGTAACAATGATCAGCCAGCAGGACTGTTCACTATTAACATTTCCCTCGTGTAATCTGTTATTCTTTATTTTTGACATGTCATGCACTATTCTTGGCTGACACAGCAGACTGGCTGATGACCTGCTGCAAGGACAGTGCCAAGTGTTGCTGTGTACATGATCACTTGAGGATGCTGATTTGTTTATTCTTCCATGTTCGTTCTAGAAAATATGAACTGGTCATCACTTAAACAAATTGCTTCTAAACGTTCTTGGGGTTGCTAATGGATCTTACCCCATTTATATTTAGGATAGATTTAAAGTACAGTATATCAAAACTACTGTCTACAATTGTCTTTCCATCCATAATTTCTTGATTCCTCCAATATGTTTTATCTGCTTTAATACTATTGGAGGCTGCATTAACTTGCACGATGTGTGCTCTGTGTTTTACAACCTAGGGATGCCTGCAATTGGAGCCGTACAATGAAGTTTGCCAGTACATGAAGGGTCTGAGCCATGTTGCTATGGGCCAGTTTTATGAGGGGATTAAAGCTCAGACTAAAGTGATGTTAAATGACCCATTACCAGGTCAGAAGACAAGCTCAGAGTATCTTAAAGTGAAATACCTCCGAGGTGAGTTGTATTATATTGAGTTCAACCTTGCTATTATCGATGAAGAAAAACATGTTCAGTGCACAGGCTTATAGAATGCTGCTGTAGATGTTTTATCCCTCACTGATTAATTGGGGGCACTGAATTTTATAATTGTATTGCATTATACTGTTTAAATTACTCAGTTGTTAGTTTGATCTGGTGTTTTATTACAACATATTTGAACAAACAACATTAAACATCTTCTTGTTCCTACATTTCAATAAGATGCTTTGATACAAATTCTGTAATTCAAGTGGCTACATTGTGCAAACCTTGTGTGTTATTTCGGATTTGCTTGTTCCTTTCATGCAACTGTCGTTCACTATTTAACTCTTTGCAGAATACTCCCGATACTTGCATGCACACCTTGATCTGCCTACCACAGAGTACAACATGGACCTTGATCTTCCTGGTAACTTCAAGGATCAATGGGCCAAAAACCTTCCTTTCCTTATTGAAGATTATGAAGAACAACCAGGATTACAGCCTCACATAAAGTGAGTAACAACATGCTGTCACAAACATTTCGCAACGTATTCATACTTGTGGAACTCTTCTACTTTCAATTAGATGTGAATGTCTACCACAAATGGATATTTTGGCATTGATATGGAAAAACCACAAATATACAGTCAATTCACTTTACAGTCTATTCTGTGAAGCGCTTTGGGACGTCTAGAAGACATGAAAAGCGCTTTATCAAATGCAAGGATTATTATTATATCTTATATGTACTGAGTTTGACCCTTTCTTAATAGGGACGTTCTACATCAGAAATTTGAAAGTTACAGTCTGGAGGTACAAGGGCTACTCTGCACAGCAGATCGCTTGGGTGCTCTTATGCAATACAACACACCTGGCTTTCTACCAAATAAAAGGATCCATAGAGGTTAGGTGTGATATATTTAGTCTGAGAAAGTAAAATGTTTTTGAATATTTTGGTTTGGTTGCACGTGGTGAGCTCTAAATGATGCAACATTTAATGACGACTTGAAATGCACCTGGTGTTGGTACAATGCTGAACTCTGCACCAACCAGAGAGGTTCAATTCTGATCAATAGGATTACTGTATAGTTTGGAGCTTTTGTGTGTAGGAGGGATTTCTGTGCTGTTAGCAACAACTCCATTTATAGTACAGTTCTTTTTTTAAACTTCAAAAATTAAAGTTTAAAAATAAATTGGATGGCCCAATTTTCTGCTGTTCTGGACTTACAAAGGGACTAATGAGATACAGTAGTTGGATCTTTTCCATTCTTGAAAATCGGTCACTGGAAGTTGGGTCATGAGCAGCATTCATGTGTGTTCTGTCCTTCTGCTGCTTCACAAACTGCTGCCATGTCGCAGGGCTGTATGGGACAACTCATCGGTGTTAAATTGTGATGTTTATTATTTTTAAATATTTAATTTTAATAAAACAGTTTATGGTGCTGATGAGATTATATATCACATTGGTTTACCTGTTTATAAGGTTTAACAATGAATCTCTTGCAAAACTTTTTTGCTGGGACCATTTTTGATTCTTTTATTTCCTGGTACCTGTGATGAGGACTGTTTCTTGAGAGTAGAATCATTTATTTCTGGTATTTTCAGATGTGTTTTAGGTAAACATGGAAATTGCCCTAAACATTTTCATAAAGCAATTATTTTCACTGGAAATAAGCCAAACTTAACACATCTGAAAACAGCGGAAGTGAATTGAATTGATTCAATTGAATTGATTCTTCAGCAGTCAACCAGTATAGAAAGGATACCTCTCAGTGATTTACAATGACCATATCCTGAATTAACTCAAATGTATAACCAGCCTGACTCCTGAACATTACAAAACAGGTGCATGTTGTGTGCATTGTTTATAATAATCTGTTTATTATTGTTAAAGAAAATCTTCCCCCAAAAGGGTATCCAAGTGGCAATGGAAAAGGTTTGTGTGGGATAGGGATTGAGTGTAAGGGAAGATTTAAAAAAAATACAAAAAGACAAATCTGTGTATTTTGTGTGCAGCTTTTTCTTCCATTAAACACCCTTTTTCTGTCTCCCTACAGCTATGGGACTTGCAGCACTAGAAATCATGCAGGCCGTGCAGCGAACATGGGCCAATTCAAAGATTCGTGTGGGTGGCAAAACCAGATTGATGCAGTGGAGGGACATGTTTGATATTGCTGTAAAGTGGAGGAGGTAATGGCATCAAGGGTGATCTAGCTACTGGTGAAGTTCATTCTCATGAACCTCTAACCTCTCCAGTCCCTATTACATTTTTCAAAATTAAATAATGGTAGTTATAAACCTATAAACTTTTGAGAAAGCTTAAGATATACTATAGCTATGTTTAGCCTGCTGATTCAGGTGAATTTTGCATGCTCTATACATAGAAAATGTCTAAATGTCTAAATCCATAGTCTACAATGGGAGCCTTTTATGGTCAGACTATTAGTAACAAAATGGTGTTGGAGTCTGATATGTCACTGCTCTCAATGAGACCTCTCTTTGCGTTTGACTTTCACTCCACAGGATAGCAGACCCCGATCAACCAGTTCTGTGGTTAGACCAGATGCCAGCTCGAAGTCTCAGCCGAGGCTTCAACAATCACATAAACCTCATCAGGTACAGCTTTGTTTTGTGGAATAGCTTCAGTGTCTTTGTAATTGTACAGATATGTGGTGTTTCAGAACATGGAAATGTCTAATCATGTCTTGATTTTTGTCAGCTGCAGTGGAGTCCCCTTATAATGTGTTTTCCGTACCATCCTGTGTTAGAGAGGTGCAATAGGGGATTTTAATGTGCACAGCTAGCTGACTCACTTCCTGCATGCTGGCACTTCCTGCATGCTGGCTCTTCCTGCTCTAAAAGAAAAATGGCTGACTTCTGCTTCATCGGGTCAATGTCAATGTCACTTCATGGTTTCCTACACATGTGCGAAGGAGGAAGTGACATTGTCAGTAAATGGATGAATTTAAAATTGGCCACTTTTGGGTCAAGCAATGGAAATGTAATGCAATAAGGGTAATCACATTTAAGAGCTTGGGGTTAGCCACATTTTATTGAGACAGAACAGGTCTGTCTACTGAACAAAAAAATAGACTGTTCTAACCATTGAGCAAGTTCACTGAAAATATAAGGGAGGGACAAAATAGTGGCCAATGCCACAATTCGAAAAAGGAAGAGAGCTTCTGGCCAACAGTCCTCCAGTTAAAGTTGGTCAGAATAGAGAGGTGAGGACTTGTGGGGAATATAAACATCAGTACGGACTAAGTGGTCTGAATGGCATGTTTCCGAGCTGCATCACTCTATGTAAGTTTAGTCACTTCCTGCTTTCAAAATGACAGAAAGGGTGGGAGAGTCGAGATGAGCCAAGCTCTTGTACAACGTATTAGAATTGTATTGCAGAATATTGGAAGCGATCACATGCCTACATTATCACTTGTATTGTGGTCTATTGCATATGGGATATAAATTGAAGGGTAAAAATTAATTTAGATGTGCTCATGGTTTTAATTTTAAACTGAAAATACCCTAAAGCTTATGGACAAGGATCATTTCCGGGGATATCTAGGTGTGCACAATATAAGTCGCTATTCTACAGTATTATTCTACTGTATTTATGATTCCTCTATAGTGCACATGACAGCAATAATTTTTTGTTTTCCTTTTCAGGGGTCAAGTTATTAACATGCGGTACCTGGCGTACTTCGACAAGATACTTAATTTTATAAAAGACAGAATTCTGGTTTATCATCGGTAATTCAGTTTTATTTTGTTCATAACTGAAAAAATTGTAACATTTTTATAATGTGTTTGAAATCAAAGAAACTTAAGGTTAAAAAATTCTCAGGTAATGGATATGCAACTACTAGTCTTCAACTATTTTGATCCATTTCCAGAATGCTGGGCAGCCAGTGGCCTGAGCTGCAGTTGTACTAGTATCTGGGTGTGGGGAACGTTATGGAGCTGCTCCTGAAGACAATTTTGTAGTTACAGAACATTTTTGTTTTGGATGAATTTAAGTGTGCAGAGGTAATTGAACTGTGTGAGTCTTCCTTGTGGTTGTAGTGAACTGGAATAATTTCCTCAGTCTATCACCAAGAAGGCTGAGCTTTTAAGTATGTTTTTTTAAAAAAACGTATCGAGAGAACATGGTTATTGTGAAGAATTGAAACTAAGTTCAGAAATGTAAGGCAGCAGATGTGTTAAATTAAAGAGGAAGAGAACCCCCCCAATGGCCTAAGTTACCTGATGTTAATCAGAAATGAATCCTACAATTGACCTTAATGAGAGGAGGAAGATTAGTCAGAGATCCTGCTCCTGATTATTATCCGGAGCATGAACATTGGATGAGGACAGGAGTGGGCTTGGCCTTGAGGAAGAAAATGAACGAATTGGAAAATGAAGTGACTCGTGGCGTAGTGATGCTTTGCTTGAGTTTTAAAAGCTTGATTTAGGGAAAAAGGGACATAAGGATTGCTGTAGTTTTCAGGTTCTGGAGATGGTATAAAAAAATTCAATTTGACCACTTCAAGAATTGCTTATTCGTGATCAGTAAATGCTTGTTGAAAATCTTGTAATTTTGGATTTGGTGAAAGTCTACAAAGATCATCTGAACCAATTTAATGCAAATTAGGCATGATAGAAATGATGGAAAGAAATGATCATAAAGTTTAAAGTCTTTGTTCTCTCTGTTCAAGAATGATGTGCATGGCTGTTGGAAAGTAGTTATTGTCCCTGTGGCTCGATTTTTGTCTCAACACATTATGTAGAGCAGATGAAAATACAATTGGCCTGTAGAAGCCTCCAGGGTTGCGTGTGTGTTTTAATTATTTGTATAATCCTTATTTATCAAAGGGTTTGTTTTATTTAAAAAAGGTTTTATGTAGAATGATTGCTGGATTATGACAAGGTCTCTTGAGGGCACTGCTTTGCGTGCATAGTGTTCAAACAACTAATCGTGGTTCTGACTCATGAATGTTTGTGGAAAGCAGAACATTGATTCTGAAAGATGGATGTTGAAACCTGAGGCGACTTAAAAATTGATTAACAACAAAGCAATGTACTGGCTATTGGCCACAGACTTTAGAAGCTTTTTTTGTACACAGTATAAAACAGTTATTGGGAGCAGGGGTTCTTCCCAATCAGCTCCTGGTAACCCTGCAAGCCAAAACGCTAATAGCAGGGTAGTTTTAGCTGGATGAGCAGTGGAAAGCTTGCTAGAGAATGCTTTCAATGGTAAGCTACGTGGTTTTAACTAGCTAAATGCCAGGAATATTCTAACAAACACTCTGGGGTTCCCATGCCTTGGCTCTCGTCAATCTATGCGTAATGCTCTCTGGAGTTAGATTAAAAAAAAGGTACATTGCTCCAGGGAGAGAGAGAGTGTGCATAACATTTCAAACACAGGAAAATTTCCATGTGTAGGTGGAATACCCTTGTCTGGGTTGGATATTCTTCAGCATGATTGGTTTTGCATGTGTCAGACATCTGGTTGACCCAAAAAATCTGTATAGAACATTTTGGTTGTATCAAACTTGAACAATAGAACGGGAAGAAACAATCAGATTAAACAAGAAAATACATTTAGAAAAAATTAAATGACACATGCAGTAAGAGCAAATAAATAATTGTAGAGCGTTCTGGTGAATGCAACTTATGTCCTCTAATAGCGCAAGGAAAAGAGTGGGAGTCAGAAAGAAATGGGGGGGCAGAATAGAGATCTTTTGAGGAAATTAATTCAAGCTGTTTGTGTTGCGAATTATGAAAAGCAGAATACTATGGAATATTTATGAAATGTGGTTGATATTTGTGAGAGCATCGAACCATGTGTTGTATTTTACATTCACAATTGTTACTCTACTTTCACTGGTTGAAAATTTCAGTGTTGGACATGAGAGTTTAAGTAAGTTAGTTCCCTAGTTTTAGAATCCTTCATTGACTGTGATTCCTGAGTAGGTTGTATTTCAGGTATATAAGGGAAATTCTAGGGATGTGTTGCATATTGTGTGGAGGGTCCTTTAACAACACATTTTTTCTCTCCACTCTTCCAGTACTAATAATCCCAAAGGCCTTTCAGAAGTGAAGGAGGCTGTGGAGAAAGTGAAAAAAGTTGAAGACCTTCTTCCAATAATGAAAGTAAATATTTTATGTGAAATGCTTCATAATATCAATTTTTTTTATAGACTTTTTTGAAAAATTACTGATGAGACTAATTATTTTAAAGGGATAGAATTCTAAAATAGAAATTAGATTGCTTTTCTTCAATGGGAATCCAGTATGACACTTCAGCAGCAGAGTGCTACATCAGTGTCTATTTTAGTTGGTTTATTTAAAAAAGACTTGTTTGAAATTTGGGCCTCTCACTGCACAAATTAAGTAGTTGTTACAATCTTGACATTTTTTAATGATTCTAACCACTTGAATAAAGAGATTTAGTGGGAGTGATCTCAGTATTCCTGGGGCAGTTCTATGGCAGGTATGACTAAACAAGATGGACAGACAACTTGCTAACAGAAGGATATTGTTGGAAACATAAAAGAGGGGATCAGGGAGTGAACTGAGAATAAATCAAGAGGGGGGAGGATTACTCTGCAACATGAGGATGATAGAAGGGTAGTGTAACTAACCGTGAAAAGTGTAAGCAACTAAGTACTTAGATTGATGAGAGATGACAACTGAAAATTAATGTAGAAAAGTACGAGGTTACACATTTTGGGAGATCGAATCATGAGAAGAAATGTGTGCTAAATGGTAACATTTTAAAAGGAGTTGAAGATCAGGGTCACAATACATAAACCTTTAAAGGTGGTGAAGCCGGTGGAGAGAGCTGTAAAGAAAGCTAAATGATTCCTCGCTTTTATAAAAAAGGGACAAAGACTATAAAACCAAAGAGGTGACGCTTACCTGTGAAATCATTAGTCAGACCGCAGTTAGATATTGTGTCCAGTTTTGGTTACCCTATTTTAGGAAGGATGTCAGGAGCCTAGAAAGTTTGCAGAGAAGATTTATTAAGATGATACTAGAGTTAGGTAGTTTGACCTGCGAGAAGACAGCAGGAACTGAAACTGTATTGAATCTGGAATAGAGAAGTTAAGGGGAGACCTAATAAAGATCTTAAAATTCTGAGGGGTTTTGATAGTTGATGTGGAATTTTTTTTTCCACTGATTGTTGAGTCAGTGGACGTCATTCGAAGATAATTACTAAAGTAGACATTTTTTTTCCTTTTACCCAGAGGTTGTTAGCATGTGGAGTGCCTTTAGCATGTGGAGTGTCCTGGTGGGAGCGATGATCGAGCAGCACCCACATTAGCTTTCAAGAGGGAGATGTAGATATCTTGAAAAAAGGAGTATTATGTAGAAGTATGATGGAAAGGCAGATAGACTGAATGGATTCCTCTTTCAAAGAGCCAGCAAAAATTTGGTGGCTCGAATAATCTTCTATGCTTTAAAGTTCTATGGTTTGCATTTTTAACTTTTTTGCATAATCTAATATTGCAGACTATACAGTAGTAAGCATTTATTTAGACTTTATTTGATTCTCTATTTACACTCCTTGTATAAGTTACCAGGGCAGGGCAATTGGGGCGTGTTGTTTATGATATACTTCTAAAGTGTGACTCATAGTTAAGTAGTGTACATAATTTACTTATTTACCCAGACAAAATTAATTAAAGGCAGTTCTAGCGAAAAAGGCTGCTTCAGAACATATTTATTTTTAGGTTTCAGAAAAACACGTTCAAATAAACTTCTGGCAAAATTTAAGTTTTCACACATTTTTAAAAGTCTGTAGGTTTCTAATTATGAATGGTCGTCTATCATATTTTTCCCTTTTTGGAAGCAGTTTAACAGCAAAACTAGAGATGGTTTCACGGTAAACACAAAGGTGCCCAGTGTGAAAAATGAAGGAAAGGAATATGATGGATTTACCATAACCATCACAGGTGACCGGTAAGTTGACAGCTTCATAAATAGACTGGAGGAGTAACTTAGTTAGGATGGAGAAACCTATTTGGGGAGTGGATGAGACTGAGGTTCAAATCCAACCTTGACTGAGAGAAATATAGGAATATGAGAAAGCCATTCAGTCCTTTAAGTTTGTTCCACCATTTTATTAGATCATGGCAGATCTTTTATTCCCATTTATCGGCCGCATTCGATTTGGTGACATCATCCGCAGACATGGGGTTAACTTCCACATGTATGCGGATGACACCCAACTCTACCTTTCCTCCTCTACCCTCAACTCCACGACCACCGATGTCCTGACAGCCTGCCTGTCCGACATCGAGTCCTGGACGAGAGATAACTTTCTCCAGCTCAACGTGCGCAAAACTGAGGCCCTCCTGATTGGCTCACGTCAGCGCCTCCGCACCTCAGGCGCTGACAGCATCAGCATCCAAGGCTGCACTCTCCACCTCTCAAAGCCAGTCAGGAACCTCGGGGTTCTGTTCGACCCTGAGCTGTCCTTTCTTCCTCATATCCGCGCCACAACTGGCTTCGCCTTCTAATGCCTCCGGAACATCGCCAGACTACAGCACTACCTCACGCTGCTGAAACATTGATCCACGCCTTTATCACCTCAAGGCTGGAATATGGGAACTCTTTCTTCGCCGGCCTTCCTGGCACCTCCCTCCACAAGCTGCAGGTCATTCAGAACTCTGCAGCTCGTGTACTGTCCCGCACCAGGCTTCGGGACCACATCACTCCCACCCTCGCTCACCTCCACTGGCTCCCCATCCCCCAGAGGATCGAATTCAAGATCCTCACCCTCACCTACAAGGCCATTCATTCAGCCTCTCAGCCCCTAGGCTCTGGAACTCCATCCCCCAGTGCCTTCGCCTTGCTTCCTCCCTTTCCTCCTTCAAGGCCGGTCTCAAGATCTTTCTCTTCGACCGTGCCTTCAGCTCCCCTCTCGACTCTACCCCCTCCTCACTCCCTCCCCTCACCCTGACCATTTCCCCCCTGCTCGGACCCAACTGTCTACCCAAGCGCCTTGGGACGTCCTCGCTCTATAAATGAAATCTTGTTGTTGTTGTTAATCCGACTTATTTCCTTACCTTTAAACACATTTACTTTCCAAGTATCTGTCTAAGGGGATGGATAAATCTGGTCTCTACTGAAAGTGTTATTGGGGAATCTCAATTCAAGCCCTAGTGGATCAATGCCCTTAATTCATTGTCATTTAATTTTAAATTGACAATTACACTCATGCCACAAAGATCATTGGAGTGGGAAATGAAAATATAGGTGTGTAATTTTTGTTTTGTTTTGAGGATAGGTTCAAGGAGTATTAGAGTAGAATATAAGGAACTGTATTCAGCATTATGGTATAACTGGTCTAGGAGTGATTAATTGTGACACTAGGTGCTTTTAGTCTATTACTGTATACTATTACTCTCACTTTAGGGACAAAGGTTTGCTTTTTAACTGGTTTGTGCTGAGAAATATTGTTGCAAGATTGTTTTTGATCATTTTCTTTTCAATGTTTTCTACATGCGATGTGATTATCAAGAGTTGGAAACATGTTGTTTTCTGTGGAAACCCAAACAACAGAGGAAAGGACCCAGCAATATCACGATGAAATTGATGCTCTGTACAAAGACCTGAACAGTAAAGGAAAAGCGCTGATGCTTTCCACTGAACTTGGAGTAAGAACAGTTTTTTTTCCCCCATTATTTATGCAACCAGTTAATTATGTGAAGATTTTTAAGATATTCTCTACATTGCATTGAAGGTAGTTGTTATACTTTCAACCTGGAACTGACTGCTTTCATTTTTTGCTATCGACCAGCAATGATAACTGTTCCTATTTGCGTTCTAAATGGTCATTTTAAACCATAGGTTTAAAAAGGTTTGTGACGAAATAAAACTAACAGTATTTTGGAATAGGGAAATCTAGTACAACCACAAAATTACATTCGTAAAACGCCTTTCACGTTGGGAGGACGTCCCAAGGCATTGAACAGTCGGGGAACAGGACTTGAGCTGGGTGGGGCAGTGTTGGGATGAGGGAGGGTGGAGAGGAATGAGGGCGGATGAAGGCATGGTCGAAAGGGAGGGTCTTGAGTCATGCCTTGAAGGAGGCAAGGGAAGGAGCAAGGCGGAGGGATTGTGGGATGGAGTTCCAAAGGGTCGGGGCAAAGAAACTGAAACCCAAGCCAGCAATAGTAGGGTGGATCGGGCGGGAGACATGGAGCAGGCTGGAACGGAGGGAGTGGCAGGTTGGTAGGGAGTCAGCAGGTCAGAGAGGTAGAAGTGGGCAAGGCCGTGGAGGGCCTTGAAAGTGAGGACGAGGATTTTTAATTCGATCCTCTGAGGGATGGAAAGCCAGTGGAGCTGGGCAAGGTTGGGGGAGATGGGGTCACAGAGCCTGGGACGGGAAAGGACATGAGCTGCAGAGTTCTGGATGATCTGCAGCTTGTGGAGGGAAGAGTTGGGGAGGTCGACAAGGAGGGAGTTTCTGTAATTGAGCCTTGAGGTGACGAATGCATATATGAGAGTTTCGGTGGCCTGAGGGGTGAGGCAGTGGAAGAATTGGGCAATGTTACGGAGATGGGGGAAAGCACAGCGTGTCATGGCATGAATGTGGGGGAGAAAGGACAGTTGAGGGTTGAATGAGACGCCCAGGTTCCTGACTGACTTGGTGAGGTGGAGCGTGCAATCGTGGATGCTGATGCTGCCAGTGCCTGAGGCTCTGGGTCGAGCCAATCAGGAGGGCTTCAGTCTTGCTGACATTCAGCTGTAGAAAGTTGGCTCTCATCCAGGACTTGATGTCAGACAGACAGCCTGTCGGGATGTCAGTTCTCCTGGAATCGAGGGTGGAGGCAGAGAGATAAGAGTTGGGTGTCATCCACGTACATATGGAAGTTAACCCCATATCTGCGGATGATGCCACCAAGGGGGAGGTTCCAATGTACAGGTTGAAGAGGAGGGGACCGAGGACAGAGCCTGAGGAACACCACGTGAGACTATGCGGGGGTTGGAAGAGAAACGTTGGCAGAGATAAATTGGAGACCAGAACCTTGAAGGTTGAGGTGAGAGGAGAGGCAGTGGAGGAGGATGGAGTGGTCCACGGTATTGAATGCAGTAGAGAGGTCGAGGAGGATGAGGAAGCAGAGGGAGCCCTAGTCACAGATGGACAGGATGTTGTTTGTGACCTTAACCAGAGCAGTTTCCGTGCTGTAGCAGCATGGAAATCCGATTGGAGGGGCTTGTGAAGCAAGTGGTAGGAGAGGAATGAGCGAAGCTGGGAAGCAAGGACCTTGGAAAGAAAAGGGAGGTTGGAGATGGGCCAGTTATTAGAAAACAGGGATGGTTCCGGGGAGGGAAGATTTTTGCAGGATGGGGGTAATTATAGCTATTTTTAGGGGGATGGGAACGGTTCCAGATGATAGGGAGAGATTGATGGAGTTAGAGGGGTGAGGAGGTGGAGCTGGGAAGTGAGGAGAGGGGTGGGAATGGGGTCAAGGGAGCAGGTGGTGTGTTTCATACTGGATATGGTGGTATGAGAGAGGAGGGGGCGACAGGTTCGAGATGTGAAGGGAGAGATGGGTTGGGGTCAGAGTGTGGAAGGGAGATGGGGAGGGAATAGTAGTAGTGACATTGAAAAGTTTCAGTAGTATCAACCAAAACTTGTTGAATGATCTATTTAATTAAAAGTGATTATTACTCCAGCTTTCCGGTTCAGGTCACAGTTCAGGAGTGCTGGGGGAGTGTTGCTGTTCTGGAATAGACATTTTGCTGGCCAGGAATTCAGTCTGTCATGATGTAATTGCTCAAGCTGAACTATGCTGTTTTTGGAATAATGTTTTTGTTTTATCTTTCAATCAGGAAGTGGATGCAGTGTGCAATCTAATCCTTTCTTTGGTGTATTACTTTTACAACCTAATGCCTCTCTCAAGAGGATCCAGGTTAGTACAGATGTGCTGTATTTTTAAATGTATTTAAGGAGAAAGTAACTATGTGGATAGAATACACTGAATGGGAAGTACCTGCCTGTGATGTGCATCTAAGGAGTATTTTGAATTCCTTTTTTGGTATTCCTCAAGAAATCAATCCTTGAAGACTTTTCTGCTGGATGTTCATTTTATCCCTAAGAGTTTGAATGGGTGTTCTCTGGTGATGGCAGCCAGAGGTCTTCTGCCAGCCAATATAATTAATTCAAGGATTGGTTAGTTAAGAGGATGTTAAGATAATAATAATAATCACATTTGGGGCAAATTCTTCACGTTCAAAATATTGCTTCGTAGAATTACTGTTCACTACAAGAGCTTTGTGACGTCCACCCGACATGAATGGCGCTATAGAAATGTAATTTGTTGTTCTTATTACATTTCCTTTTAAAATGTATTGAATGCTGCTGTGATCTAATGGTCATGTGCTTCACTTTCCAGTGTGGTAGCGTATTCAGTAATCATGGGAGCACTAATGGCAAGTGGGAAGGAGGTCACAGGAAAAATCCCCAAAGGAAAGGTGAGTTTGGTGTTGGAATGAGTAAACTAAAGCCTTTCAATGATAATGACATTGTCACCGGCATATAATCCACATGGGTTGGAGGGCAGGAACATAGACAAGTTACTTGTCTGTCATTACATTTTTTTCCACTTTGTTTACTGTTGGTGTCTTTTTAAAATAAACTTGTAAAGTCATGTTTCCATACAACAATTCATTTATCATCCTAATTTAATAAACAGATGAGATTCAATGATTTAAATAAATTAATTCAAGCAGTGATTTTTGGTAGTAGTACAGCTCCACTTTGACATCTTTGCGATGAAGTTAAAACAACCTGTCAGATTTTTTTTCATTCCCTCTTTCCATATAATACAGAATTAGTCATTCGTAACTAATTAGTCATTCATAACTTGGTCATTCATTTCAGGGCTGTTTGTGGGACATTGCTATGAGCAAATTGCCTGCCATGTTTGCCAACAAATAGTCACTCTAGGTCTAGTCACACAAATAGCACTTTGGGACATTCTCCCAACGTAAAAGGCGCTGTACAAAATGCAAGGATTATTTTATTAGAATTACAAATTTGAATGACCTGTTAACTAGTAAACAGGGTGTTGGGATGTTAATGTTTAACAAATAGTTAGCACCTATTCAAAGACTTGGGTTGGATCTGAGATGTGAAAGGTCGGTGTGGAAGAGAGAGGGGAGAAAGAACACAAACAAATAATGTGAATCCTTACAGGAGATAATTGTGTCAAAACCAAAATACATGCATGCAACCACTGTACTGAAATAATTTAGTAAATTGTAGGAGCTTTTCCACATTAGTGCTACTTGGAAAACATTGGGTATTAGAGGCAAGATCCAGGAACTACGGTAATAAGTTCAACAGTCTTCTCACCCAGATGTCATGAGCATATCCTTCTTAACAAAAATATATATATTTTAAAATATTAGTATGATAAGTATAAATAGAAACAAAAAGGCATTTGCTAGCTATCTTTGAATATTATTTGAATGACAGTTCTATGATTCATTTCAGCTGGTAGATTTTGAAGCAATGACCACACCAAGTCCAGAGGTTTTCAGTAAAATAGGAAAACTCTGGATGAACTTGAAAAGGTAAGAAATTGTGTTCAGTGGTGGCATCAACCACTTGCAGGCAGCTCAGCTTGTGAAATAAGGGTATCTACTCAGCACTGGTTACTTGTTATGGTATTATCGTGGCTAGCTCACAAGATGAGCCCTTATCAACACCTCTGTTTCATTAAAGAGCCAGACAATCTTGTGATTCAAACAACCCATTAATAATTTTGGATAACTGTGGACCTACCTGCCTCAGCAGACACCACCTCATCTGAGCCAGTTTAATCTTGGGTGGGGGGGGCTGTACTTCCCTCTGAAGATTTCAACTCTCAAATGCTATTGTTTTTTTTTAAAAAAAGTAAAACAAATATTTCATTACTTCCCCCCTCCCCACCCCAGTACTTTTAACCAGTGAGCAGCTGAGCCATAGTCTGGGGAAGTCCCAGGTTTGATCAGCAGTCAGTGCTGATTTAGGACAGAGCAACACAATTGATGTTTGTGTCCCAAGTTAGGGAGGAGGTCAACCAGTTCTTGATTGTTACTCAATGTTTCTTACTGTGGGTGTGTGAAGGTTGGGTGAGGAAAGGATCTTGTTCAGCTGTGATGTCCTTAAAGTTGATAGTGTTGAAGCTTTGACATAAATAATGCTCATTTTGCCAAAGTACTCAGCAGAAGAGAAATTGAATGAAAATGTTTTGACAGTTGATGAAGCATAATAAGTCTTTTAAAAAAAAAAAAAAAAAACTTTTGAATCCCATATTTGCACTGTAAATTATTTTTAAATGTGCTGAGAGAAAATAAATAAAAATGTCAGGTGTGATACTTTGCATGTTTGGGCTGGAGCTGACTAAGAAAACAAGACATGGAAGAATATAACTTAAATGAGCAAATTAATCTACCTCACGTGTAAAGACATTTAATAGGTTCAGATTGTGACCTACAGAAAAGCGTTAAAGGTCTAATTGTCTCTATCATGAAACAAAGGTTTAATATATTGGTATCAGTGGTAGTCTGTGTATAGAAAAACACCTGTTGACAAAACTACAATGAAAACATTGTGCTGGAAATTGTGTACTTGCGGTAATCGAGAGAGAGAGAGACAGTATTGATAGGGATGGATCTTAAGGAATGTGGAAAAAGAAGAGAATGGAATTCACAGGATTGTTATAGACTTGCTGACAAAGCAGATTCAGCCGAAATGACCACCTCTCGTTCCTAGAAATAAACCTAAGAGTTATTTACCTGTGCTGTACTATTAAGTAATTGATGTGCTGTTTTATTTACCCTTTGTATATTTATGGGTATGTGGGGAGGCTAAAGATGCATCTCTCAATCAGTTATTGGCTGTAATATTTTTTGGTATTTTTTTCCTTCCTTGCTGGCAGCATTAGGATGGAACAAGTTACATCAAGCTATATTCTACTACATCTTTCAGGTTGAAGTAATGTTCAATTGCAGGATTTCTCCAAACTTATGCCTATAATTTTGTCAGATACTCTGCAGTATGTGGCAATAGATTGATTTAGGATTATCTGTAAAAGCAGTTTGTAAACTTGTCTTCATTACTAAGCATCGGTGCATCTCTTTTCACTATTGCACAATAGTTAGATCCCCTTACAAAGTAGAAAATTCTGAACATCGTAATGGACTGCTAAATTTGCCGTTTCCACCATAACGTCCAACATGACTTTGTTAGAAATGGAGATGAATGGTACAGCTCCACGTTAAATACTCATTTTGAAGAAAATGCTGCCGAAGGAGCAGCAAAACTAGGCTTCATTAAAAGTTTAGAGAACTGCTCTAATTCTAAATTAACGTAAGCTGTGTAAGAATGCGACATTCTCATAACCACTAAAACTTCACTGGTTTATATAATTTTATTATTTCATGTTTTCTCTTTAGTCTGCCAGCATCTTACTCCACTCTTCCATCAGTATCAGAAACTTTTCCAACGATAAGAACAATGATAGAAGTGCTCAATACAGACTCGTCTTCCCATTGTCCCAGAAACTCATAGGACCTTCAGAAAAGTGAAGACCGACTTTCTTGATTGTTACATATTAAGTTATTTTTATAATTAAAGAAATGTGAGGTGCTTATGACTTTTTGATACTGCTTAATTTAATACTTGGGAGGAAAAAACTTTTAGCCTTTTGACCTGGTTTTGCATTATATTTATAAGGAATAGGTCTTAATTATTCTTCAGGATATTGATAAGTACTGTAATTAAAAGAATTATAATACCTGACTGCATATGATATGCAAGTAATGGTATTAATGACCAAAAAGGCACACGTTTATTTTATTTTGGATAAGATTTTCTCCACCTATGCAAATTTAAGTTTCTGGGACTCCTACAACAGAATTGATAAATACAGTGCACTTTGCCCCTAGATAGAGGCTGGATGTCTTGACACGATAAAACCCATCCAAACCAGAATTTTACATATGTATGCCGCCCATAAATGGTAATTTCTGTGTATGGAATGTGTACTCTCGCCACACAGGGATAGCGCTTGTTTACATAATACCAGAGATCAATAGATGCAGGTTGGCTTCGGGACCCCAGAGGATATGTTTGGGTACTGCTCGGTTTAACCAGCTAAAATTGCATAGCTTTAAAATGAGAGCACTGTCTGGCAAGGTTCCAACTGCACATCCAGGGCATTGGCTTGCAGGAATAATCCACTTCCACTGACTGGTCTGCCCTTCCAAGTTCTGCCAATTAGCAATGCTGGCAGCTCCATGTTCAGGATTGCCCTGGAGTGCTGCGGCCCCCACCAGGAATCAGACCTCAGTAACTCCGACATAGATAAGAGTCAATTTTGATGTTCCATTGCCAAGTACATCACCTTGGTGCCTGCTTACCTTCCCCACCATCATTCTAATGAGTATAGTCATAAGAGACCGTGTAAAGTACCTGCAGTTCTTTTACCACCTAATACATTTTGCATGACTTTTTAAAATGTATTTTATTGCTAATTTGGACCATTTTCAGCAGACGACCAAAATTATAACAAGTGCGCAGGTGCCATTCAAAATATAAATGCTTGACTTGTGCCTCAGATTGCTTTTATTCTTTGTTTTTCCAAACAAATCTTTGAGGCCCTATTTACAGTAAAGTAGTTCTTTGGTGAGTAGACCTTAGTAGTGGAGAGAGGCAGTAAAGCCCGAGGAGAAGCAACAGCAGACAAAGGGCCTCTAACCATGTGGATCCATTGTCATCCCTGCAAACATTTGCAAGATTTATTTGGAGTCCAAAGCTCTTTGCCCATTTGCTTGGAAACTGAATCAAATCTTTTCTCCATTTATCAAACATTGCTGCTCTAAACTTTGTTTTAGGCTCTGTTCTATTGTAGTATGTTGGAAAGCGGAAATCAGTGCCAAACATATTCTAAATTTGGACATTATTGGTGAATGCCATGGGGCATAGGTCTGAATACCACCGAATATTTTAGAAGTGTACACAGGACAAGGGCCTAGAAACGAGGGTATGTGAATTATAAGTCTCCATTGGGAGTAGCAGTTCGCTGGTAGAGCATACACTTACCAAATATAGTTTTAAAATGAAAAGTGTTCTGAAGTTTAAGATTGTTTTGGTTGCCTGCCCATTTTTTTTCCTTGTCTCGTGTTGGCTTTCTCATCTCGAGTCTTTTGCATTTAGATGAAGGGGAACATTTCCTCTAATTCAGACTAAACATTTTCAGCGGGTGCAGCTAGCTGCTGTCATTTAGTCTTTTGTTGACCTAACGTTTGTATATGGTACTTTTCAGATTACCACTGTGATTCAGTTTTAAATTTGCACTATATTTTCTTAAACTGCATTTCACAGAAATGTAATTACAAATGTGCTTTACTTACACATTAGCATTTTCAATAACATGTTTGTGCCTGATTTGTTTACTTAAATTCATGCTCAAAATTTATTTTGTAAGGGAATCAATTTTGTCTTATTAAAGAGTCAATCAAGCTGAATTGATCTTATGTCTCTACATATCTCCAAGAGCTAGTAATAATTAGTTGAACTGTATAAAATAAAGCTCATCATCAATGTAAGATGGTTGCAGGCCATGTGGTTGTGTAAGTTCAATTATATAAAATTTAAGATTCTTCAGATAGCCATTCTGCAGCACCACAATGATTGCCCTCTAGTATCCTACCCAAGTGGTTCATATTCAAGCTGGCAGTGAAAGTCAGAGGCCACTTGAGGGTGTCACAGGTAAGACTAACCCAGCTGCCACATGTGCACCGACACTAGATGTTGCTGAAGAAATTAAAGAACCTCATCTGATTGAACCCAATTTAATCCCCCCCCGCCCCTCCCCCCAACTGAGGCTATCAAACTCTTGGCCCACTCCCTAGTGGTTCAAATCCTGAACAGTGATCTTTTCTGAAAAGGGTGCACCAGGCAAAAGCAGCATAATACTCTTTTGATACCTTCCAGAGTTGAATATCCTGAAAGTTTTATTTGGTCTCATAAAGAATGGCTACTCAGGTGAAATACTGGAGGATTACTGAAAAAATAAGTTAGAATTCATTGAAAAACAGAATGCTGAATGCCTAGTTGGGTATAATACACTACAAACCAATGATATTAATGGTTCAGCTATTTTATTTTAAAATTCTTATTTATTTGCAACAACATTGCTTTAAAATACATATTGCATTTCATCTAACCTAACAGTATAAATATGTTAGCTGTAATGATTACACAAAATATGTAAAATAGGATTTTGCATGCCCATTTTACCCACCAACATACTAAAAATAATGCTGTGGAAGAATCAGATTTAATACTATACATGCCGGACATCCAATTTACAGTTTGTAACACTTTTCAGGGGCATTGGAACAAAGTAAGTAACTGCTCCACCTACTTCACTAGTTGCACGGAACATAGACGTGGAACGGCTGCTTAAATTATATTGTTAATCACTAGTTAACTATTATAATTGAGGTTATTGGTTGTATAACAAGGAACATATAGTTAAGATGAAAGTGTTGTACAACAGATGAAGTTAGCCTTGAGATTCCTAAGTTCATCCTTATGTAACACCGACTGCATATAATTGAAATTTGCATCCTTTGGTTTGCAAATCAACAAGGCTTTAACAGTAGATGCAATACAAAAATCATTTAGGCAAATGTTTAAAAAATTGTGTTGATTTATCCAGGTCAACATGAGTTACCAATAATCTGTTCTATTCACAGATTAATTAAACAAGAATGAACATCTCCCCCACATTGCTCATAGGTGTTTCAGGCAAATAGTATCCGCTGCATTTTACAACTTTTTTTCCCTCTGCACTCTTGAGATTATTCTAAACAATAATCTTTGTAACATCAGCATCAGAGAGAATAACTCATTTAATAGGAAGATGGAATTAATTGGGGGTAGTATGGGTTATGCTTTCTCTCCCTTTTTTAATTGTCTGGGTTGACACCAATGACCTTGTCAGGAGATGTGCGCAACTCCCGTTCTCTCCTCCCCCAGCAGCCTGATACCTTTGCTCGATCTCATCTTGGGAGGTTCAAAATTTGCTCTGCTCAATTCCCATTTATCTCTGCTATGTAGCACTATACATTAGTGAGCTATTTTTTACTTAAACCCTAAAGTTCTATTCATTTTAATTCTCATTATTTCAAAGCAAGAGTGCTCCATAGTAAATTTTGCTGAAAAATTCTACCAGTTCATCAAACTATTTAATAATAAATTAATGTATGCAGAGCTTTCACTACTATGCATCTAAATAATGTACCACAATTTGTTACAAGTACTCTACCCAAAAGATTAATTATGAAATTCTTGGGACATTTTCTACAAAAATTACAAAAAAAGGCAGGCGGGGTAGTTTTCTATTTTTAATTAGCATGCGAGCCATGTTTTAACACAGCTCATCACCCAGTTCACTGAAGATAATTATTTCTAGTTTTTAGTCTGGTACAGTAAACATATTACTATATATCAGCATGCCTTCTGCATTTAAATTATCATGCAAATATTGGCTTTACCATCTGATAGATTAATTAACTCTGTGGAGGAATACATTGAACATAAACACTTGACCCAGTGTCTTCTGGTGGATTTGCTTTGAAATCAGTATTTTGAGGGATCTTCCTTGAAGGCTGAAAGAATACATTTATTTTAATCACTTTAGGTTTGGAAAGGGAGGGAGTGGAAGAAAATCATTTTGGTTTCCACTTCTGATTATTGTTCAGTGAACCCCCTCCTAGAAAGTGAATGAATGTGGATATAAGAGAAACAGAAGAAACTCAGGCGATGTACACTGTATTCAACAAACATGTGAACATTCACTGTAGGTTTAGAAAGGTGGTCACTTGGGTGAACTCACGGAGTCTCATGTAAGCATATCTATTGAGTTAACACCTTCAAAAGGTGGAAAACTGATTTAACCCGTTCCACGTTATCCCTTTTTCATGGATATCATCAATAAGTCTGCTTGACTGACAGAGCTTTAAGAAGTTGTCCCTAAAGTACTAATTCAGAAAAATGTGGAGCACCAAATCTATAAACTTAAATGTGTGTGTGTGTATATATATATATATATACACACACCGAGTTATAATTCTTTTGAAGAAAAAAAAATGGAAAAGACATACGTAACCCATCAAAGCGTTTTGTAACATGGCAAAGTGCAATGAAGGTCCACAAATTGTAAACTTTTTCTTTGTTTGGTTGAAAAACTACAGGGCTTGCAACTGACCAGTATTTTCACCATCAGAACTGGTAACAGAAGTGTTAGATAGTCTCATAGGCCAAAAGGGCATTTGCAATTTTCTTTTGGTTTGAAAGCAATTGTGATGGAAGCTGAAGGTATTACCAATTGTCCAAAAAATCAAAGCCTGTCTTTAAGATGTTGTTGCTTGTATTAATCTGCAAGTAGAAAAGAAAGGGATATGAATAAGCAATACACGAAATGTGATGCACAGGTGTACACAACCAGTCTTGCTACGGCATTGCTACCATCACCACAACTCAGCACTTGTAAAATACATCTTCAATGGAATCAAGTAAATGAATTATTGGCTAATATTTGGAAACTCAAATTATTTCCTTTATCTTAATATCTTTTGCTTATTTTCATTTAATTTCAAATAATTTACAGTTTCTCCATTTAATCCTTTTAGATTACAATTTGGGTTAGGGTTGGAATCCTGTAGTTTAGTGGTTAGAGCACTCGCCTCGCAAGCGCGAGACCTGAGTTCAATTCCAGGCAGTTCAGGGCGAAAACTTGGGCAAAGTTTTCTTACTCCACACGCCTAATAATAATCCCTCCAAAACAAAACAATAATAAATTGGTCATTTTCAATCCACGATTGTTTATGGGACATTGCTGTGCGCAATCGGCTGCCGCGTTTCACCCACAAATACACGGTCAATTCACTTTACAGCATATTCTGTGAAGTGCTTTGAGACGTCTTGAAGACGTGAAAAGTGCTATAATAATAATCCTTGTATTTGATATAGCGCCTCATCATGTCTTCGAGACGTCTCAAAGTATTTCACAGAATATACTGTAAAGTGACTATATTTTGTGGGCAAAACGTGGCAGCCAATTGCGCACAGCAGTGTCCCACAAACAGTTGTGGATGCAGTGATTAATTTTTTTAAAAAAAAGGAATTATTACCCCCAGAAAAGCAATCCACCAATCGACTAACAACCAAATTCCTACTTACTGCTAGGTAAAGAGGCGTGTGGAGTAAGGAAGGTTTTCCACTACTGGGAATCAAACCCAGGTCTCTTGCTTGTGAGGCGAGTACTCCAACTACTGAGCTACAGGACTCGTAATTGTGTTACTATTAAAAAAAGAGAAAGGAGTTTCTTCCAGTATCCTGGATAATAATCATCCAAATAAAATCTGATCATTCATTTTATGGTTGTTTGTGGGACATTGCTGTGTACAAATTGACTGCAGTGTTAGCCTACAAAAATACAGACACTAAGTTTCAGTGAAGCATTTTAAAACATCCTCCAGATGTGAAAGGTGCTATCAAAGAATGAGGATTATGTTCAATAATGAAACGTAACAATCAAAAAAATCAAATGGTTGCTTTACACAAATCAAGTATTTTAGTATGACTGTTTAGCTCACAGTAGTCTGAATATATGGTAAACTTTGAAGATGAAGAATCATTTACCTGGGAGAAAAATGGTGTGTCAGATGCACATGAGTCATCCCTCTCATCTTCAGATTCTTTTGCATAAGTTTGTTTCTCTGGAGATTTCTCAGACTGGTCAGGAATGAAAATCTCATCAGGTACGCTAACAGAAGACTGGTGGGGTCGAGATCTCTCCCAGTCAATGAACACAGATGAGACGCTGGTGTTGATTATTCTCTCCTGCTTCTTAGTCTTAGGTTTTTCACATTTATTTTCATCCTTGTCCTTTGATGCAGAATCTTGTCTTAAGTAAGAGGGAATAGATTTTTCTCCTTTCTCCATTGATTTGATTTGACTCGGAGTCAAGGACTGGAATTCAGATTGATCACCCTCCAGCCTGGATCTCTCTGTACTCAATTTCCAGAAAGACGACTCCTCTTCTTTTTTGACTGGCACAAGGGTGTCTACACTTGGTGCTTTGCCATTTTGTGATATTTTGACTGGTTGGATTCCCTGGGATGTTTTTACTGAGTGATTTCCCTGAGATGTTTTGAGGGGATGGCCTCCTTGGGATATTTTTCCTGGCTGCCGGTGTTCATTCTGAGGAGGAAAAATTCCTTGTTCTGAAGTAGTAGCAGACATGAGGCTAAATTCCATCTGACTCTTTAAAAAAAATGAATGAGACATTTATATAACATTCACATTAGATGTTTTGAAGTACAATACAGCAAGGAAGTTAACTATATTAACTGTTTCCTGGGTTTTAAACTGCATTGTATTAACTATAATGTTTCATTCAAACTACAAAAATAAGCTTAATTGAAAGTAACAAATCTCCCTTCATTGCAATTCTATCAGTATCAACAAGAATCTCAAACGTGATGACAAATAAAAACATAATGGAGTGAATCACCAAAAGCTACTTTCGTGCTCCAAGAGCACGAAATTTGTCCAAGAGTTTCAAGATGTTCATTCTACATGAAAGGTGCTGTTATGCGCCTCTTCAGGGTTGGCTTAACAGCCACGTAACTTTTTAAATTTATATAGCACCTTTCATGCAGGTTAGCATCTGAGTGCTTAATAGTGGTGGAGCCTAATGCCAAGTCAATGGGGAGATGACCTCAGGCATGGTTGAAAGGGCAAGTCTTCAGGCATGATCTGCAAATGGGGATGGAGGTGGCAAGGCAAAAGGATCGAGGGAGAGAGTTTGGGGCGTGGTGGCTGAAAGCACAGCCACCGATGGTGGAGGGGGATGAGGGACAAGCAGAACGCTGGAACCAGCCCAGTGGAGGCAGCGGGTAATGTAGTAGGGAATAAACAAGTCAGAGAGGTAGGGAGATGTCAGGGCACGAAGGGATTTGTAGCTGAGTGCAAGTATCTTGAAGTTGATCAATTCTGTGATTATGGAGCCAGTAGAGTCTGGCAAGGACTGGTATGATGGGAGTACAGAGTTTAGTGTATGCAAGTATACAGGTAGCAGAGTTTTGAATGAATTGGATTTTGTGGATAGTGGGAAGAGCATTGGAATAATTGAGGCGGGAGGTGATTAAAGTGTGGATGAGGGTTTTTACTGTGTTGGGTTTGTGGTATGGTTGGAGGTGGGCAATATGATGGAGCTGGAGGGAAGAGTTCCTGGTCACGTATGTGGAGGAGGAAAGACAGCTAGGATTGAACCCAACACCTAGGTTATGCAAAGACTTGGCAAGTCTGAGGAATAGGCCAGGGAGATCCAGGAGTTCAGAGCTTCAGGAGAGAAGACGTTAACGGGAGCCAAGGAATATGGCTTCTGCCTTGTCAACATTTAACTACAGGGAGTTTGTGCTCATCCAGGCCTTGACGCCTGTCAAGCAAGCTGACAGAACATCAGCAGACACAGAATCAAAGCTGGAGGGAGAGAAATAGCTTTGGGTGTCATCTGCATACATGTGGAAGTTGACCCAGAGTCTGCGGATGACATCGCCGAGAGGGAGCATGTAAATAAGGAAAAGAAGGGGGCCAAGGATGGAGCCTTGGGGTATGTTGCAGGTGATTGGGTAGCAGCGGAAGGGAAAATTTAACTAAGTGAAGAGCAGCAGACTTTGTTGTACAACTGCTACAGTGTTCATCCAACTCAAAACTCTTGATTTTGTCAGAGCTTTAAGTTGGATCTCTTTATTTAAGTTTTTTTGCATTTCTCTTCACCGTTTAATTTAAAAATCCCCCTTTCCCTAGGCACAGCTCAAGCATTTACATTGTACTTTATTATACAATACAATTTACATTCACAAGCAGGACATCTCAAAGCCCTTCAAAGTATTACTTTTCTCATACTACTATTCCAAATTGGTTAAGAAAAAGGCAACATTGCACATTTTCATGCAGTAAGGACACGTTAGGTCAACATACACAATTATAATTTGATAGCAATTATTTTGGACCTTCAAGACAGAACAACTTTGAAGTTACAAAACATGGAAACATTTAGAGCAGATGACCAGAAGCGAATATGAAAATGCTAAGAACAGTTTACCTTTGTTTCCCACGAGAATGGAGCCGAATGTTCATCCTGCCATGTAATATCCTAAAGTAGAAAACAGAAGTAGACTTAGTCCTCTTAACATAAGAGAGGTATGATAACATCCATTATCAAGTTTACAGGTGCAAACCAGATGTTAGCAGACAACCTTGTATTTTTTCCCCCCATTTCTCATTTTTGCTTTGTATTTTTCAATTAACCTTTTTATTCTATTGCATTAAGACTTTTTAAAAAAAAATCCTACCTCATACATGGCAACCATCATTAAGTGTTTCAATAGACTATGAGTTCACCAACAATATGAGTGCTTCTGGCTTTGACAAGATGGCTTTATGTGCATTGCACAGTGCTAGAAACACTCCCAAAAGTTGTCACAGCTGACCAGCTGGCAGCAACATCAGCGGTAACCCGACAAAGAGGAGGAGGAACCAAGGGGCATTCTTCTTTGTGTGTCCGTTATAACACGCTGTCTCTTTTTTGGGGATCCAAAACACCATATTATATAAGTAGAATTGTAAGGAACTACTTTTTTTCTCTCTTATTTAAATAGGTAGATTCACATTTCTTTACACATGTTTATACCATTACATGACCATCATTATTTAAGATTCTCTTCCATCACATATTATCTGACCCAACTGTCCAGCGCCTTGGGACGTCCTCCTGATGTGAAAGGCGCTCTATAAACGAAATCTTGTTGTATTAGTTTCAATTTCATCAATTTAGTTAAAACTAATCAGCCTGAAGTGGTTTATTGTCTCGAATCAGTGCACTCATCAGCTTGTATCCCATGACAATAGTTGAGGAAATATCTGCATTTGCCAATCCTTCTAATAATTGAAATTAATTCTGGTGTGAATTTTGCCAGCTATTGTATTTATCATCCTGGCTCTCAGTGCTTTTCTTTGTGGAGACTGATTTTTAAAAGGAGAAATTCATCTTTCAGGTAAGATGTTAAACCGAGGTTCAGGTGGACATTAAAGATCCCATGACACTTCAAAAGAGAAGGGAATTTCTCCCGGTGTCCTGGCCAACAAATCTCCCAAATAAAATTGTTACTCACTCCATGGTGGTTTGTTGGTTATTGCTGTGTGAAACCTGGCTGCCCTGTTTCACTCACAAAATACTCAATCACTACACTACAGTATGAAGTGCTTTGATATCAAATGCAAGGAATATTATTATTCTGTAGCAATGAATAGAGCAGCTTCAAATCTCCCTCTTCCCTCACTCCAATATAAAATATGCATTACAGATGAGTGAATGATGAATATTTTACTAATTTCAGACAACAAAACAAATCTGCAGACAAAATCAACAAAATTACAATACTGGGAACAATCCAGGTACAGTATTTGCTTTATAAAATGTTACTTTGTGGCATTTTTGCACTAAATGCTCTCCCCACACTAAAAAAAGAACTACTGTAACTCCTACTGAGCTGCAGCTGTTTTCCTGTAATTACAATTGTAGTCCTGCAGCTGTTCTGGCATACAATCTTTTTCCAAGATATCAGCCTCCATGTAGTGGACAAGAAAAATTGGAATATGTAGAATCGGAAAGACCATTACACTTCATCTGTCCAGTATCATTTTCAAATAGCATTGCTTTCCATCTCACATCTGAAAACCTCAAGCCATTAAAAATCAATTCAATTCCCTTTTGCAACTGCCCAGAGTAACCACAAACCTGGCCAAATATAGCCTGTGAGCAAATTGATCAACTTGTTTTCGATCCTCCACATTCAACAACAACTTTCATTTATATAGCGCCCCTCACGCAGGGTAGTGTCGCAGAGCACGACCGCGAGCCGGGTGGGGGAGATGACCATAGGCACGGTCAAATAGGAAGGTCTTCAAGCGTAACCTAAAGATGACGAAGAAAGTGGCAAGGCAGAGGGATAGAGGATATATCCAAAGTTTCGGGGTATAGTGGCTGAAAGCATTGCCACAAGGGACATGCAGAAGGCTGGAGCCAGATTGACAAACTGCTTTAGCCAGCTTGTCCTAGCTTGGACCATCAGCATAGACAGCCATGTAGGGCATGGTGCCAACTGGCACAGACATTGATTTCTGCTCACGACCAATTAACAACTCCACCAGGGTACTAGGTACCCTCATCAACTCTGAAAAAAGTTCCAATTGATTACAACCATTTATTCAACTTTCACACGTGTAAAGAAATGAGGATCTCTGCATATTTAAACGAGAGAAAAAAATATTGTTACTTACAAGGCTACTCTTTTATAATGTGGCGTTTCAGATGTATAAGAAAATAGACCTTATTATAATGGGGGCACAAAGAAATATGGCCCCTGGGACCTCAGAATACAGTACATTTTTGTTAGCTCTACTTCTATTTAAAAGATGAATGGCTCATGGTTATTTCAGCGCCTTGGGACATCCTCCCGACCTGAAAGGCACTATACAAATGTAATGTTGTTGTTGTTAAATCCTATGAAACCACTCATGGTTACACAGTCCAATCCATAAAGCAGAAAGTATACCAAACAGTGCAATTTTTCATCCCCAGTGTAGATCTATTTTATTGTTACCTAACACCATATCTCGGCATAGATTTAAGTCCCTTTCTTTGTTCTTCATTATGTCATTCTTCATGGCAGGTTGTCTTAATTCACATGGTTGTATAATAAAACTGAATGCTTTATCTGAGTGATTTAAGTTCACAGGCAATAGTAACATGAACTGTTAACTTGTTTTTTTAAAAATAGTTCATCAACCCAATGATGTAGTATCTATCAAATCATTTTTTAAAAAATCATAAAATACCCCCTTCTGGGTATTTTTAAGGCATCTTATCAGCACATTTTGTCAAAAAGTGAAGAAAAAAATCAGGGAGTAAATTTAATTAAAAAAACGTACATTTGGTGAAAACTAAAATCTATTTTAGAATATTCCTTCAATGGCTCCATCCTGAAATTTGCCTAGCTGCAATTTTGCTTCCGGAAATGCATGTGTGTAGTTCTAGTCACAAAAAAAGGACATTTGGGTAAAAAATCTGCTTTTGACAAGTGACTTTCACCCAAAACACAGATAATTAATTATTGGCGAAGATGGGTTAAAAAGAGCCTAGTGGTCAATAAGTATCTAACAGCATCAAAATCAGTCTGTAGAAATCTTCTCCCAAAATAACAGATATGTGAAATAGATTCAAAGATGTAATCTCATCTCAGGATTAAGATGAGTTATAGACTCTTGAAACATTAAAACCAAAGGCTGTGGTCAGAATTCCTGGACAACTACTCATTTATGCATGGAAAATGAGAAACCTAAATGTTGGCCCCAGGTATGCACTGATGCCCCAAGGGATCAGTCCAGCACCAAAGAGGAATTCAAATAAACTAATTCTGTCAACTTCACTCTCTTCCAACCCCACCCCCACACCCCCCCACACACACAAGCTACTGTGGAAAATCAAGAACAGCAGCACCAACAATTTTCCAACACCATTTTCCACACCTTTTTAATCTAAAACTGGGACTTTCAATGATTATTTGGTTATAGAATATAATAATCCTTGCATTTGGTTTAGCACATTTCGCATCAGGAGGATGTCCCAAAGTGTTTCACAGGATATATTATAAAATGGAGTGACTGTTTTGTGATTAAATGCAATATCTTGTGACCTTTTTTCCAATCAATAAATGTTGAGTAATGATGTCACATTTTCCTCTTGTGTAAGTCAAGGACACAAAGCATACAGATATATGGGCTAGAAGGGCAACCTCTCACTTCAGAAAAGCTAATCAAAACTAAGAAAAAAATCACCCATAATAAGTCAAAACAGGATACATAAAATAATCAATGGCTTGGAAAGATCTCAAGAGTGTACCTAATCCTTGGGCTCACATGAAAGACATAAAACAGTTTATGAGATTAATTAAACAAAGTGATATAAGGTTATAATCATTCCAAGCTTATATGGTTTATCTCTATGAAATGTAATGAACTGCAGACCTATATTTATGTCTATATTAAAAACATATTCCCATCAGTCCTTTCCTTAATTATCAGAGAAGCAAAACATTTTCCAATAGGAGAACTGCAGATACTTAACACATAACTGCCAGCATAAATAATAACTAAGTTAACCTAATTTGATTCAAATGACGACCATTTAACTGCTGGCATTTTGCTCTAATGGATGTCATGTGAACAGCTTATTTCCTCTATAACCTTGTAAAAACACTGCACATCTACACACATACCATATACACCAATGCACTTTAACCTGGTAAATATTCCTTGTGTACACAACATATCATGTATAAGCTAACACACCACTTTTTCATACATCATTTTGTGTGCATGCACCCAATAGTAAAGGCTGTCTGTACATCATAATAATAATCCTTGCATTTGATATAGTGCTTTTCACGTCTTCTTAAAGTGCTTCACAGAATATACTGTAAAGTGAATTGACTGTATATTTTATGGGCAAAATGCAGCAGCCAATTGTGCACAGCAGTGTCCAACAAACAGTTATGGATTGAAGTGACCAAATTCTTTTTTTTGTTGAGGGATTATTATCAGGCATATGGAGTAAGGAAATTTGCCCAAGGTTTCCTACAATACATGTAGTCATTACCACCCATTGCCTATAAATCATGCCATGCACATACAGTCCCTAACAATAGCAAACATTTGCATATAGAAAAAAATGTGCCCTTTTATAAATCTCTTATGTCATAATGTCTCAAAGCATCTCACAAGTTAATTCCTTCAAACTTTAGTACCTTTACTTTTGACAACTGGCACAGCCATCTGCGTCATCAAGACCTACAATTAGTTATAAGGTGAACTACCAATTAATGTGGAGAATTGTTTGCCAGCAGATTGAAAGAAACTGCCTCCTCAAATATCACACAATCTTTCTAGTGCACCTGCAGGAGTCTGGGGCTTCAGTTTAATATCTCATTGGAAAGCCTTTAACTCTGGACAGCCCAGTACCTCCCCACCAGACAGACAGACACAGAACAAAAGAGTGAACCATGAGCTCCACGACCCCATGTGAAACCTGAACACTTTTTTTTCAAAAAAAATTCGGAACAGGATTGATTTGCCTCTTCACGAAAACCCGAATGAATGCAACAAGATCAAAAAAAACGTGAAGCCCGAAGAAGAACAAAGAGACGAGCTGAAAATCCACACAATATTTCAAAATTTCAAACCCGAGTTAACCAATTGCTCGCATCACCGGGAGGAAAACCGGTGCTGTAAGAAACTCTTGCCTCATCCACCCCACCCAAACATTCAAAAGTATCGACGCGCCCCAAGGCCGGTCGCCGATTCATCTGTCGTTTTCTTTTATGGTATAAAAAGAGTGAGCGAACACAAAGAGGACGTCTAAAGCGAGATTGAGCTTTCCCCCAAACAACTGTAGGAAAATTGGGAAACCCTATGCTCGCTTAACTGGGAGAGGCGAGTCTGTGGAGCATTTCCCACCCCACCTCCCCCCATCAAAAAAATGTTGTTTAGCTATAGCTCAGAGAGGACACATTCCTGACATACTGGGGAGGGGAGAGCAGGGCTGGGGCAGGGCAGGGAGGGGAGAGCAGGGCTGGGGCAGGGCAGGGCAGGGAGGGGAGAGCAGGGCTGGGGCAGGGCAGGGCAGGAGGGAGAGCAGGGCTGGGGCAGGGAGGGAGGGGAGAGCAGGGCTGGGGCAGGGCAGGGAGGGGAGAGCAGGGCTGGGGCAGGGCAGGGAGGGGAGAGCAGGGCAGGGCAGGGGCAGGGAGGGGAGAGCAGGGCTGGGGCAGGGCAGGGAGGGGAGAGCAGGGCTGGGGCAGGGCAGGGAGGGGAGAGCAGGGCTGGGGCAGGGCAGGGAGGGGAGAGCAGGGCTGGGGCAGGGCAGGGAGGGGAGAGCAGGGCTGGGCAGGGCAGGGCAGGGAGGGGAGAGCAGGGCTGGGGCAGGGCAGGGAGGGGAGAGCAGGGCTGGGGCAGGGCAGGGAGGGGAGAGCAGGGCTGGGGCAGGGAGGGGAGAGCAGGGCTGGGGCAGGGCAGGGAGGGGAGAGCAGGGCTGGGGCAGGGCAGGGCAGGGAGGGAGAGCAGGGCTGGGGCAGGGCAGGGAGGGGAGAGCAGGGCTGGGGCAGGGCAGGGCAGGGAGGGGAGAGCAGGGCTGGGCAGGGCAGGGAGGGGAGAGCAGGGCTGGGGCAGGGCAGGGGCAGGGAGGGGAGAGGCAGGGCTGGGGCAGGGCAGGGCAGGGAGGGGAGAGCAGGGCTGGGGCAGGGCAGGGCAGGGAGGGGAGAGCAGGGCTGGGGCAGGGCAGGGAGGGGAGAGCAGGGCTGGGGCAGGGCAGGGAGGGGAGAGCAGGGCTGGGGGGGCAGGGAGGGGAGGCAGGGCGGGGCAGGGCAGGGAGAGCAGGGCTGGGGCAGGGCCGGGCTGGGGCAGGGCAGGGAGAGCAGGGCTGGGGCAGGGCAGGGAGGGGAGAGCAGGGCTGGGGCAGGGCAGGGAGAGCAGGGCAGGGGGGGGCAGGGCAGGTCTGGGGCGGGGCAGGGCAGGGAGAGCAGGGCAGGGCGGGGGCAGCTCGTGTTGACCACAAGTCGTCCATCTGGTGACTGACTTGAGGCGCGGGGCACACGAACCCCGGCAGACGCCTCTTTTTTTTCCTCTCTCTCTCTTTCTCGCGCTTGGTATCGCAGTGCTGTGCTTGGCTCGCGGAAGGCAGACACGCCGCTGACAACTCGCTCACCTCATCCCCGAAATGCACGACCTTCTGGCCTGTCTGGAGCTGCAGCGTCGGGAAGCAGACGGTGTCCTCGCGCTGGATCCGGTGGAGGGCGTATCTGGTGCGGATCTGCGGGTCCACCAGCCAGTTGTCGATGATCTCCTCCTGCTCTTTGGGCTCCAGCCTCTCCCACTGTGGCCCGTACCGCTCCTTGATTTTCTGCCTCTCCAGCATGATCTTCCTCGCCATGGGGCTGATGGACGAGAAGTACTCGAATTTCTTCTGCTCCAGCCCGTTCGCGACCGACTCGCGGCCCGCCAGCACGACGGACGCCATCATCATCCCCCTCCCCCGCCGCCGCCGAGAAAATAACCGCCGCTCGCTCGCTCGCCCTCCTCCGAGCGAGCTCGAGCCCAACCCCTCAACCGTCACCGCGCGAGCCGGACCGCCCCGCGTACGTCACCAAACCAACCAGGCGCGCCCACGCTCTCAAGCGCGCTCACTTCACGCACGCGCGCGCACGCGCGACTGCCAGTCACTTGCGAGACGAGAGGCCCCGCAATGGCTCCCCGGGGGGTCCACGCTCTCACCCGACCGGGAGGGAGGGGGGGGGGGGTCGTCTGTCTGACACGTGCTGAAACCCATCACCGTGCTCCAGGGCAGCTCCACCACAGTCCCACATCTGTCTGCCTGCCTTCACATCCGCCCACAAAATATACAGTGCATTCACTTTAGGGGGTATTCTGTGAAGCCTGGAAGATGTGGGAGGGCACCAGGTCAAATGCAAGGCTTATAATAATAATAATAATAATCCTTGCATTTGATATAGCGCTTTTCATGTCGGGAGGATGTCCCAAAGCGCTTCACAGAACACACTGTAAAGTGAATTGACTGTATATTTGTGGGCGAACGCGGCAGCCAATTGCGCACAGCAATGTCCCACAAACAGTCGTGGATTGCAAATGACCAATTTATTATTGTTTTTGGAGGGATTATTATTAGGCTCTGTGTGGAGTAAGGAAACTTGCCCAAGGTTTCACCCTCTGCCTGGAATTGAACTCAGGTCTCTCGCTTGCAAAGCAAGTGCTCTAACCACTGAGCTACAGGACTCCACGGACTCCATTATTATTATTATTAAGCATTGCATTTCCCTGTCTGGGATAAAAATGCACATTCTCTCTCCACGGAGGGATGTACTTTGTTCCAGAGTATTGGATGTAGTTTAACATAAGCCCAGACTTGGAGATCCCAGAGTGTTCACTGTGGTACTTACTGCTCCATGCCAGAGTTTAACTACATGGCTAGTAACATGGCTGGAAAGCACTCACAGATCACAAATGGTGAAAGCCCCGTGAATAAGGATGAAGCAAGGAATAAGTGTAGAACGTTTACAGCACAGAATGTTGTACAAGGGACATCTATTGACATTTTATAATCAAATGCAAAAAAGGTCAATGGATCGCAAAACACAAAATAAGTGTTTTTTGCTTTTTACAATTGACTTCAATCAAAGTTTGGTCATATTTTTAAAAGCACTTTGAGATTTGACCAGCAAATGTAATGGATGACAATTTATTTTCATTTAGTTAGCAACCCATTTTAACTATTGCCACTCGGAAGAATAAAACAAGTATAAGTACATTATGTATTGAATGTCAACAAGACATTCAGTGCCTCCACATCTCAGGCGCTGACAGCATCATCATCCACGGATGCACACTGCACCTAACTAAGCCAGTCCAGAACCTTGGCGTTTTGTTTGACCCTCAACTATCCTTTACACCTCACATCTCTGCCATGACCTACTCTGCCTTCCCCCACCTCCGCAATATCGCGAGGCTCTGCCACTGTCTCACACTGCTGGCCACCGAAACCCTCACATACACACACACAGTGGAGTCCTGTAGCTCAGTGGTTAGAGCACTCGCCTTGCAAGCGAGAGACCTGGGTTCGATTCCCGGCAAGGTGAAACTTTGGGCAAGTTTCCTTACTCCACACGCCTGATAATAATCCCTCAAGAAAAAAACAATATTTGGTCACTCAATCCACGACTGTCTGTGGGACACTGCTGTGCGCAATTGACTGCCGTGTTTCACCCACATATACAGTCAATTCACTTCACAGCATATTCTATGAAGCGCTTTGAGACGTCTAGAAGACGTGAAAAGCGCTGTATCAAATGAAAGGATTATTATTATTCATAACATCCAGGCTTGACTATGCAAACTCCTTACTTGTCAGCCACCCCAACTCCTCCCTCCATAGGCTGCAAATCATCCAGAACTCTGCAACCCGTGTCCTCCCGAACCAGGCTCCATGACGCTATCACCCCCACCCGACTCCACTGGCTTCCCATCACACAGAGGATAGTTCAAGATCCCGAACCTCACCTTCAAAGCCCTCCATGGCCTTGCTCCCCCCTACCTCTGTGACCTCCTAACCTCTACCAACCTACCCGCTTCCCCAGCTCAGCGAGCTCTGGCCTGCTTCATGTCCCCCACCCATCACCCCACCATTGACGGGCCGGTTTTCAGCCATTTTGCCCCCACCCTCTGGAAATCCATCCCGCAGACCCTTTGCCTCACCCCCTCCCTTGCCTCCTTCAAAACCTGTCTCAAGCCCCTCCTCTTTGAGTGTGCCTTCAATCATCCTCCTTCCCTTCCCCCTGCTCTCCAGCCTCCCTGATCCCAACCCCTATGTCAGGTCCGAAACAGATTGTACAGCGCCTTGGGATATCCTCCCTGTGTGGAAGGTGCTACACAAATGTAATTTTGTTGTTATATGGGTCTACAACACTTGTTGATCATTGTTATTCCAGACATTTCCTGGAATGTTCACAACTAGCGAATAAATGATTTGTTAATGTTGCACGTGTAACATAGAAAAAACAATAGTTTGAGTTTCAATGTTAATCAATATATTTTTATTTCTCCAACATATGAACAGGCTACTCATTTTATTTACTCCACTTGTAACTGCCTTCCATTATAATTTGATTATCATCATTAAATTGGATGAGAAGAATTTCAGCTAACTGAAATTTTATTCCCATCTTTATACTTGGGCGATTCATGCTGAAATATTGAACTCTTATTAGACACTCTTTGCAACCTTCAGTGAGTTTTTGTTTCATATTCTCACTAACATAAAAAATTGGGTTCATCACAAATCTATTGCAATAAGATCAGATGTTTCACTTTAATTTGTGCAGCATAGAAAGCTAACCAAATTTCTTTTAGGTTAGCCAATTCACAAATTTCCATGCCCAATTTCACAATTCTGGTCCCAGCAAATTAAAGCAAATGGAAAGATTTAGAGTAGAACATCCTCAGATGAGATGTTAAACCGAGATCCCATCTGCCTGTTCATGTTCAGGTGAACATTAAAGATCTCATAGTATTATTTGAAAAAAGGGAATTTCTCCTGTCACCCTGGCCAACAAATCCCCCAAATAAAATTGGTCATTCACTTTGTGGATGTTTGTGGTGCTGTGCGCAAATTGGCTGCGGGGTTCATGCACAAATTGGTTGCGGGGATAATAATAATAGTCCTGTAGCTCAGTGGTTAGAGCACTCGCCTTGCAAGCGAGAGACCTGGGTTCGATTCCAGGCAGAGGGCGAAACCTTGGCAAGTTTCCTTACTCCACACATAATAATAATCCTTGCATTTGAAATAGCGCTTTTCACGTCGGGAGGACGTCCCAAAGCGCTTCACAGAACATACTGTAAAGTGAATCGACTGTATATTTGTGGGCGAATGCGGCAGCCAATTGCGCACAGCAATGTCCCACAAACAGTCGTAGATTGAAAATGACCAATTTTTTTAAATTATTTTTTTTGTTTTTTTTGGAGTGATTATTATTAGGCTCTGTGTGGAGTAAGGAAACTTGCCCAAGGTTTCGCCCTCTGCCTGGAATTGAACTCAGGTCTCTCGCTTGTAAAGCGAGTGCTCTAACCACTGAACTACAGGACTCCACATAATAATCCTTGCATTTGATATAGCACTTTTCACGTCTTACAAACGTCTCAAAGCGCTTCACAGAATATGCTTTAAAGTGAATTGACTGTATATTTATGGACGAAACGCGGCAGCCAATTGCGCACAGCAGTATCCCACAAACAGTCATGGATTGAAAATGACCAATTTATTATTGTTTTTCTTGAGGGATTATTATCCGGTTTGTGGAGTAAGGAAACTTTCCCAAGGTTTCACCCTTTGCCTGGAATCGAACCCAGGTCTCTCGCTTGCGAGTGCTCTAACCACTGAGCTACAGGACCCGGGGTTCATGTGCAAATTGGTTGCGGGGTTCATGCGCAAATGCAGTATTTCATGTGAAATGCTTTGAGAATCCCAACAACGTGATATGACGCTATAAGCATTATTATTCCTATTCAAAATACTCCCCCTAACTTCTTAAAAAGATTTCAGATGGTTGAACTAAAATATCTTTGCTACCTTGGCAATACATTGGTTTAAGTTGATTTAAAAACAAGGAATTTCCCCAAACTCAGGCTCACATCTATTGGAAGTTGAGAGTAAGCTACATTCTGACATAAACATGGGGCGTGTGGTATTTTATTGCATTGAAAACCATCGCTCAGTTCGTTGCCAATGAATTCCAGTCAAACAATGGTACTATGCAAAAATACTTGACAAAGAAACCACAGTTATGAACAGCTGCTATTGATTAAACAACCACTGGTGCATACACTAATATTGTTTTCGAATGCAAATATTAATAACTATTATGTGCTAGTATTGTTCTAGCCCCCCTCTCTCCCATTAGGTACCAAACCCAAAAGCTCCACTGAAGTTTCAGTACTGAAGCAGACCACTATCCAGAGGCAAACAATGTAGATTTAGTACTGACAGACACAGAGCAGCATACTGAATTGTGGAATTGACTAGGCAGCTGCCATGTAATTTGGCTTAGCCTATTGGAAGAATTAATCTCAAAAAACAAAAATTTTGAAGGCGCAGTATCTTTGCTTTACATTAAGAATGGTTGTCTGCCTACCTGGGAAGGGCATGAAAACCATATGTCCAAATTATTATTATTTTTTCTCTTGAGGGATTATTATCAGTCGTGTGGCTTTATCTCACCTTATGCCCTTACCTCACACTCGCTGCTGCCAGAATCTTCATGCACAACATTGTCACCGCAAGACTAGATGTTCTCATTAGCTTTCCTTATTAGCTTCTCTGCCCTCCACTATCCAGAAATTCTGACCAAATATTTTGCGATGAATGCTCTCCTACCGAAAGCTCTGCGTAACTAATACTCTCATTCAAAACACAAAAAAATACAAAATTACATTTGAATAGCGACTTTCACATTGGGAGGCCTCATACTTACCAGGCTCAGTTAATTCCCACTATCTGAAAGGATTAAGTTCAAGACCATTGTCAGTCATCAAATTCCTCCATGTTCTTGCCTCATTCTACTCAATCTCTAGCCCAGCATTCCAGCTCTTCACTCCCAATGCTCCTTAAGTGGCTCAGCCTTCGGCCACCTTATCATTTGCAGTTCTGTTTCAAAACTATTCTGCCCAATTACCTCTCTCCTTGCCTTCAAAAATGGCCTAATATATCTCTTTGACCAAGATCCTTAAATCTGTCATTCCCCTACCAGGTGTGCAACAAATGCTACATTTGTCAAAAGCTTTTGAGACATTGGTTTACTTGAAAGGCACTTATAAATACAGGTTATGGGTTTCCTCCTAAACTTTAGTTGCTAGCCGCACAATGACTAATACAGCAATTCGCTGCCAACATTTGTTAAGAAAAACACACAAAAGTAATGAGCGCTCCTGTTTCTTCCTCATTTTCGATACATGCAGCAGCGCTGAACAGCTGTGTAATCCCCAAGACTCAGGTCCATGCCTATCACTGTATTTGAATCAGGATAAATTTAGTGTTGCAAGGACCAACCATTCAAAGGTACATAATTGTGCAATGTTTTTTAAAAAATATTTAAATATATAGCCTTTGGGTTGCCTTACTGAAGTAGTATTGCACCATCTTCAGTTGATGGGGAAATAAGTACCTAATGACTAATTTATATATAATATATATATATACACTCCCATGATTGAGATTCAACCCCCATGTCGTGAACATTGCTGTTCCCTGCACTTCAGATCTGTGACATGTATCTTTCACTTTGCAGTTTATTAAATAATATGTTTTCCATGAGATTTGGGACATAGTCATATTTCTTGTCTTCTTTGACAGCTTCAGTATGCCAACTCTTAGTTCTCTTGCTGTACCTGGCACGAAACCTGGTGAAGAAGATACATCAACTGCTTTTATTTCTACTCCAATATCATTCTTTAAACAAACAAATTATTTTGATGAGATATTTGATGACAGATTTGTCTGGCAGATATTCATATTTCACAATGAGCAGTAGAGTTTATACACTTATTAAAATAATCATCCAAACTGATAAAAAGCTTGGCCTTTCACTGCACCAGTAGAGTGGAACATGCTTACTCACTTTGCATAGGAGGTCTCGTTAAAGTACAGTCCTTGGGCCAAATAAAGCCAGTTTCGTCACCAGATTAAAGTCAACAAGCATTTTATTTGCATGCTGAACATAATTCCAAAAACAAATAATAAACTATGGCAGCCCAAAGGCTATACATTTAAATAAAACCCACAGTTCCTTGTTTTGTTCACCAGTTCCTTGTTCATCCGGACAATCAAGTGTTCAGTGTCTCCTCTTTCTCTCTCTATCCCGCCCACCTCAAAACCCTACACACAGCAAACCTTTGCCCTATCACAGATCTTTATAGAAAAACACAAACCATTTTTCTCAATTAAATAGTAATAGCAGTTGTTTGATTTGGTTCAAATGACAAATTACACAACAGAATTAAAAAAGGACCATCAAGGGCTAAACCCACCTTTACCATTTGTCTGGTTCAAAAAATAGATTTATGTTATGAGCTATAGTAAATCAGTACTGTAACACTAAACATTAATACTTACATTGGTGTGCCATCCATGTTCTTTGCTTGTGGACGGTGCAAATGATGGTTGTAGTCAATAGCTGCTATATAATTCCTTAATTTGTAACTCAAGTAACTGTTATAAACAAAAATGCATAAAGGTTATAAATACAGTGAGCAAAATGTTTATTTCTGAAGAACCTTGTGGCATCAGGATGTTTTAGTGACACTTGAACTAACACAGATTCTCAATGGGGGGGTGGGAGTCGTCCTCTATATATTGAGTCAGGAAGCGTTCTTTATCTCAACACCAACTACTGTTGAGGAAGTGAGTGCAGACAACAAAGCTACAGGAGAGAGGGCTTTGAAGGGATGTTGTCAGATTAGCCTCAATGAAATCAAATGGGATGCTGAGCAGAGTACAAAATAAATTTAGTCTCAACTTTTAAGATCTTTGAGCACAACCAGGTGCTGTTGTGCCCTTGCACAAGCCTTAATTTGGTAGAGTAAGTGAGTCAGAGTCTAATAAGCCAATACAGCACTGTGCAGATCCAGGCTCAAATGTTTCAGGTGTGCAGCAATCTAACTCTGATCCTCCAATATCCACCAGCACAGTTCTGAAGGCACAGGCAGTTCTGAAAAATTGCTTCCAAGTTCCTTAACTGGTCTGTGCTGAGAATCCAAAGCAAACTGAATTGAAGGCATATGGTGGTGGGAAGACAGCTTCTGCGGGTCATGACAATACAGTGCTCAAAGTCTCAGATATTCTAAGATTATATAATATTGGTAAGATTTTCTAGGACAGAAAAAATTGCTACCTATAGAGACAGCAGTACAGTTAATTCGGAGCTGGCAATAATGAGGAAAACAATTAATGTGTTAGCTTATCTGGTATGGACAAGGAATTTATAAAGACATTTTTTCCATGTGATTGATATTAAGTAAAAGGAATAATAATTATTCTACTCTTCTTCCTCATGCATGCATTGAGTTTCCTCTTAGTTATCATCTCTCCAACAGAATACCAAAAAGTTTGTTTTTTAAATACCCATTTATATTGTACTTACTCATAGCTATGTCTTCCTGAAGCATACATCTGTAAGTAATTGTGAAAGGACTCCATATGATTGTTATGTCTGAAACAGTAAAACATTTTCCTGCATGATTGAAGTCATTGTTTTAGCTTTAAAATTTCCCCTTTAAAAAGATGTCCATTTGATTTCTGAGGGTACATTATACATTCCTCCACTTTGGTGCGGGTGATTCTGTGAGCCGCATAATTTTATAGGAGCAATATATAACACATCTCAGTTTTGTAGCTTTTATGGAGTCACCAGCTTAAGTCTTACCATTAGTAAGGCTAAACACCAAAAGGATTTTAAAAACTTACCTAAAATATTTAAATCGACTAATGTTTCGAAGGAAATTTCTGTCCAAAATAATCTGACGTAGGATCTTAAGTGGAGGACTACTGTGTTGTATCCATGACTTGGCCTGGTTGTGCTCTTCCTCTTGTATTGGTTCATGGTTACACGTTGTCTCTCCTGCACTGTTGGGGACAACCCATTCATGCTCGTTTACAACATGATGCAAAAGACTGGCCCACCTCTCCTTGGATGCAAAGAAGAGCAAAACATCACATTCAGTAATAACACAATCAATTTTATATATGACAAAATTGGTTATGTGCATATGTAAAATCATTTGTAGTTCTAAGCCACCAAAAATGAGCTGTTTGGTGACTTTTTCAAATGTTGCAAATACAACTGACAATTGCTTTTACACTGTGAAGATTCATAATATGGCAGTGCACATTTAATTTTAATTGAATTAATAGCTATGATGTGTAATTTTATGAAAATCAAAAATTTTAATGCCAAAAAAGTAGATTCTTAACAGCATGTGCAACTCCACATTAGGATCTCTTTATAAGGTGGTTTAAAGCCTAACGTAGAAATATTTGAAACAGGAAAGGCCATTCAGCCCATCAAGCTTGTTTCACCAATGTATTAGATCTCACATGGAAATTACTGGGCGTTTCCTGAGAGTGTGTGCACTGTATTCTATTATATTCCACATGGAAACTCTGTTTGGTTTGGATACTCTTAAATATTGTGATGGATTTTCAGCACACACAGATGACCAAAAAAACAAGCACTTGTATAAAGTAATATGCTGTAAATCAATTGGAAAACTCTTGAAATGTCTACATCCATTGATATACAAGTTAAATGAAAGACTATTTAAAAAATAGTTACCACCACCACCACAAACAACAACAAATTGCATTTATATATAACACCTTTCATATCATGTAATTATTATTACCGCTAATAAGACTTCATTGCCATTGCAACTCTTTGCACAATACCAGAAATGATTCCGCATTGGTTCAGCCCACATCATTAGAACATCATTGCCTTTCTTCTGTGCTGCCTGAGGAAAACAAAATGGAACATCAATATCAAAGGTTGCAGATGAACTTGAAACAATGCAATTTGTTCTTCATCTGACTAGTGCTATTATCTGATCTATGAGCATTTGATTCAGAGAATGATTAACGAACTTGTATTATATTTTCCATTCCTCACCGTGATTCAGACATTAATTTACCCAAAAGTCAAAATAAAGGAAGGAAAACTACTGGTCTATTTATACCCACTATCATTGTAATAATTTGGTCACTCGTTTCACGATTGTTTGTGGGACACTGCTGTGCACAATTGGCTACAACAACAACTTGCACGTATAAAGCACCCTCCACGCAGGTAGCATCTCAGAGTGCTTAACAGTGGCGGAGCCTGACTCCGAGCTGGGGGGAGGTGGCCGTAAGCATGGTCGAACACGAAAGTTTTCAAGCAGGACTTGAAAGAGGGGAGGGGGCAAGCCGGAGGGATTGAGGGAGAGTGTTCCAGAATTTTACATAAGAACATAAGAATTAGGGAGTAGGCCATTCGGCCCTCGAGCTGCCCCGCCATTCGATAAGATCATGGCTGATCTTCAGACCTAACTCTAATTACCTGCCCTATCCTCATATCCCCTAATCCCTGTATTTTTAAAAAATCTATCAGTCTCAGCCTTGAAGATGTTCAAGGACTGAGCATCTACAGCCTTCTTTGTAGCATTCTCGCCTCACTCAGAAGGTTGTGGGTTCAAGCCCCTGTCGGGATTTTGAACTCCAATACATTGCTGGAGGTATGCTTTCTATGAAGTGGCATCTTTTAAATGAGACATTAAACTGAGGTCGATTCTGTTAAAGGTCCCATGGCACAATTTGAAAACCGAAGTGAGTTCCTTCCCGTTTCCTGGTTAACGATCCCTCAGGGATAAAAAAATTGGGTGGGTATTCAATTTTTCGTGGGGCACTGCTGTGCACAAATTGGCTGTCACAGTTGCTGTACATAATCACTCCACTTTAAATATAAATCCTTATATAATGCTTTGATACGTCCTCCAGATGTGAAAAATCAGTGTATCAAATGAAAGGATTATTATTTATTTAACATGGTATCAATATACTCAAAATTACTAATTGAGATGAGCTTTTCACATCCAAAAATGTGGTTGAAAAAGCAATGCACATGAAAACTAATGTAACTTTGATTATTTTAAAAAAGACTAGACATTTAGAAAAGGCAATGTGTAATGAAAATCAAAGCAAAAGATATGTACCTTTATCACCTTTTTCTGAATGTGCTTACCACCAAGCCAGATGTCATGTGAGTGGAAGATACCTGAATATTTTTCCTTTTCTGTAGAGAACATATAAACACAATATAGGCAAAAATCATCACTGGAAAGGATGCATTTCCATGAATGCCCTTTGTACAATTATGATCATTCAGGAACAAAGTTCAAACAATACATACTTGCAGTCTAGATTTGACCAGTTACAGAAGATTAAAAAGCACAGTGTACACTTACTCATTAATGTGGCAATTTGTGGATTGCTGTCTGTAGTTACTTCAATTACATTCAATTTTGTTCTTAGATAGTCGAGTGAACGTTGAAATCCTAGTTTCTCCATGTTGGTACTTTTGCCACCAACTTCACTTACATCCACAACATCCACATTTAGAATGTGTTTTCTTGTGTGATGTCTAAATGTGTATGTACAATATTGAGCAGAACGGCCTGCAGTGTCATTCGTGCCATCACCACATAGGACAACGTTTTCTCCATCACACTTTTTGAATAGTTTTTCCTGCATGGTTTTCCAGTGTTGAACTACTGCTGGAGCTCCGTAGAGACGCTGAATCTTATAAAAATTACTAGATGAGATGCAGCCCAGCCTCATGAACTTGAATAGGAGAGCTGTCTTACGATAGTTGTTACCGGATATCAAAACTGAAGCAGCCAATTGCAGATTGCTGGAAATGCAACCCTTGAAGCATGGTGCTGTACAAAATTTGCCTCCTATGTGGCGATTTGAACAAGTCCAGTGAGCCACAAGGGCAGTTCCAATCATACGACAATGGTAGGTAAGTTTTTTGGTGCATCCTTTTGACTTGCAGTCATTTCCGTGGATCATTTTCAAAAGATCCATTATAATGTCAATATCTGCAATGCATTTTTTCCTTTCAAGTATATCCATTCCTGGCATTGTGTTATCCTCAAAGCTGATGCTTTCTTCTTCAATGCTCTCTGTTGTCACAGTGTCACTGAGATCTGCACAGAAAACGTCATCTTCTGCTGTGATATTACTGCCAAAAAAGTATTACATTTAACAAGTTATGATATAATTCCCAATAAGTCATTTTTAAGTACAATTGAGTTGTCTGTAATGCTTTTGCACACAAATTCTTGATTTGGACTTGGGTATGCTATTGGTGACAAGGACTGAGTAGATGGTTCCCTAGCTGGAAAGCAAAACATTAATTGAAAGAGAGTATCATCACTTGACATCACTCTCCAGAGTAGCATTAGTAGAAAACTGGGTCTGTTTTCACTGGAATGCAGAAGATTAGAAAGGATCAAACGGAAGTCTTCAAACTTCTGGAAGATTTTGAGAGAAACAATATAGGATTATTCCCATTGGTCGGAAAATTGGTAATAAGAGGGAACAATTGTCACTGGAAAAGTTATGGGAGAGGTTCGAAGAAACTTTCACTCAGTGGATTATGAGAATATAGAATGCTTCTCTATAAGTAGCTACGGAGGCTGAGATCATATAATACTTTGAAGGGAATTACATAAATATTTCAAGAGAAATCAGAGTATGAAAATACAGGGGGGAGGGGGGAAAGATAGCAAGAAATTTGGATCAGAGTAGTTAGTCCAACTAAAGAGCTAGTACCATTTTAAGCTTGGTGTCTTCCTGCACCATAATTCTAGGACTGGAGAGCAGGTTGCCTGGTTCTTTTGATTACACTTAAAATGAGCTGTGATAAAAAGGGGGGTGGGGGAGGAAAGAACTGAACAGCACCAATTGAAATAATGCAGAGACAGAATTAAATAGTACAGAAAAACAAAATAAAACTATGAAAATAGTAAGCAAAATGTAAATTCTTAAGAATGGATAAAATGATGCATTAAGGAAAAGTTAAAATAATACAATATTAAAGGAAACAAGACTGGAAACAAATCAAGTAGAATGGAAAAGTGAAAAGGCTCTGAAAGAAAATAAATCAGCAAAGTGAAAAGTAGAATTCCTAATTCAAAACTAAGCATGTTGCTGTGTACATTTACAAAATATTTGTAAAATGTTTAGCTCCAATCTACCAGCTTCAAAAATGAAGTTAGCAATAGAAAATTATACCTCAAAGTTTCATCTTCAAAGTCATCATCGTCTTCAGCCACAGAAGATGCTTGGGATGAAGATGCTTCACTTTCACAATCTTCTGTTGCTTTTAAGGATTCGTTGGTTTTAGATCTATAAAATGTAACACAGCAATAGGTTAACACTCCAATCCAAATAACTTAGAATTTTCTGGAAATAAATGCGAATATCCTTTTTTGCCAAATATTTAAACCTTTTCTAAGTAGAATTTGTCAAGAATCTATAATCAGACAACTCAATTCCCAAAGGTCTGCAGAAGACTTCAGTTCAATTAAGTTGTTTTTCTAAAAAAAATCAACATCCAGAAATTAGTAGAAGCGCCGTAAAGAATACAGTAAATAATTGATTAGTACTGAAAAGGAAAATATGGAGTTAAAATCATCAATGTTATTATTATTATTTCACCCACAAAATATAGTCAATTCACTTTACAGTATATCCTGTGAAGCCTTTTGAGATGTCTCAACAACGTGATAAGGCGCTATATCAAATGCAAGGATTATTAATGTTATATGCAATAAATTATTCAAATGAATTAGGTCTTATTCAGGTAGCCCAGGTAAACAACTTTTCTGAAGAAGCTCAATGGACCATGACAGGCACTAAATATGGGCTGCCAGGATACAATTACATGAGACTAAACACTTAAAACATTCCTACCATAGATTGCATGAAAATCAGTGTAACCTAGGGATATATGTAGAATACAATACACAATTGCTCTGAAGACTTAGCTAAAATCACTGAGGCCCTGAATCACCAACAATAAATTCAGTTATTTGTATTACAAAATAATGCAGTACAGATCTGCTTTTTCTTCCAGATACAATTAATCGAACATATTATTGCCAATAAAAGATTTCTATTATAAGGTTTATTAAGGTTGACACACTTACAAGTGCGTTTCGGTTTTCTGCATTAATGAGGCATTGGCAGTTGTCTGATGTTTGGATGAAGCACTCATAAGTGCAGACATAACTGTAAATGAAATAATAATGCAGTTACTTATATAGAATAGCATCTTCCTTGAGATAACAGATTTTGAACAAGTAATGTGTAGTACCATAACTGTATAAATAAGTCACAGGTGTGCACTAGATATTTTGTTACAAAACTGAGTATTTTGTAATTTGCAGTTTGATTTCACATACAAATAAAACATTATCCAGTTAAGAAGGTGATTACATTTGCATCATCACATGCTGTCCTCATCTCTGAATAAGGCTCCATTGTAAAATGGACTGTTTGTCCAGCAGAGGTAGCAAAGAGATTACAGTATGAAACATAGACATGAAAGAACAAATTAAAAAACAGCTGCAGCTATTCCAGTTAGTTCATAAAAGCCCTAGACGTTGGAACTGAACTATACAGACAAGGTCCCAGATTTGATCCCCAGTTTATCATGCATTAGCCTATTCCAGTCATAAAAATGCTGGGCAGAGCCTCATCCCTTCCACTCTATAATTAGAGACCGTGGTTTCAGCCACATTGCCTCAAATCTCTGTAACTCCTTGCTTCAATCCCTCTGTATTGCCCTCTCTTTGCCAATCTTCAAATCACACCTGACGACTTTCCTCTTTGACCGTTCATTCGGTCACCTCCCCTCCCAGCTCGGTATCATACCACACTACTGTTAAGTGCTCCCAGACATTACCCACATGAAGTGCACTATATAAATGTAAGCTGTTATAGACAGTGAAGTTTTGCAGGAATTACAATCCTAGAGAATTAAATAAAGCACAGGCATTTTTGCAGTACTTTATGATGGAGAAACATCTCAAAGCACTTCCCTGATAATTACTGTCAAGTGTAGCAACTGTATTTGTAGGGAAATGTGTCAGCCATTTACATCAGGAAGATTCTGATTCTGTTTCCACTAGACTTTGACAATAATAAAATTGGTCACTTCAATCCACAACTGTTTGTGCGACACTGCTGTGCACAATTGGCTGTAGCGTTTCGCCCACAAATAAAGTCAATTCACTATTCTGTGAAGCGCTTTGAGATGTCTAGAAGATGTGAAAAGCTGTATATCAAATGCATGGATTATTATTATTCCACAAACTGCCCTGAGGTGATTGACCAATTGATCTGAATTCATCACTTTGGTGAGGTACTGCAACTTATCACCAGTGAAACTATATACCAGCATGAATTCAGACCTTTAGAAGAGGGGAAATAAAATAGCTCCAAGCAGCAGCAGATCTAAGAGAATGGAAGAGCAAAATAAAGTGAAGTTGGATACAAATACCATATTTACATTATAAAAATAGGTAATTTGATACTCTGCATCAATTTCTGAATTATTAGACATATCAAAGTCCACCAAAGAAAGTGAAATTAGCACATGCACACTAAACTGATACTTCTCTGAACAGACAATGGTAAATAAAAGCACCAGATTTACCCAAGACAAAACTCAGGTCAAGGTTCCTGCCAAAAAAATGTGGTTAATTATTTCTACATTCAGAATTAAACGCTGGTAGGTAACAATCTTCAGATTAAGTTAATTAGTCTTAAAAAAGCAAGGTTTAAATGCTTAGCATTAAACTTCCTCAAAACAAGGTGGGGTCCCATTACACACAGTAGTTGGCGTCCATAACATCCCAACCAGCATTATAGCAGAGTTGACAGATTGATAGTTAGTGTTTCCACATTATGTCATCGCCAATCACATGGCCACAGAAAACATTGGTGGTAACCTGATGACTCAGAAGTCGGGTGTGAGAAGTTGGCTGCTGGTCCACAGAGCAGCTGAGTTAGTTATAAGTGAAACCCATGTTACAATGAAGCACAATATAATAGGGTTCTACTGTAGATACCAGGCAGGATTGACTGTTATTTGTTTTACTTTTTCATGTGCCTCACATGAACAAAAAAGCCCATTGGGTGTTCTCCAACCAAATCCCCTTCTGGTAATATGGGATAAAAATCACGTTATAGACATTTCAGCACAAAGAAACTTCTGTATGAACTAGATAACAAGCTTCAATTATGCCAAATCTGTGAGAAATGGAATTTAAAAATCTGCCTATTATCTAAAAATATTGAAGAAGAGGCTCAGTGGGCTGAATATCCCATTCTTATTCCATGAAGCAATGAGCACAGTGCACTGAATTATCTTTAGTAGCACTCCCATCTTGAAAGTTTCCTTCAATAAAGTGTTAAGCCTTCGACCCAGTATTGACTCGTCCATCTTGTAGTTTTTAGGGCATCAAGAGAAAAATCTTGAATTTCTGTGATCTAAGACAACTACTTCACATCATGCGTTCCTTAGATCACATCCGATCAACCTCCAAAATCAAGGCATTAGTCTTCTTCCACAGTCTTCTACTTTCTGCTAAGCAATGAGCAGTGTTAAGTCTTAAGTGACTGGAGGTCCCAGCTGGTAGAAGGATTTTTTTTTCTATTTGTCTGGACAGTAAATTCCCTGATAAGAAATACTCGTTTATTTGAAAGGATAACTACAGTATCACTGGATTTGGTGGTGAATTCAGTCTTAAGAACTATGGTTGAGATGAATCCAATGTGCCAGACATACAATTAACATTTTCAAATACCCAATTCTTTAAGACATCGGCCTACCCCTACGATGTTGACATGTTGTCTAGAGTCGAGAAGACGTGAAAAAGCGCTATATCAAATGCAAGGATTATTATTATTATTATCCCAATGCTAAGACAATTAAGAAGACCTGTTAAATCATTATGGAACAGAAACAACACTGTGGAATGAGACGAACTTTGGTTCTATACAGATTCAAACTGCTGGCAACAGCAGAAAACAAAGTTGAAGATGTGGCAATGAAGCTTTAATACTGTATATATAGAGAAAAACTCCAAACATTTGCTGCAAGCATGGTTAAGTTATTAACGGAATAACATTCCTGGTATTCTTTCTTTGTCTATATAGTTTCTAATCTCAAATGTTTTCTAAACAATTCACCTTTAAAGAGTTGAAATTTCATCACATGACCATCAGTTCCTAACTGTACCTTTACAAATAAATGCAGATGAATAATGAGCAACATTCTTAGCAAATATGAGGGTTTTACAATGCTGTAAATTGTTTTTTTGAAAAGGCTTAAATAATTGTTTCCAAGTGCAAATACGCTCAATCCAAATGTCACATCACCACATTCAGTTTAAAACCAACTGAACCTTCTGATACGTTAAAATTACAACTAAAATGTAATTTCAAACAACAGTCTTGATGGCAAGCAATATGTTTAATCACATAATAACACAGTAATACTGTATATAGAAAGGGAGAAGACGTACATGGAGTCCATTTGGCAGTCAAGTTGGCTTGGGAAGATATTCTAGTTTCCGAAGAACCTTTATGGCTATAATAAACCAAAAGGGGGGTATTAACAATTATACATTACACTATAAATATATAGGTTTATATGGTGTCAAAATGAAGCACATAGGAAAATATACTACTGCATCAGATTTCCATACAATATGATATTAAACTCCTGTATTAAACACCAAAGGATAATTTGCAGCTGAATATAAAAAAATATAAACCAACTGCAAATATCAATTATGAGAAGTCTGTATATTTCTATTATGAGTCATCTCTACCAAGAAACTTAACACCTATGAGCAAGGCAAAGGGAACTTGCAGTATTTAGTTGAATACTAGTTGAATAGTTGAATTAAGACATTTAATTCAATAACAACTTTTAAGAGAGAAGTAGATGGATATTTGGGGAGGACAGGATTGCAGGGCTATGGAGAGAAAGCGGGCCAGTGGGACTGCTCTTTTAGGAGCTGGCGCAGACTCGATGGGCTGAATGGCCTCTTTCTGTGCTGTATGATTCTATGATTTCGAATAATGGAATTATTTTCTAATAATATCAAATCATTTCATATGGCACATTTAGCATCAAAATGTCTCAAAGCTTTTACAGCATAATTGCTTAAGTGTAATGACTTGAGTGCAAAAACAATCTGAAGGATGAGGTTGGCCAGGACACAGGAAAATCATTTCTTTTGAATAATGCCTGTGAACTTTAACACCACCTGAGTAAGTAGGTGAGATCTCAGTTTAATCTCTCACCAAAACATGTACAACAAATTTACATAAAGGTTATATAAAAGGATATTTTTATATTCAGTTGCAAATTATCATTTGGTAAACCTGCAGTAAATATGTCAATCATTCAAAATGTCACCAAATTCTGTAATTGCAATGGACTATGCATGCCAATATCCACCAAACATACTGCCATTTTCAAAACAAAGATATATTTAAAAAACAATAAAACAGGACAGCAGCTCAAGCAAATTCCTTCTTATTCCAGTAGGACTATTGAGCAAACACTTGAACCAGGGTGCTGAAAGATCTCTCTTCCTACCCGTTTCCTAGGATAACCTCACAAAGATACCAGGAACTACACAGCTATACTACCACCCCCCCCCCACCCATCCATCCAAGTTCTGCTTGAAACCTTCTCTACGCCTTTAGGCTCAGATCATTTGAAAGGGTGGGGGGAAATAAGTGCGGTCATGGCAAGGTGATCCAAAGCTCAGAAAGCCAGTGAGGAGAATAGTAGAAAATGCCTTGTTTTCAGGTTCAACTACAAAGCAGATACGAAAATGAGCTCATTCTTATCAATTCTGTATTAAATAATGTTTTCAATAAAGGAACTGTCGGAAGTGAACAAACAGCTGATCAGTTTATCCAAGGACTATATAGCAATCGGAGAGGGAGGTATACTACCACTAGAATCATAAACCATAAAGATTCTTCAAAACAGTGAGAAAACATTTATTCCTCTGATCTCAAAAAACATCCATTAGCTCATTTGTTGGTTTCCGATGAAGGGTTGTGCCTGAAACAGTTACATTGAGTTACATAAATAAATAAAGTTACACGTCCGTGCATTTTCAGCTTTGTTTCAAAATCTCTCCCACACCAGGCTCCGTGACCCCATCACCCTCACCCGGCTCCCCATCCCTCAAAGGATAGAATTCAACAACAAGATCACATTTGTATAGTGCCTTTCACGTTGGGAGGACGTCCCAAGGCACTGGACAGTGTACAGCATTTCAGACCCGAGCTGGGGTCAGGGGAAGCGGGAGAGAAGGGAGGGGAGGGGAAGGGGGGTGGCCGATAGCATGGTTGAAAAGGAGGGTCTTGAGGCGGGACTTGAAGGAGGCTAAGGAGGGGGCGAGGTGGAGTGATTGGGGATTGGAATTCCCGAGGTTGGGGGCAGAGTGGCTGAAGGCTCTCCTGCCAATGGTGGGTTAGGTGGGTTGGGGGACGTGTAGCAGGCCAGAGCCGGCTGAGCGGGCGGGTTGGTAGGGGGTTAGGAGGTCGCAGAGGTAGGGTGGGGTGAGGCCATGGAGGGCTTTGTAGGCGAGGACCAGGATCTTGAACTGGATCCTTTGAAGGATAGGGAGCCAATGGAGTCAGGGGAAAATGGGGGAGATAGGGTCACATCCTCACTTTCAAGGCCCTCCACAGCCTTGCCCCCTCCTACCTCTTGCCTTTCTGCCCCCACTCTTTGGAACTCCATCCCACAATCCCTTTGCCTTGCTCCCTCCCATGCCTCCTTCAAGACATGACTCAAGACCCTCTTTTTCAACCGTGCATTCAGCCGCCCTTCTACCTCTCTGCCCTCCCTCATCCCAACCCTGGCCTCCCCCCCCACCACGGTCGGGTCCTGATCCCCGACTGTTCAGCGCCTTGGGACGTCCTCCTGAAGTGAAAGGCGCTTTACAAATGTAATTTTGTTGTTGTTGTTGAACTATTTTTCTCCATCAGATGCAGATTGAGCGTCTGTGCATTTTCAGCTTTGTTTCAAAATCCCACTGTGCTCCACGGGAGTCGACTCTACTTTTGATTATCAATAAGAAATGCAATATCGATTCAATCAAAACACACACACACACACAGACACGCATACGCTGGTGTGCACTCTGTCCAGGTAAAAAAGAAAAGTCGAGTTATCAAAACTAAACCCAAATTAATCACTGTTAGTTTTGTTCCAAAGCACTTAAATGTGCCAGTGCAGTAATTCGTGCGAGATGTACTGTACCAACTAGAGGGTGCGACAGTTCCCGCGCCCTTGAGAGCGTTCAGCACGAGGTGAACCTGTGAGCAGGGCTGAGGGCCGCTTACTGCTGGGGGGCGGCGCGCGCCGCTGCCAGTGGAGGTGGTCGGGGCCGCCGCGCGTGTTCCGCTCTCTCCCCGCGGCTCACGGCGTCCGCCGCTCGGCAGAGTGGGCCCAGGCTCCGGGCTCAGAGCGGCCGCGCCGCACGAGCAGCTCTGGTAAAGGTTCATCAGGAGGTTGGCGAGCTCGGCGTGGCTCAGGCTCAGCAGGAGCCGGAGCTGGTCCCAGCGCTCGTACGCTTGGCCCAAGTAAACTTTACTTTTGTTGGTGTGCCGGGTGTGCTCCAGCCGCCGCTTCTTCCTTGTGTCGGGGGACAGCGTCGGTCTCCCGCGGCCTCTCCGCTTGTTGACCTCGGCTTCGGGCCGGCCGGTTAACGGCCCCGACTCGGGGACGCTCTGGCTCAGAGAAAGCCCTTCCCCGACGGTCGCCATCTTCTGTAACCGATATAACCGACCCGCGGGGCTCGAGCGAGCGAGCGAGTGCGCGCGCGGCACTGTCCGGCGACGTTACGTCTCCCGCCTTCTCATTACGTCACGACGCACGCACGGGCTGTTTACACACCCGACGTGAGTCAGGAGAGGAGCGAGTCCCGAACTCAACTGAATAATAATAATAATAGTGATCCTTGCATTTTGATATAGCGCTTTTCACGTCTTCTAGACGTCTTAATGTATTTAAACTTAATAAATACATTGATAAATAAATTAATCAACTCAATACACTTGTCAATGGAGTAAGACTTGTAATAATAATAATAATCCCTCCAAAAAACCAAAACAATAATAAATTGGTCATTTCAATCCATGACTGTTTGTGGGACACTGCTGTGCACAATTGGCTGCCCTGTTTCGCCCACAAATCTACAGGCAATTCACTTTATGGTATATTCTGTGAAGCGCTTTGGGACGTCCTCCCGACGTGAAAAGCGCTATATCAAATGCAAGGATTATTATTATTATTAATAAAACACGAGAAACGAGCCATCGCCAAACCTACTAAACTACCAGTTGGAAATCCCGGTGGAGCTCGAACAGGTGTCGTTTCTAACATCGGCTTTGTTGTACACAATCGTGGAATACATAATTGGCCGATAAATAATTTACAGTCAAATAAATCCATTGCATGAGCTTTGTTTTTTTTTAACTGCCTCCTTGAATACAAATGTAATGGTTTCACAGCCTGCAGTCAATGTTGCCGCACTGGGTGGGTTCACGCTCAATTAGTAGGGTTTTTTTGTTGTTGTCCTGTGCTGTGTGTGACAAAAACGGCTTTGGCGGAATTTTTAGTTTAAAAAAAAACACTGACCAAAATTGGTCACTCTGCTACCCATAAGAGGCGATGCATTAACATTGGGCTCGTGTTTGGTGGAACTTTGCCATCTCTGGTAAGACCCCGAGCGCGACCCGAGCAACATATGGGATCCCCGGACCCGCCCACAGTGCCGGAAACCTTCTTGTGTGACACCGAGTCTGCGCACACTCTTCCATCAGAGGCAGTGCCACGGCCGATGCCACTGTCCGCGGTGCAGTGGTGTACATGACCTCACCCTCTCGGCTCCGCTCTCTGCCCGGTGGGCGGGGCGGACCGCGTCATTGTTTACTGCGGGAAGTTTGAGAGCGTGGCTCCCCGGAAGCGGTCGCACGTGGGTGTTGCTGGGGCTCGCGGGCCGGGTGGCGGTTTGTTGCTGGGGCTCGCGGGCCGGGTGGCGGTGTGTTGCTGGGGCTCGCGGGCCGGGTGGCGGTTTGTTGCTGGGGCTCGCGGGCCGGGTGGCGGTTTGTTGCTGGGGCTCGCGGGCCGGGTGACGGTTTGTTGCTGGGGCTCGCGGGCCGGGTGGCGGTGTGTTGCTGGGGCTCGCGGGCCGGGTGACGGTGTGTTGCTGGGGCTCGCGGGCCGGGTGACGGTGTGTTGCTGGGGCTCGCGGGCCGGGTGACGGTCTCAGTCCGGTGGGTGAGAGAGGATGAAGCCGCTGGTGGCCGAGCTGTTGCTGCGCTCCGCTCCCGGGCCGCCCTGGCTCTTGCTGCGGGAGCTGTGCTGGGACCCCGAGAGCGGGGAGCTGCCCGAGGCCGACCGGGTGGAGACTCTGCGGCTCTGCGTGGACGGGCTACGGGCGGAGGTGGAGCGTCGGGTCGAGCAGGCCCGGGGCGGCGAACCCTGGTGCCCTGCCTCGGGCAGGGAGAAGAGCACGGCCTCCGGGGCGGCGGCGGCGGAGGAGGAGGAGGAGGAGGAGGGCATAACGGGCGCGTTGCGCGAGGTGGCGAGCGGTCGGTGTTTGCCTTTGCTGCAGAGGCTGCGAGTGTCCGGCTCCGGGGGAAGCGGCGACGCCTTACGGGACTCGGAGCGCGGGGGGCCCGAGGAGCGGGGCCGGGGTCGGCTCGTCCACTCGCTGTGCGCTCTGCTGAGCGGCTGCTGCCGAGAGGCCGCCCCGAGCCTGACGGGGGACATCGCCCGCCTCGCCCTGGGGGATGTGCGAGCTCACAGCGAGGAGCGCAGCGCGGGGGCGGCCGGCGAGAGCGGGGCCGGGCCGCGGGCCCCCGTCTACTCGGACGTCCACGTCGCCGTGGAGGTGCTGGCCAGCGTGGCGCCCCTGCTGCCCCGCCTGCCGGAGGGGCTCGAGCTGAGAGACCGGGTGCTGTCGGCCGTCCTGACCGCCGTGAGAGCGGGAGACGAGGGCCTGGCCTCGAGGGCAGCGGCCAGAGTCATCCCGGCTCTGCTGGCCACGGGGGTCCCGCTGGAGAGGCTCTGGGACGAGGTGAAGAGCTGTGAGGGGCCGACGGGGGGCCCCGGCGCCGGGTGTCGGCGGCTGCTGCTGCTGAGCTCGCTCTCAGACCACTTGTTCCCCCCCCACCGGGACGGGCGGGAGGCCCCGGACCTGCGGCGCTGCCCCGAGTTCTGGCGAGTGCTGCAGCGGGGGCTCGTGCACCGCGACAACGTGTCGCGCAAGAGAGCAGTGTACCTCCTGAAAAGAGCCGTGGATGTTTCCCGCACGCTGAGGGGTAACGTTTGCCCCGAGAACGAGAGCGGATCTGGTACGTTTTCGTAGCAGTTTTTTTTTTTGGGGGCGGGTGGGGGCTTAGGTTTTCTTTGCTCAGCTGAGTGACTGTCCCGCGTGGCAACCCAGTGTCCAAATCACACATCATTGAACAGTTTATACAGGATACATATGTGTGTGTGTGTATATATATATATATATACATACAGTGCATATCACTTACACATTCATGTGTCTAGAATGGAATATGCGCTCTCCCTGGAGGGATGCACCCACCCCGCTTACCTAATTCTAAGGAGTATTAGGTGAGAGCTGAGGCTTGGGGTTTGCATTGGGGTACAATTGGAGTTTAACCAAATAATACTCCATAGTTTGCAATTGGAGTCTTGTAGCTCAGTGGTTAGAGCACTCGCTTTGCAAGTGAGAGACCTGAGTTCAATTCCAGGCAGAGGGCGAAACCTTGGGCAAGTTTCCTTACTCCACACAGAGCCTAATAATAATCCCTCCAAAACCAAAAACAATAATAAATTGGTCATTTTCAATCTACGACTGTCTGTGGGACATTGCTGTGCGCAATTGGCTGCCGCGTTCGCCCACAAAAATACAGTCAATTCACTTTACAGTGTGTTCTGTGAAGTGCTTTGGGACATCCTCCCGACATGAAAAGCGCTATATCAAATGCAAGTATTATTATTATTGAGTACACTATGTGGGAAGCTTCCCGCTGCTTATTCCACTACGACCAATAGAAGTTTGGTTTGCAAGATTAACAAGTGTGAATAATCCCTGCTCCCAGTGACTGGTCTGCTGATAAACCAGGTTGGTTGATGTGCCATCAGCAGGATCTGGAGAAGAAAACAGATCTAGTGCAAAATACACAATCGCTTGTACGACCTGTTTGTTTTTATTACAATTGAATAAACAAACATGTCCTCAAATATTACAAATACATTTTCATTCAGTCCAGTGAAAAATGTCCTGGTTAATTTCAATTCTTAAAAACTAATAATCAATTATTAGCCAAATGGAAAACAAACAGTGCAGTAACTTAATAACTTCCATTTATAAAACATACTAGTTCATTTCCACCAGATGTATTTGTACAAATATTCTGCATTATTACACTTAATATATAATGACAGTCTTCATATTTTTCATATGTGCACTCTGTCCATGAGACTCAAATGACCAACTAGCGAGTATACTTCTTGGAAATGGATGTGGGGGCTTCATGGAGCTGAGCCTGTTCCAAGTTGACATGCTAGGGAACAGAATGTCCAAATTAAGTTACCCCTCATGTAGTCTCGGTAGTCTGGTTGCTGAGCCAGCCAGGGGTTGGCAGTATTCCAGGGCACTGCTGATGATAGACTGGTGTATCTGCAGGATTTGAAGGTGCAGTTCAGTCACTGAGATCAGATATTCTTACCACTCAAATCCTGTTGACTGCAAACAAAAGTCCTAAAGCTTATGGTGGTCTTACTAAGATAAGCAGATGAAGCTTGTGGATAGTGCTCTCAAGCTATCCATTTTTAGTTGTTTGAACGCCAGCAGTACTCTAGCATGCTCTCTGGGATCCCGGGCCAACTTGCATCTATTACTCCAGAATAAAACGGTTTGTCCCTCCAGGAAGAGTGTGTGCATTACATTTTCTAGATACTATGTGATAAGGTATAAGTTAGCCGTATGTTTTTACTATACTCTCTGAGTGTTGTGCTGTTTCTAAATTGAACTTTGGAGGCTTTGTTTATTAAAATTGTTCTGCCTTTGCCTTTGTATTTGTAGCTCAGTGGAGTCCTGTAGCTCAGTGGTTAGAGCACTCGCTTTGCAAGTGAGAGACCTGGGTTCAATTCCAGGCAGAGGGCGAAACCTTGGGCAAGTTTCCTTACTCCACACAGAGCCTAATAATAATCCCCCCAAAAAAAAACCAAAAACAATAATTAAATTGGTCATTTTTCAATCTACGACTGTTTGTGGGACATTGTTGTGCGCAATTGGCTGCCGCGTTCGCCCACAAATATACAGTCAATTCACTTTACAGTGTGTTCTGTGAAGCGCTTTGGGACGTCCTCCCGACGTGAAAAGCGCTATATCAAATGCAAGGATTATTATTATTATTATTATTGTACTGGGCTCTGCATTGATTTTGTAAACCAAAAACAACGAATTGCAATAATAAAGCGGCTTTCGTTTCAGGAGAATGTCCCATGGTACTGGATAATAAAGTGATGCATCTGAGCTGTGGTTTGGGATTAGGGAGGGGTAGAGGGCAAGGGGGGTGGAAGTGGGATGATGATGGTTGTAAAGGAAGGTCTTGAGATGAGCCTTGAAGGAGGCAAGGGAGTGGGGGGTCTCTGGGATGAGTTCCAGAAGGTGGGGGCAGAAAGGCTGAAGACCCAATTGCTGATAGTGGAGCAGGCAGGGCTGGGGACGTGGAGAGGCCAGTGCCTACAAAGCAGAGGGAACAGACAGGTTGGTAATCTGTTAATAGTTGCAGAGGTAGAGAGGATCAAGTACGTGGAGGGCTTTAAAAGTGAGAACACGGATCTTGAACTCGATCTTCTGGGGGATGGGAACTAAGTGAAGCCAGGCAAGGCAGTGGATGATGGCTCACAAAGCTTAGTGCGGGAGAGGACACGAGCTGCAGAGTTCTGAATCATTTGTATATTGTGGAGGGAAGAGTTGGATGGCATCTCCAATGACGCAATGGACCCACAGCACTGCACTAGAGTGTCAGCGAGTCCACATTCCCCTCTAAATAAAATTTAAACAAAGTAGAATGTTCCCAGTTTTGAAACTGCTACACCAAACCAGATAGTGAAACATAGCATTGCACTTTCTAGAAGTTCTGATAACTATAGCAAAAATAGATTTTTTTTATCAGTAGAGGACTAAAGAGAGTTGCACATTCTTTTGAAGTTTGGTTTCAAAGGTGTTTCCACGAACTCACACACACGTTCATTTTCATGTGTGAATCCAGATAGAAATTGCTGCTTTTTGACCATAGAGGGCAACACAACCAAACTAGGCCATGTGGGAGTCACATGATTTAGTAATAATAATAATAATCCTTGCATTTGATATAGCGCTTCTCATGTCTTCTAGACGTCCCAAAGCGCTTCACAGAATATACTGTAAAGTGAATTGACTGTATATTTGTGGGCGAACGTGGCAGCCAATTGCGCACAGCAATGTCCCACAAACAGTCGTGAATTGAAAATGACCAATTTATTATTGTTTTTTTTTGGAGGGATTATTAGGCTCTGTGTGGAGTAAGGAAACTTGCCCAAGGTTTCGCCCTCTGCCTGGAATTGAACTCAGGTGTCTCGCTTGCAAAGCGAGTGCTCTAACCACTGAATTTGAATTTCTTCTGACAAATTGTTTACCAACAATAACAGAATTACAAATAAAAAAAGCCCTTTAATCCTAACCGTGCCAGCCTTGCTCAATTTGTAGCATTCTCGCCCTTGAGTAAAAGATTGTGGGTTCAAAACTGTTGGGATTTTGATTTCATGATTGGCTAACATTCTAATGCAGTGCCAGGGGAGCACTGCAATGTCAGAGGTGCCATCCTGCAAATGGGATGTGAAACCAAGGTCCCGTCTGCCTTTTTTTTCTGGCTACCTGTTCAGGTGGATGTTGGAAGATCCCATGGGGCTATTTGAAAAGAGAACCGAGTTTCTCCCGGACCGACAATCTCCCGGATAAAATTAGTCTTTCACTTAATGGCTATTTGTGGGGCATTGTTCGGCATCATTTGGCAGCTGAGTTTCCCTAAAAAATTGTTTAGACTTTGTGGCAAAATTTGTGAAGCTCTTTTGATGTATTTCAACAAAGTGATATATATATGGTGCTACATCAAACGGAGGAAATCAAAATACAAATGTTATTTACTTGTACCTAATTTTAACTTTCTTGTTTTAGATCCATGTCTCTTCTGGTGGTTGGCTGAAAAAAATAAATTGCTTGTACAGCTGTGGGAAAATTATATTTTAATAATGGAGACATTGGAAGAAAATCAGGTAAGTAACATAATTCCGAGCGTATGTATTCTTGGGAATTGGTAATGTGATTATCTTTTGCTCGCAACAGCGACTAAATCTTTAATAACATCTCCAGAATTCAGCCTCACTTTTCCATTTAGCATCTTACAAACCTCAATAAATAAATGTCTTTTTGAGACCAGCTTTTGTTAGCCTTTCCTCCTCCTTCCTATACTGAACCACCTTTCAGAAGTTTAATCACACCCAGGAAGGAGTATTTGTCCATGTTGGTTCTCCAGTGGAATGTAATCCTGGATTGCCCCAATGACAATTTTGTCTTTTTTTCATCATATGCAGGAAAATGTTACTCTGTTTGAATTGATACTCAACTTTTAGGGACCGATTGGGCTTGATGGAGACTTTTTTAAAAAAAAGCTGTAGACCAAGTCCACAGTCCTCCATCTCTACCTACACAGAGTAGATTTCTGATTGAGGTTTTGTTGAATAAGGGCTTGATCTACAAGAAGAATACAGGATTAATATTATTTTATTCTATGTTTTAGGTTCATGTTATAAGACCTGTTTTGCCAAGATTATGTAGTCTTCTAGATGCCACAGTTTCCAAAGGTGATTATGATTAATTTATTTCACTTCTCTTTTCCACTGCATTGTTGGAGTTGCCTTCTCTCAGATAAGATGTTAAACTACAGGCCCATCCCAACTCCCTGTTCTGGTGGATATTAATGATCCCATGGCACTATTTGAAAAGAGAAAGGAGTGTCTCCTGGTGTCCTGGCCAACAGTCCCTCAAATAAAATTGGTTTCTCACACCATGGCTGTTTGTGGCACATTGCTGTGCGTAAATTGGCTGCTGCATTCTCGTACAAAATACACAGTCGCTACATTTTACATTAAATCTTGTGAAGTACTTTGAGGCGACTTCCCACCGTGAAAGGCAATATGTCAAATGCAAGAGTTATTATTATTTTGAGATGGTTATGTGTAAAATTTCATATCCCATTTTTTTAAAAGCATAGTAACCCTGATGACAAACATGTTACCACTCAGTGGTTATTTGTTACTGAAATAAATGTTTACTTTTCTATTTTGTGTTTGATTTTAAAATAGTAGATTTGATTATACCAGAACCTTTTGTGTGGTCTTGCAGAGCAATAGAAGAAAGTGATCTTTGTAAAGCTTAAATGTAATAAGCTTATTTCAGTATGTCAGTATTTCAGCTAGTGAAGTGGTCAGTGAATCAATCGGTTATCCTATTCTTACCAGGTTTTTCCCTACTTTTCTCAATTATTTAAGGTAATCTCTTTTATGAGCTTGGCTCAGTTGGGAACACTCATCTGTGGCTTCAAGCCTCACAGTGGTCTAGTCTGACATTTATTTCAGTGCAGCACTGGGGGAGCAGTTCATTATTGGGATACAATCTTTCAAATGAGACATTAATCAAGATCCTACCTGCCTATTCAGGGAGATATTAAGATGTTTGACAGAAAAGTGGGAAAGCCATTAATGTACATTGGACTGACCTGTTTCTGTTATATTTAGGCATATCCCTTTTCCACACATCTTGGGTCCTTTGTGCTTACAAGCGAATGTTTGCCAGTGAAAACAAGACAATAATAAAAGAAGGTCTGTTCCATTTTCTGGATGTTAATGTCACAAAATACCCTTTCATCACTCGGATGTTGTCTGAGGTAAGCTTTTAAAGCTTGGTACAGCTGATAAGCAAAAATCCTTTCATGCATATTCAATAGTATTTAGCAATTCCCTAAGAACATGTTTTGTTCTCAGGGAATTGCTAAATATTATTGAATTGTGATTAAAAGCTATTTTGGTATGAGCTGATTCTGCACAAATCTAATGCAATTTTCTCACGCTGAAGTTGTCATCTCAGTTTGATGAAACGTTCTCTTAAAATCCATTTAGTATTTTTCGTATCTAATATTTTACAAGGACTTAATTATTCACATGGAATCAGCTGTCACATACCAAGATCTTATAAATCAACCTCTCTGTTCCTCTCTTGTAGAAATGTAGAATGTTACAGCATGTTAACAGGTCAATCGACCCATCAATTCTGCATTAGTAATTTTCTCCGAGTCACCTAATCTACTCCCATTTTTCTGTTTGCTACCCACATCCTTTAACCTGCTTCTTTTTCAACCATCTAATTTAATTTAAAAATAATTAATGGGCACAAGGGTTTGTTCCAGAAAGATGTGCCTTACACAGTTTGCATTCCTTCAGGTATTATGCTCATTTTGGACAAAGAACTGTTGGGGTGCATGCATTGAACTGCACATGAAGGGAACCAAACTGATGTAATGACACTTCTCTTTAAGGCAGTAACATGCTTCAGATTCTCCCTATTGAGAACGAGGACAATCCATTGAATTTGAAGCCAGCTCTTTGTCCTGCATTAAAAAGTTATTGAAGTTATAGTTCATATTAGTATGTAAATTTTATTTTCCTTTAAGTGCCCTGTTCTTTTCAGTTAAATGTTTCTTTATTGCTAACTGAATTCATACTAATTTACTAATCATTTCTTATTTTTAAGTTTATCTGTGGCCCACTGATGGATGCTCTTTCAGAAAGTACTCTCTATAGCAGGTAATAGTTTTGTTATTTAATTTGTCATCTTGTTATTTGTGTTTCCTGATATGACCCTATCTTTGTGCTTTGATGTACAATATGTAGTTCTGATGTACAATGTGTATTTCTGCTTCTCAGATCTCCAGAGCAAACCGTAGGCAGCTGTCCCCTTCTGGGTGTGAAGTTGCAAGTGCTTTTGATTACTTTTGTAGAAAGTGTGCCTGAACAATCCAAAGGTAGGTTCCTGTTGCTTATAAAATGTGTCCTTTAACGGAGCATCCTAGATGGGAATAGGATTAGGCTATTAGGCCTACTATTCTGCAACTTTATGAGATCTTGACAGCTCAGCTCAGTGTTATATTGGTTTGATTCAGGAAATTCATTAAGGAGCCAGGTCTGCAGGAGAAAATAAATCAGCTACTTTAATTAATTAATTAATTAAGCCTTCAGCTTCCAGCAGCAACTATTGATCTACTGCAGAAAGTAGCTTGTTTTTTTTAATATAGCTTAAGGGTTAATCATGTACCTTAAAATCTGAAATAATAATACTGTAATAATAATCCTTGCATTTGATATAGTGCCTTATCAGGTCGTTGAGACGTCTCAAAGTTCGTCACAGAAAAAATTGTAAAGTGGGTTGACTGTGTTTTGTGGGCAGCCAATTGTGCATAGCAGTGTCCAATTAATAACAGAACTTGTGGCTTTAATTAAGAACATTTTAACTAAGCTAACTAACCTTTTTTAACTGACATCTGTTATACAAAAACTCTAAAAGAAATGAATGAAACAAGCATTATCTCTTTGAAATAATTCTGTGCCTTTTGGTAAATATTGTAGTGAACTTGTGTGGCCTCTGTCACATATGACCCTACTTCACTTCATCGCTCCAGAAAATCCTAATAACAGCAGAAATGCAGCTGATAATAATGCTGACTATGTACAGGCAAATGATAACTTCCTCACAAATTTTAAAATTGCTCCACTGTGAGGGAGTTATCATTTGCCTGTTAAGATTTTAGGAAAATCAAGCGTAAGAAAAATATTTATCCCTCTGAATCTCAGCTGTCTCCATCCTACTTTACTCAATATAAGATCAAGTTTCATGTTGAATATCCCTCAGTTTCTGCTTTTTCTAACCTAGCCTGTTAACCTTTCTAGCATATAGATATTGCTCATTAATTACAAAGATTCTTCCAAATTATTTTTCATTATATTTGTAGAATGACTGAAAAATTCACATAATATTTTAGGACACAAAGCATAATTCTCAGGATTTCATCAATAATAATAATCTTAAAATCTTAAGATTACTCCACTGTGAGGGAGTTGTCATTTGCCTGTAAATAGTCAGCATTATTATCAGCTGCACTTCTGCTGTTATTAGGATTTTCTAGAGGGACCAAGTGAAGTGGGGTCATATGTGATAGCGTCCATACAAGTCCACTACAATATTTACAAAAGGTTTAAAAGTTTTTCAGCCAAGATTAATTTTTCTGCTCCTTTCCCCTTACTCCCCTCCCACCCAAAAAAAGCTTTTTATACTATGATTTGTGCCAAAAGATTATAAAATTATTGGTGACTCACTCCATAGCTGTTTGTGGGATATTGCAGTGTGCAGATTGCTGCTGCATACAAAATATGTATGTATGTGGTATGTATGTATGTATGTAAAGTGGTCACACCACTTTACAGTATTTCTTGTGAAGTACTTTGAGAAGTCTCAACATGATACGGAGCTATATCACGCGAGGAAATGCTGGACTTCCTCAAGTCCAAAATCAAGGGAATATGCTCAGCTGCCACTGCCCTCCCAGCTTCCACCCCCTCACCACCACACCCCCACACTCTGACCACTACCCATTCCCTCCTTCCACAACTTTGAACCTGTCAGCTGCTCCTCTATCATCACCACCATATCCTCCATGAAGCCCACCACCTGTTCTCTGGACCCCACCCCTTTCCTTAAATCCCAGCTCTATCTCCTTGCCCCACTACTCGCTGACATCATCAACTCTTCCCTGTCATCTGGCACTGTTCCTACCCCCCTCAAAACAGCCACTATCACCCTCACCTTGAAGAAACCTTCCCTTGACCCATCACAGCTATCCAGCTACTGGCCCACCTCTCCTTTCTGTCCAAGAGAGCCGTTGCCTCCCAGGTTCGCTCTTTCCTCTCCTCCCACTCCCTCCATGAGCCCCTCCAATTGGATTTCCGTGCTGCCCACAGACCTCTGGTCAAGGTCACAAATGACATCTTGGTCATGTGCGACCAAGGCTCCCTCTGCCTCCTCATCCTCCTCGACCTCTCCGACGCCTTTGATACTGTGGACCACTCAATCCACCTCCACCGCCTCTCCTCCCACCTCAACCTTCAAGGTTCTGTCCTTGATTGGTTCAGGTCCTACCTTTCACACGGCCTCCACGTCGTCTCTGCAAACGGCTTCTCCTCCACTGCACTGTCTCATGCTGTGTTCCTCAGGGCTCTGACCTCACCCTCTACATGCTCCCCCCTTGGTGACATCATCCGCAGACATGGGGTAAATTTCCACATATATGCGGATGACACCCAACTCTATCTCTCTGCCTCCATCTTCAACTACCGGATTACTGGCGTCCTGGCCTTTCCGACATCAAGTCCTGGACAAAGGATAACTTTCGCCAGCTGAACATCACCAAGACCGAGGCCCTCCTGATTGGCTCGCGCTAGCGCCTCCGCACCTCGGACACTGGCAGCATCAGCCTCATTCAACCTCATTAAGTCATTCAGGAACCTGGGTGTCTTGTTTGACCCTGATCTGTTCTTTCTCCCCCACGTCTGCATTATGACTGGTACTGCCTACCATCACCTACACAACATTGCCAGACTCTGCCACTGCCTCACCCCTCAGGCTGCCGAAACCCTCACCCACGCATTCATCACATAATTCGCTCGATTATGGAAATTCCCTCCTCATCGGCCTTCCCAACTCTTCCCTTCACAAGCTGCAGATCATCCAAAACTGCAGCTCATGTACTCTCCCGCCCCAGGCTCCGTGACCCCATCACTCCCACCCTCGCCTCACCCAAATTCAAGATCCTTGTCCTCACTTTCAAAGCCATCCATGGCCTTGCCCTCTCCTACCTCTCTGACCTGCTGACTCCCTACCAACCTGCCCGCTCCGTCCGTTCAACGGGCTCCGCCTTCTCCATGTCTCCCGCCCTACCAGCGGTGGCCGGGCTTTCAGCCACTCTGCCTCCACACATTGGAACTCCATCCCATAATCCCTTCCCCTCGCTTCCTCTCTTGCCTCCTTCAAGGCCGGTCTCAAGACCCTCCTCTTCGATTGTGCCTTCGATCGCCCTCCCATCTCTCTGCCTTCCCTCACCCCAACCCCACCCCTCCCCCATGCTTGGGCCCTGACCCCTGACTGTCCAGCGCCTTGGGACGTCCTTCCGGTGTGAAAAGCGCTCTATAAATGTCATTTTGTTGTTGTAAATCATATGCAAGGATTTGAATATATATGTATAATATTACAAAAATATTGCACTTGAACTACCTAATATTTCTTTTTATAATAGATTCTGATGTTTAAGATAATCTAAATGCCATGGAAGGAAGGTGCAGTGAGTTGAAGATAATATAATATTGTGAACAGGGTAGTCTGGAAAGACACTAAACTATTGGCTTGTTTCTTTTTGATTAGGTGACTTTCTATTGCAGTTGATTAAGAGCATGGGTAGCAAGTACTGGTGTGCTATTCCCATCCTTTTCATCTCTCGAGCTCTAGCGCAAATCCCATCATGCAAAGCTTGGGGAGTAGAAGGCCTGCATGCTCTCCGGTAAAGATAACCACAGGAAATTGTGGCTACTTATTTTATTCTGCTTGGGATATTTCCAATCCTATTTTGATTAAATTAGCTTTACGTGATTATAACACAGAGGATGTAATAGAACTTTGATTTTACCGTGAATTTTCAGTTTGCCAGAAAATTCATTCTCTAATATTTAGATTATATGAAGAATAACAAATGATAAGCTTGTAAAATCCTGTAAGATTATACATCTTTGATTATTTTAGCCAGTTTTCTAAACCTTGAGTGTATTCTACTATTAAATGCACACCAAGCCATTTTTATTTATAATGTAAAAATTCCCGGAGTCTTGTGTGTTTTATTGTGTCACATAATTGTTTTTTTTTATATTTAGCAATAAAATTGGAGTTGGATGACTGCTATAATAGTGGCTCATTTTATAGAGATAAAGCTGCTGTATGTATCGTACAAAGAAGACACTGGGTAATCATGTGATTGCAAGTAAAGGTTGAATAGCAACTGTCGATCTTAACACATTTTTTTGATGTACAGAGATTATATAGGATAAAAGCTTGAGCAATGTATAATTGACACCTCCATTCAGTGATTAGGTTACTTCCTTGAAATTACTCTTGTTGTCTGTAAATGACAGTGTTTCAACTAAACAAGGATTTTATTCTGGAATGACATTGTTTCAATTTATTCTCTCCACCTTTGTGCTGAGAATGCCTACTGGTAGATTTTTTTGATTGATGATATAATTAATTTAAGAGTATCGGCATTGTGGAAAAGTAATCTATTAAACTTTTTGTCCTGTGTAAATATATTCCGTACAGAAAGCGAGCCGATTATTGAATGCATTATACAAAATATTTTTGAGACTAATCTAAATTAACCTAAGAATTGTCATAGTACTGTTAGAATGAGATTGGCAATGGCAAGATTGACAACGTTGAGATGTAAGTAGCATGTTACACGAAGGGAGAGTTTCACTGCAAAAAAAAAAGCTCTTTTATGTGATACTTGTGTAGTTTGGCTTAATGTAACCTAATGATAGGATCTATTCTAATTCAGTTTAACACATTTATGAAACCGTTAGCGGACCATTTTTCCACTTGCATGAAGAACAGTACTTGTCTAAAAACCTGTAATTGTAATGGATGTATTAACAATTGCTTGTTTTTATTTTATTTACATCTGATATGTTACAGAGAAGTACTACGTTGCACGATGATCACACATCAAGTGCTGTTACGTGGTGCAGCTCAGTGTTACCTTCTGCAAACAACTATGAACCTGACAGATGTGGTATGGGAATTGTTAATCTTACGTTATACTTATACTTGCCAATATATCTCCTCTGTTCCAATCTGACTTTATTTGAAAAGATAAGACGCCTTTTCTTTACAATCAGTTCCTTACCAAAACTGTTAAAGTTGCCCTTTAGAAGGCAGAAGGCATGAAGGGAATTTCTTCTAGTATCCTAGCCCATCAATGCTCCATGTAAAATTGTTTTTTTTGTTTCTTGGCTGTTTTGGGGCAAATTGGCTGCTGTGTTCTCCTACAAATACACAGTCACTTCACGATAAAATCCTGTGAAGTGCTTTGAGACATCTCAACAAAGTTATAGGCGCTATATGAAATGCAGGATTATTGTATTATGATTGAAGTGAAGCAAGTCAAGTAATGCAGCTACTTTTCTTCTGCAAAGTACTTCAAAGTAAAAACTGCTTATTGGGAACAGCAGCAATCCGGTTGTGGGGAAACAAAGGTAATTCTGCTGCTACTGTAATTCAAGTGCTCTGGGACTCTACCTTGTGTGAGGGCTGCTATGTAAATATTGTTCTGGAGAATCTGAGGCCACTCAAAAGGCTTTCTTTTGAGGCAGTTAGGATTATGTATTGCTTCCAATGCCAAGCTAAACAGGATTGAAATTTATTTTCTGGCAACAAATATTGTATATTCAACGTTTGTTTTGAACAACCAAACCAAAGTGTATTGAAGTAAACCATATTATGTGTTGGTTAATAAAAAAAAATTCTTCTACAATAGGAAAAGGTGTCGCTGTCTGAGATTTCCAACTTCCTGACGTTTGTTCGTGCAGAGGAGTCTTTGTCCAGGGGTACAAAACTGTGGAATGAGGTGGGAGAAATAAAAAGTCAAATGTGTATTTAAAAGTAGAAACCAATAAAATGTATTAATAAGATGCTGCTTTTCACATTCAGGGTGACACTGTGCTCCTTAGACCTCTGGCTTACTTAAAGCAAGGGTGAAGTTGGCTGCATGTTCTAAGCAAATTGGAGCTTTAAGGATGGCTTTCGCAGGTGTTTCTAGTGCAAGAAATGTTGACTGCACAGGGAGCAAGCTAGTCTGCGAAAGAAGTGACGTCCGCAATAATCTTGACAATCTGGAAGTAGCCTTTTTCCTGCAAATTACAATGCGGGTCTAATTTTATTCACCCAAGACAATTATAACAGCATTGCCCTGTAGTTTATAACATTGATTAGTTATTTTTGTTTGTGCAATATTAATTGTACATATTTTGAAAATGCAATTTTCAGATTACAAAGAAAGCAAAGCCATCAAGTATATATGGTGTCAAATGCCAATTATTTAAGTGCAAACTCTAAACGTGTGAGAAAAGAGTTTCTGTAAATGGCCAGGCTAAGATCAGGAACTGGCCATATTGTGGAATTTGTCCCCCAGGACTCCCGTGTGTTCTCTCTACTTCTTCTACCTGTACTTTATGAAGCAGTACCACTAGTTACCTGCTGGTGACACTACTAGTCTGTTATTTTACTGAACTGCACCAACAGCAGAAATGAATAGTACCGCAGACATGGGGTCAACGTCCACATGTACACGGATGACACCCAACTCTATCTCTCTGCCTCCACCCTCGATTCCAGGATAACTGACGTCCTGACAGGCTGTCTGTCTGACATCAAGTGCTGGATAAGAGCCAACTTTCTACAGCTGAATGTCAGCAAGACTGAAGCCCTCCTGATTGGCTCGACCCAGAGCCTCAGCACCTCAGGCACTGGCAGCATCAGCATCCACGATTGCACGCTCCACCTCACCAAGTCAGTCAGGAAACTGGGCGTCTTGTTTGATCCTCAGCTCTATGGAAACTCCCTCTTTGTTGGCCTCCCCAACTCTTCCCTCCACAAGCTGCAGATCATCCAGAACTCTGCAGCTTGTGACCTCTCCCGCATCAGACTCTGTGAACCCATCACCCCCACCCTCGCCCGACTCCACTGGCTCCTCATCCCTCAGATGATAGAATTCAAAATCCTCGTCCTCACTTTCAAGGCCCTCCATGGCCTTGCCCCCTCCTACATCTCTGACCTGCTGACCCTCTATCAACCTGTCCACTCCCTCCACTTAGCAGGTTCAGGCCTGCTCCAGGTCTGTCGCCCGACCCACCCTATCATTGGTGGCTGGGCTTTCAGCCTCTTTACCCCCCACTCCTTTTTGACTGTGGCTTCAGCCGCCCTCCTATCCCCTCTGCCCTCCCTCATCCTAACCCTGCTCCCCACCTCAGGTCCTGATCCCTGACTGTTCTGTGTCTTGGGATGTCCTCCTGACATGAAAGGCACTTTACAAATGTAATTTTGTTGTAATGAAGACCAGAATCGAGCAGTAGAGTAGATTAGTGGCAAAACGAGTAAGCACTTAAATGGAGTGAGGGAATGATGACCTGTCACTGAGCACCTTGGATGCAGATCCAGCTTCTATCTACTTGCCAAAGTCTCTTGCATAACGACCTGCATTTGGTGCCGAGTAAGTCTTTGTACGCGGCATTGGACTTGTACCTCTAGAATGGCAAGGTGACTGGCACATCACAAGCAGTTGTATAAATGTCTTCCCACCATGTTGAAGGCAGATGTCCATTGAATATCTAAGGAGGACTCTGTAGTTTGAGATGAGAACTACTGGAAGGTGTTAACTGGAGTTTGGGGTCATCCAGAGTCACAGGGTAAACTTCCACATGTATGCTGATGACACACAAATGTACTTTGCCTCTTCCAGTACCAACTCCAGGTCCGCTAATGTTCTATCAGCTTGTCTGACAGACATCAGCGCCTGTATGAGTGCAAACTTCCTGCAGCTGAATGTGGACACGATGGAAGCCATACTCCTTGGCTCCCGTCAATGTCTTCTTCTGTAGATCTGACCTCCTCAACCTCCCTGGGCTCTCCCTCACACTCACCGAACCAATGTGCAATCTAGGCGTCCTCTTCGTCCCTCAGCTGTCCTTCCTCCCCCCACATCCTGTTCCTGACCAGGACTACCTTCATCACATTGCCCACCACTGACCATACCTACTCCCAAATCCAGCCGAAACCCTCATGCATACATTTGTCACCTCCCGCCTGGATTACTCAAATGCACTCCTCTCCCTAGCCCCACTATTGAATCGATCCAGCCCTTTCAGAACTCTGCTGCCCGCATACTTACCCAGACCAAACTCCATATCCATATCACCAGTTGTGGCCAGGCTCCACTGGCCCCCAATCATCGAACAGATCGACTTCAAGATCCTCACACTCGTGTTAAAATCCCTTCACTCTCTGGCACCTCCGTACCTCTCTGACCTCCTCACTCCCCAATCCACCACCTGACGCCTCCGCTCGACTGGCACCGATCTCCCGCTCGTCCCTCGCACCGTTCGCCCCACCATAAGAGGTTGTGTTTTCAGCCACTACACCCGAAACTTGAACGCTCTCATCTCAATCCCTCCGCCTTGCCCACTCTCCCCTTTTTCAAGACCCGCCCGAAAACCTTGCTCCACCAAATTTTAAATGCTCTGAGACGCTACCCTGCATGGAGGGCACTATATAAGTATGAGTTGTTGTATGAACACATATTCCTGCACTTAGATCTTGGTATTCCTGATTGGTATGCACAGAGAGGTAAATAGCTGTTGCACTCTGGTGGAATCATTACTCAGTGGAGAGAGATTTGTTCCAAACTCGGCAGTAGGATGTGACACTGCCATCGTGCATTTTATGCTGAGCTGTGCTGCTCATCAGGAAACTTACTGGGAGTTCCTGGTCCCCGCTATTCACCGAGTGAGGGTGCAAACCTGGGCTTGTCAAATGATCAAGTAGTGAATACCTTCCTTAGGGCGCGGGGAGCTCCTTGGAGCTGAGCTGATTCCAATTTGATTTGCTTGGCAAGGGAATAGCAACGGAATGTTAACCCCTTGTGGGGTTCTTTGTCATCCAGTTTGTGAGCTCGGACAGTCTGCAGTATTTCAGGGCACTGTTGTTAGCAAATCAGCCAGCCTGGCTCATCAGCAGGACTTGGAGGGGCAGACTGGTCACTGGAAGCAGCAATCCTTTCTATTCAGTTTCCCCTTAACCCTCAACACCCTAATGGGTAAGGTGGTCCTAGCTAGTCAACCAACGGGAAGCTTGCCAAACAGTGCTCTCAATGGCAAGCAATGTGATTTTGGCTGGTTAAACTACAGTTGTCTGTCCTGCAGACACTGGGGTCCCCAAGCCTCTGCTTTCGATAACCTGCGCCAAATACTCTCTGGAATTAGGTAAAGAGGGTGCGTCGTTCCAGGTGCAGGGAAATTTCCATGTGTGGGTGGCATACATATGTGGAACTCAGTTTGGTTTGGATATGCTTCAGCATTCTGGTGGATTTCCACATTTTCTAGACACCTGGCTAACCCTAAGAAATACAGGGGGTTGTGGATGTGGAAATCATTAATTGGTAATCACGAAAGGCCAACTGATAGAATTCTCCTCGCTCTTTCTAAAGTTAAAACTGAGGCAGATTGATGTGTCTCATGTGAGGGAATACTTTTGTAAATACCAATTTGGGAATCTGAAAATGTTTTTTTGTACATGTACTATTTTATTGATGAAGGGATCAAAGTCTTAGTCATGGTATTGTTTATTAATGGCAAGAGATTATTAATCAGATTATTAATTTCTGATTCAGGTAAAGAAAATAATGTTTGGTGGGGCACTGAATCTGCAGTTGGTGGGATTGTGAATATTGTACTTGTTTATATGATTAGTGTGATCTGTGTATGCATTTGATTTTTTCAGCTCTGTGAATGGCTACACAGGAATGACAGAAATTTTAGACGTGATAAAGATTCAGCTCCTGTAAGTCTAGACAAACGTGCATTAAGTGCGTACGTTCAGAATCTGGTGGAGAGGTACATGAAGGTTTCACTGACTGAAGGTAAATCGTTGTTTTCCATTGTGTTTAAGAACTTAATTTTCTTGGCTTTAATACTTTCTTAATCTTACATTGCAAAATTCAGACCATACTGACCACCTAATGGGGATACTACAATTAAGCAACTTAAGTGCAAAATATTTGCAAATTTTTCTTTGTTTTTCTTTTGGTCAACCAACATTCGACACCTGCTGAAATGCATCATCATGCTTAGAAGTATCCAAACTCTTACTTCAGATATTACAATGAATACTATTACTTTTTTTTGTTAATTAGGAGAAAGCAATTACATGCCAGATTGGTTTGAGGCCCAGCTTGTAGCGCAGATGACTGTTCTTGTTGCTGATGTGGAAGAAAAATACAACACTGAAGGGTATTGATGTTAATTCCTATGACCTTGTTAGAACAAGCCTTAGTTTACTTAATGTGGTACACCAGGCTTCTGGCACTAAAAAAAANGGACACCTACCAAGTTGCGCTGACATCACTTCCGGCAGATTGCACACATGGCAGTATGTGCAGGAAGTGGCATCATGTCAACAAAGATGTGATGACCCAGAAGTAGGATTGAAGGCCTTTTTCTTCAACTGACCCATTTTTTATCTAAATTTTTGGATCACACTGTGTTATACCAGAGTGGTGCGGTAGTTTACTATGGTATTTATGGGATTAAATGTCATGTTATTTGGGGGATAAAATGAGGGGCATGGTGTGGGTTTGATTATCAACTGAACAATTATACAAACAAAAGGAGTAAAACGAGGAGGTGTGGCGCTCTATGGTTTTGTAAATTTAAAATGTACATTTAAAGTGAAGTTTGATATGCCGAACGATTAACAAAAGTAAATGAGAGGTTGAATTCACTAAATTGAGCATTAAAACATTTTGTTTTTTTTGCCTTGAAATCTTTGTGTGTGGGTCTACTCTTTTACATCTAGCTTATTATGCTTAAAAAAAAGGTTGTCTGATTGTTGCTAATGTTATTTGTTATCCATTCGCAAAATGATGGGAAGAGCCAATAACACCACTGCCACAATGGAAGTGATGTCAGCAGACTTCCTGCACACAACGTGCCGTTAGACATCAGCCAACCGTGACCTGATGACCTGGAAGTAGGACCTAGCCAACTGCATTATAACATGTTTGCTCTGTGTAAAACAGATTGGATGGATCAAATGGACACCGTACCGTAACAACTGTTGTTGTAAATGTTTTATAGAATTCTGTAGATGCTTTTATTGACTTATGTTTCTATATTTTTTCAATAGTGATTCTAGCAGTGGAGATGAGAACCTCTTGGGCCAATTTTTGTATCCCCTTCTGGATTCCTTACGGAAGCTGAATACACACGCCTACTTACCTGTAGTAAAAGCAGACAAGAGCTTACAGTTGCTATTAAAGTTGTTGGAGACGTGTTCCTCAAAATGTCTAATGGATAAAACCGAAGGTCAGTTAAGTATTAATATTGCTACAGTCCACAGGCTTCAAATGAGTTGGGGTAGTTCATAACCATAACCCAAAGACCAAGGTTAATTGACACTTTTGAAATCATTCTCTCATGGTTTTATGTTTATTTGTCCTTTGTCAAGCATCCAATTGTATATTGTTCTTAATCGTGTGGTTTTATTAATTTTTTTGAATGCTCTGGTAAGTGCTGCTTTATATAGTAATGATAATGAAGCATCCAGAGGATAAATTACTGTAAGGGTTACCAGTGTAGAATTTTAAAAGAAATCATCAGCTATAGTTTTACTGAACATTTCAGAACCTAAGACATTTTAGGAACGGAAAAAAACATTGGACAAGCAAACCTTTTGTTGTGTCTGTCCCACAAGGCACCCTGTTCACTATATTTTTCAATTGTTTTTCTGTCCAGAAGAATATCTGAACCCATTTATATAATTTGCTTCATTGGGCTTCCCAGTTAATATTTTCAACATGTTCTGCTGACTGTATTTCTCCTCTCCTGCTCATGAATCAAATTTGTAATATCTAGAATTATCTTTGTTGCTTGCTGATGTACCTTCACAACAGGAATAATATTTTGTCCAAGTTTAACTCACCAGAACTTCATATGGTCTAAGTAATACTCTGTTAATGAAACTCAGTAACTATCTAACATGCTTTGGTTAACAGTTTTAAATTTCTTAGTTTCCTTCCTACAAACCCCTCGTTCTCACCTTCAAAGCACTCCACGGCCTGGCTCCCCTTACCTTTCTGACCTAACCCCATATCAGCCTAAAGATCTTCCTCTTAGACTGTGCCTTCAGCCACCCTCCCACCCCTGCCCTCCACCCATCCTGAACCCAACTCCGAGCTCAGGTCCAAAAACCCCCGACTGTCCAGCGCCCTGGGACGTCTTTCCGATGTGAAGGGCGCTGTACAAGTGTAATTTGTTGTTGGTGGTGTCCACTATATTTATCAAGCACTTTGAGGCTTTATGTTAAACTAAACTGCACTTTATTTGAATGATGCTATATAAGTGCAAGATTTTGTTCTTTGCTTTTTTTTAAACTTTAGTGGACTGATCATAATTTAGATTTCATTGATGATCAGTTTGCGGTGGAACCATTGATGTTCTCTCTTTTTGGTTCCTTGTTCCAACCAAACTTATTTTTGGTTTATTTACATTGAGTCATATCTGTTATCGTTTGGGTCAGGCACCTAATACAATTTTTATACTACTAGTTTGTCTCTGGAATCAACTAATATACTCTGGACTGGGAAGACCTAACTCTTGAGTCACATCCTGCGTTATCTCCATGTACAGGAGATCCAGCTCATTATTGAAAAATGGGAGATTGAGTGAATCAGGTTATGTTTCACAACAAGGACATCATACAAGTATTGTGATTATAAGACATTTGAATATTTTTTGCTGGACAATTAACAGAAGCAGAATTACAGTAACTGGCAGAGCAAAACGGCCTGATTTTCAAGTGCAACTCCTGGCCTTAACGGCTGTTATTTCAGTAACAGAAATTCTCAAAAAAAGTCATGATGATGTTATACTTAAGAGGTGGATGTACCTCAATACACCAATATAATTACATGCATGCAACCTCTTTCTAGTCTGGAAAGAGATTTCTGTTTCATGTTGTTAAGACAATTATTTATTGAGAATGATATTTTATGTTCTATTCCTCAATGTTAATTTTTGAATTGGAACGTTGGTAAAAACTATGTAATGGAACATTGTTAAAAAGATTTCTGGAATCCCACTATAAAATCCAATTTCCGCTGTCCACTGTGTTCGTAATATCCTCAGACACTTTCTGGAGAATAATTAAACATGACCCCTTCCTCCCTTTCTTTTCATGAATTGATGTTGATTGTCCCACAGCAAATTGGTATTTCTGAGATGTGTTCCTCTGTGCAATTTGGGAAATAACTTGCGTTTGTTTAAAAAAAACTGCAACTGATGTATTAAACACTGGAACCAGAAGATAAGTCTTTTTTAAAAAAGATTTTTTTTTCCCAATCAACTGAGTCACTCCTCAATTTAGCAAGCTCCTAAAAATGTAAGTTTCACTAATTGCTTAGACTCCTTTTAGACTCATTAAAGTTTTTTAAAATGTTATCTATTTTGAGTAATTAACCTTAGTTTGCAGTGGTGCCTTGATTTTATGTGCAAACGATTTTTGTATTGTAAAGAGTCTGTAACAATTTTTGTGTTTTTNCATGTGCAAGGGACAGGTATTTTAATAACCAACAACAGTAGTTCTTAGGTGACTGTCAATAGTAATAATAATCCTTGCATTTGATATAGCGCCTTATCACATCTTTGAGACATCTCAAAGTGCTTCACAGGATACACTGTAAAGTGAATCGACTGTATTTTGCGGGCGAAACGCGGCAGTCAATTCCGTACAGCACTGTCCCGCAAATAGTTGTCCATTGAGTGGGTGAACAAATTATTATTATTATCTTTTTTGAAAGGATTATTACCATGAAAAGGATCGCCTTTCCGAGGGTAATAATTTATTAGTAGTAATAAATACATCTGTTCCTATTGTACCATAACCTGAGAATGACTAAATTGCCACACAGACACTAAAAAACCCATTGATTTGGGAACTTCATTGTTCGCCAGTTTCAATGATCAACAGAAGAGGGGCTTTTGTTATAGAGGATATTGATGGTTCCGGACTATAATTGTACGCGTACCATCTACCTCCTTTTGTGCTGTTCTTGGAAATCTGATATCTCACTTGAGCAGCTTTCTCTGCTTCCTAGAGATAGATAGCGATAGATATAAAGTTACTAATAAATCTGTGTTGTTAAATTCTAGTTTCCACTATATTTATCGGTGGACCAATACTTTCAGCCTTTGTCGCTGTATATTAGCTATGCAGATGCAGACATGTATAAAGGATAAGATTGCTGATACTATATTCTCATAAAACACTTGTTTTTTTAACGTATGTATATCGTGCGTTTGTCTTACAGTGGCTTGTTATATAATGCAATTGCAGCCCTCTTTAAATCATAGCTGGCCTGCTTATGTGCAAAAAAAAAGGCCGACTTCTGGGTTATTTGGTTGCTGCTGGAAGCTGGGAGAACAAACAACCAAAAGTGCAGTTGAAGAGATGGGTCTAGGTGAGATTGAAGGTGGGGAGGGAGGGGACAAGGTGGAGGGAATCTGGGCTGGAGGAGAGTGAGCGCAGAATGTTTGAAAGTTGGTGGGCGTGGAGTGGGCGGGTACATGAAGTAGCTGGGTTTTGCAGAGCAGAGGAAAAATGAGAAGTTCCAGAATAGAGCCCTGTGGAATGATGCACAAGATTATATGGGGTAGGAGAAGAAGCCATTAAAAGAGATATAGTGAAGCTGCTGGGACATGTAAGAGAACAAGGAAAGTGCAGAGCCATGAAGATGTGTCAGGGAGGAAAGGTGGTGAAGGGGGATTGAGTGGTCAACAGTAACAACAGCAGAGAAGTCAAATAATAAAAAGTCGTTTTACATTTGTATAGTGCCTTTCAAGTCAGGAGGATATCTTAAGGCGCTTCACAGGACATTCTGTGAAGTGTACTGATTCTCATGTTATTTTAGTATTCAGTATAAATAATTTACAAATAAGTTGAATTTTTTCATGTTAATTCTCCATAAATGTGTGAGCATAAGACAATGTGGAATAATTGGGATGACAGAACACCATATTGCTTTATTTAACATTGTTATATATATATATATATTACATTGTTACTGTTGATGCAAGACACAATTTTGTCAGTGAATTACTCACTTTTACATTGAGATTTCAGGAGAGGTCAACGTGTTAATGAACTAGGGGAGAATAAAAAGTTATGCTTTTTATTTTAAGGAGACTAATTGTTAGTTTCTATATTCGAGTTGTTGGAGACTAATTTGCAAACAGATTCATTTGGTGCTTCCTACTCTAAATGGTAACAGCTATATACGATATATCAAGAATGTTTTTCAAAGAATTCCAAAGTTTTAGAAGGTTACAAAATACAGGAAATATTCCTTAGACTATTTGAATTACAAAATTTATAGAGGATGCAGCTGTTGTGCTATTTTTGAGTCCATTGAAATGTGATTGTCCTTATTCATTTAATGTGTCCCAGCATACATGGGAGGTATTGGAAGGAGTTTTAATTATGCTGATTTTCATTTCTGAATGTAGAACTATTGATCTGTTTAGGAAGCTTGTGTGCCATATAATTATGGCGGTGCATGCCATGTTTTAATTTAACTCGAGTAACATTCTTTAGCATGAATATTCTATATATGCAATAAATTAGGATACTGATATGACTGCTTGCTCAAAAAGGTCAATAAATCAATATAAATTTCAGGCATTTTTCATTATTAATCATCCATACTCCTACCTAAACTTCACGATTATGGTTAGGACTTTCCAAAATTATAGTCGAGAAAGTACATTTGCTATTACACAATTGTGTGACCTTCAGAGGAATTGTTTGTACTTCCCATTAAGCAGGTAGCTCAACATTGATGAGCTGTCACTGAGAAAGATTAGGAATCTGCGAATGTAATGTGTAAAGAATGAATAAGAGTTGGACTGAGAATTGAGGCTATAAAGATGAGGCTAACGAAGCAGTAAATTGAGGTGGACTAACTTTACCTATGCAGAACTTGTATAACAACTTAATATGCAGAAATCCAGATATTGCCGCAAAATGCTGCAATCTTGCTTGCTTATTATGTGGATTTGACAGACTGATGTGACTAAAATGACCATCTTAGTGTTGTTGTGGTCCTTTTTCAGCCCAGATTTTAGATTGTTTTGTGTATTGATTTTAAAACACACTATTAATCTTTATTTAAATTGCAACGATCAGTATAATCTATAATCATTACAATATTGATTCTCCTTGATTCAGGGTGAAAGCCACTGCTGTTTGTTCATGAACATACAATTTAGGCTAACACTCCAATGCAATGCTGGCTGTGTGGCATTGTTGGAGGTGCCATCTTTCAGATGTGGTAGGAAACCAAAGTCCCGTTTGCCTGTTCGAGTGGACATAAAAGGTCCCATGGCACTATTATTTGAAAAGAGAAGGGAGTTTCTGATTGTGTCATTCACCCCCCCCCGCCCCACCCCCAACCTACAAAAAAAGTCACTCACTTAATGTCTGTTTGTGGGATTTTGCTATATGCAAATCAGCCATGTTTCACATACAAGTTCCACTTTACAGTAGGTGAAACATCCACTTTGAAACATCCTCCTGTTGTGAAAGATTCTGTGCCAAATGTAAGGATTATTTTTAACAGAATGCAAGTCGGGGAATGGCAGCAACCAGTCATTTAATTATGACGTATAAAAGCACAGTATTTCTGGAAAATGCATATGAAAAACTGCCTGGCAAGCCTTTGCTTGGGGGAGAAAGAAGTGCCAAATAAGCCATGTATTTTATTTGTTGTGCCCAGATAACACAATGACACGCTTCAGTCACATTTTACATCTTTGCGCCTTGTAGTAGTAAACCGCTGAGAAGATTTGCTAAGCACATTTTCCTGAAAATTATGCCATTTAAAAAAACATCCAGGTTCAAGTTTGCAACTATTTTGATCACCATAGTGATCCATAATTGTGTATTCCTAACTGTAGCAAACACCTTGGTAATGAAACTGGAAGCTGTTTTTTCTTAGCAAAGAATGGTATGACTATACAAGCCTTTTTAAAGCAGTTTCACCTGTCCTACAGAGTAATCAGTCATTAATGCCAAATGATGGTGATAGATATCTATGTTTCACAGTATTGGTGAACCCTGTTTGTAACTTGTGAACAATCTCACCTTGAGTAGGTGAGTAGGTCTTCCTGATGGGCTCGTGCCAGTGCCTCAACACCTCAAGCACTGGCAGCAACAGCATCCACAGATGCACAGTCCACCTCACCAAGCCAGTCAGGAACCTGGGCGTCTTGTTCCACCCTCAACTGTCCTTTTCTGGTCGATATCCATCCCATGACATGCTCTGCCTTCCCCCACCTCCACAACATTGCCTGACTCCGCCACTGCCTCACCCATCAGGCCGCCGAAACCCACATACATGCCTTCATTACATCCAGGCTCGACTATGCCAGATTCTCTGCTTGTCGGCCTTCCTAACTGTGCCAGAACAAGATCATCTAGAACTCTGCAGCTGGTGTCCTCTCCCACACCAGGTTCCATAACCTCGTCACCCCACCCTCGCCCGACTCCACTGGCTCCCCATCCCTCAGAGGATAGAATTCAAACTCCTCGTCCTCATGTTCAAGGCTCTCCATGGCCTTGCCCCCCCCCACCACTTTGACCTGCTGACCCCCTATCAATCTGTTCACTCCCTCCGTTCTGCAGGCTCCGGCCTGCTCCATGTCTCCCACCCGACCCGCCCTTCAGCCTCTCTGCCCCCACCCTTTGGAACTTTATCCCACAATCCCTGCGCCTTGCTGTCTCCCTTGCCTCCTTCAAGGCACGACTCAAGAACCTGCTTTTCAACCATGCCTTCAGCTGCCCGCCTGCCTCTCCCTCATCCCAACCCTGCCCCCGCACGCTTGGGTCCTGATCCCCGATTGTTCGGTGCCTTGGGATGTTCTCCCGGTGTGAAAGGTACTTTGCAAATGTAATTTTGTTGTTCTTGAAAAGGAAAACATTTCAGGGCTGTGGAGTAAGAGCGGGGGAGTGAGACGAGTTGGTAGCTCTTTCAGAGAGTTGGCACAGGCACAATGGGCTGAATAGCCTCCTGTGTTGCAAGATTCTCTGATTCACCCGCATTAAGAGTAAAAGAACAACTCCCACTATCGTTTACACACAAGCAGATGTCAGGGAACACAATTCCAAGAAATTGGTAAAAATGTCCTACTGAGTTTTTCCAGTTTAAAACATAATCAGATCTTTTTCAGGCTTTGGGAAATTGATTTGTTCCGGTCCAAAGCTACCTTTGCTCAGCAAACAAAAGCAGTGAGTAAAGTGGAGTTCCTAGAAATTGTAACCTGGGTTGTTAAAAAAAANCAGTTCAACACGTAAGCAAATTCTGTGAAATTGATTTGCTTCAGTCCAAAAGGTTGCGCATAACTGTTCACAAAATAGGAAAGGACCTTTTTATTAAAGGACACTGAAAATTCTTCCATTCCCTTCAACGGTTAGAATAAACATCTTGCTTGTTAAGCATAGCATCAGAGATATACTATTGATGAGTACCACAGGGGCGTGGTATTCATTAACAATATCGATTGCTGTGCACTAATGCTGACTGCCCTAATATTTGGGTGGAACATGAAGACTGAGCTGATTGGAGGCAAGTGCAAATCCTGAATGAGACCGTTGTATTTACTTTAACAAGTTTTTAAAAAATTATTAACTGAGGAGAAGTAATTTTAAAGAGAAATTATATTTCAGCAATCGGGGAATCTTTTTATCACCCTTCGACCCCATGAAGGTCTGGCCTTTTTCTGCAGAGAGCGTTTGCTGCCAAGAGCATTTGTTGAATCAATAAAAAACAAAACTAAATCTTGGATCATTATAAATTTATAATCGGTCTATCAACATGTGCTAGAGAAAAATAAGTTTATCTTTGCTGGACATCTCTACCTGGTCTGTAACAATAAATCCCTGTGGGCTCCTCAATCGTTGGTAGTCTTCCCACTTCCAATTGCACTTGATGAGGACTGAAGAGAGGAAGCAAGCAGTTCCACTAACCAGTGCCAAATCCAAGTACATTTGTAATGATTTTAAAGAGCTGGGAGTGCAGAATATATTTAAAACCATTAAGAAATTCCTATATATTTAAACCCATTAAGAAAGTTAGGTGGTCCAATGGATTGCTTCTTGATTGTTGTAATGGAATGTGTACTCTCTCCCTGGAAGGATGCATCCTGCATACCTAAATCTGGAAAGTATTAGGCGCAGGTTGTCAAGAGCCAAGGCATGGGATAATGCTGGAGTCCAACAAGCTAAAACTCCATAGCTTGTCATTTCGAGCATTGACTCAAACTTTCCCGCTGCTTATCCAGCTAGGACCACACTACTTGTTTGGGCTTTGGCTTGCAGGGTTAACAGGAGGTGAGAGGGATGACTCCCTGCCCTCAGTAACGGGTCTGCCCTTCCAAGTCCTACCAATGAGCCATCCTGGCCGTGCTGTCATCAGCAGTGCGCTGGAATACCGTAGACCTGTATGGTTCAGGAACTGGATACCAAGACAAGCACAGAGGGTTGGCTCGATACTGACATTCCATTGTCACACATGTCACCCTGAAGCATGTTCAGGTCTTAGGAGACCCTGCTTATCTCTAACCCTCCTGCCCCCCATGATGATAGTCACCTAGTTGGTCATTTTAACATCAACAACTGGTTTAAGCCATCACTAGGTGGATGGTAAGGTAGCAGGAGCTTCCTAGTGGGTAACACAGCTCAGTATGAAATGCGTGAGAGCACTGCCACTACCTTGCGGGCCCATGTCCCTTCTCATTGAAGGATGGTTCCACCAGTTGGAGGTGTGGAGCTAAAGCAGCAGCTGTTTACATTTTTGTAAGCCAATCATGGTGGATTCTAGGTGCTGGATGCGTGAACTTCTAACGTAATTTAAAAATATTACTTCTTTAACAATAGTTCAACTATCTGTCTTTGGAAGAGAGTGCATTCTTGGTCTGACATTAATTGGTCATTGTCCAGCGTTTTGGAAGATCAGGTTGACACTGCTTTAAATACAGGGCACAGTAAGCGTTTAACAATTTAGTTAAAATTGTCCGATTATCAGTGCTAATTTATATACTTTTTCTTAAAGATCATTTTATTGCTGGAGGGTCAATAATAATAATAATCCTTGCGTTTGATATAATAATAATAACCCTTGCATTTGCATTTGATATAGCGCTTCACAGAATAGACTGTAAAGTGGGCGAAATTCGGCAGCTAAATGCGCACAGCAATATCCCACAAACAGTCATGGATTGAAATGACCAATTTATTATTTTTTGAGGGATTATTATCAGGCTTGTGGAGTAAGGAAACTTGCCCAAGGTTTCATCCTGCCGGGAATCAAACCCAGGTCTCCCGCTTGCAAAGTGAGTGCTCTAACCACAGCTACAGGACTCCACGTGATATAGTCCCTTATGAAACGTCTCAAAGAGCTTTACAGAATATACTGGAAAGTGAATTGACTGTATATTTTGTGGGCAAAATAAACAGTCGTTGATTGAAGTAATCGATTTTTTTTTAAGGTATTCTTACCATCAGAAAAGCAATCCGCTAATTGACTAACAACCAGGTTCCTACTTACTGCTAGGTAAACAGAGACAAGTGGAGTAAGCAAACTTGCCCAACTTTTCACCATGCCGGGAACAGAACCCAGGTCTCTTGCTTGCGAGGCGAGCGCTCTAACCACTGACTCCAATGGAGGATTACAACAAAGCATTGTTGGAACTAGATTAATTCACTGAATTGATGTGTTATCTTTCCATAGACAGAGTACTGAATGTATTACAGAAATCCGTAATGTCTTCTGTGGAGCAAGTCTTGGAATACACATTTAGGAGGTTAACAAGTGAATTACAATCTGTAAGTATGACTAATTCAACTTCCATTATTTCCGCTCAATTCCTCTTATGGTCTTGTGGATTTCTGGTTATACAAATGTAAATGTTTGGTAAATAAATAAAATTTGGTAAATGAATCCTTTTCAAGATTTGTGTTTATTGTAATAAAAATTTATTGCTATTGTCTTTGTGAGGCTTCTTGCATAAGAAACATTGTGCGTGTTATCAGTTGATTTGGTTGGGCGGAGTAAAATGAGTGGATAATGGAATGCCCCTAATCTAAAGAGTTTTCATCAACAAAGTAGACATTGAGGCAAAAGGCAAAATACTGCCTTTTGTTATCAGACATTAAGACAGTTTGGGAAAACTAAATGGGTACCACAATTTGCACTTGTACATCACCTTTCGCAAAGGATGAAAGGCTTGAAATAGTTGGTAAAGTAAAGAAGGATCATATTATTGGGGTTATTTGTGTTTCACTTCATTGTTTTATATGTGGGTGGGTGGGTTATTTAGATTTTTTTTAAATTCCCCTTATTTATTTACCTGGCCTGTCTTCCAGAATGGCCGACACCTTGACATGGCCAATGCTTCTTGTCGCCAGCCACTAGGTGGTGCCAAGATTTGCCCATGCAAGATTTGCTATTCCTCATTGGAGAAACAGCAGTGCTTTCATAGGATCATTGGAATGTACAGTGCAGAAGGAAGCCAGTTGGCCCATCAAGTCTGCACCGGGACTCAGAACAAGCTGTTTTATTCACCTCTACTACCCCACCCTATCCTCCTTCCCCACTTTTATCTTCCATTTAACTGACTACATCCCTTTTGTGGAGTTCTGTAGCTTAGTGGTTAGAGCACTTGCCTCGCAAACGAGAGGAACTGGGTTCGATTCCCGGGCAAGGCGAAACGTTGGGCAATTTTCCGTACTCCACATGCCTCTGTTTACCTAGCAGTAAATAGAAACCAGGTTGTTAGTTGATTGGCAGATCACTTTTCCAGGGGGATTAATCCCTTCAAAAAATAATAATAATCTGTTCACTCAATCCACAATTGTTTGTGAGACAAAGCTGTGCGCAATTGGCTACTGCGTTTCGCCCACAGTCATTTCACTTTACAGTATATTCTGTGAAGCGCTTTGAGACATCTTGGAGAAGTGATAAGGTGCTATATCAAATGCAAGGATTATTATTATGATACACCCAAAACATTTATTTTGCCATCGACAGTAATTAATTTCTATTCATTTTTAAATACTGGTTGTTAACGTTTTTGTGGAACATGCAATTTTTTGTATTTGGTTTTCTAAATCCTGCCTTGTTTTATTGCTCAGGTTTCAGATTTAGACAGATGCCACTTGTACCTTGCAGTGATGAGTATGATGGTGAAGATCCTCTCAACAATCGACTGGAAGAAAGGCTCCTGTATCTGGAGTTACATTTCTTCCCTGACACAAGCTTCTCTTCAGCATTTGCAAGCTGCCAGTGATGATCAGGTGCCCTTTCCTTCTCTTTGATGTATTGTTATATTCTCTATAGAACAAGAACTCATAGAGAGCAAAAGCTGTCTTGCTTATGGTCTGGTATAATAATTGTAACATCGTGAAATAGTTACCTATTTGAACTCACCCAAAGATATATTACTAAAGTACCAGTTGGCTGTTACTGAACTGTGATGCCTTGTAACAGAAAAATATGCTTTTGTTCATTTGCCAACGACATACTGAACTTAGTGAACTGTTTTCGAGGTTCATAAATGAAATTCTTGGAGACGGTATAATTGGCTGCCCTACACATTTAAAGGAACTCATTGGATAATACTGATTTTTATTCTTTGTGTTCTGTTGGGTGAGCTTGTGATCATTCAAGGTATTCTCTAGAAATGTTGATGTATTTTTCACCAAAATGGGGGAGGCAAATTAAAAAAAATAATTATGTGGAAAGGAATTAAGGTGGAAAGGTTAACCAAAGCAATTAACCACGTCAAAGCTAGGTCTTGTGTGAATTTAAAAATATCAGCTGTTGTTTGAAGTTAAATTTTATCTCCCTCTAAACATATGGCATCTGAAAGCTTTGTGATTTCCTTAATTTTAAATGTAATTTTGCTGTTGTTGTTTAAAAAAAGTAAATCCAAATGGAAAACCTCCTAAAGGTTATTAAAATTATAACTTATTATTCCAACTTCACCCTATGTATGTAAGTAAGTGTAGATGAATGTGCAGGATTCCATAGGCGATTGTGATTAACCCAGCATCATTAACCATTATCAGGCTCTGCATCTGTAGATATACTGAAATGCCTTCTGCCATTTCCTTTATGAATCACTGGATTCATAAGTTACTGAGGGAGGGGAAAACATTAACATGGTACAAGAATTCCGTACAGTTCTTTTGTTTACATTGTTAGTGCAGTGTTTAAAGAGCAGAATAGAACGCACTGAAACGGAAGGTGTTTGAATGAGAATCGTGTTTGAATCCTTTAGGACCATAGCAATGTTTTGTAATATGCTGAAAATTTAATTTGCAGGAGTCTGACACATGCAGAAATCCATCAATGTTTATAGTTTTAGGTTCTGTGACTATTGGATTTCTTTACTGCAAATGGTGGCAATGAAAGACTTATGAAATGCACTTCTAAATATGATTTGGAAAGAGAAGCAGAATCAAGTTGTCTGCTGAATGTCTGCTCATAATTAGCTTCAAAATGTAGAGCGCAATCATGTGTATAAAATCTGTATTTAAATTATATCAATAATGTGGAGTCCTGTAGTTCAGTGGTTAGAGCACTCGCTTTGCAAGCGAGAGACTTAGGTTCGATTCCCGGCAGGGTGAAACCTTGGGCAAGTTTCCTTACTCCACAAACCTGATAATAATCCCTCCAAAACAAAAAAAAGTAATAAATTGGTCACTTCAATCCACGACTGTTTGTGGGACACTGCTGTGCGCAATTGGCTGCTGCATTTCGCCCACAAATATACAGCCAGTTCACTTTACAGTATATTTGAGACTTCCAGAAGGTGAAAAGCGCTATATCAAATGCAAGGATTATTATTATTAATATATACATTATTGTTACTATTGCATTAAAACTAGCATAGAAAATGTTTACTTGCTTTGCAGCGTTTAAGATTTTGTATCTACATTTTGAACATATTTGAGAGGTAGTGTCAGAATGGCAATCCACCCATTTTATAATTTGAAGTCCCCATTGTATTCTAAAGAGTATAAAAATAAACTTGTCATATCTGTGTTCCAATCTCTAGAATAAATAATGTTTTGGATATTTAATCTATAAATATTAAATGCTTTTTGAAAGCAAGACTTACATCATGTGCCGCTGCATTTTTGAGTAGCTGCAGTTTTTATGTACTTTTACCTGTATTTTATTATCTTTTGACTGCATGCAACCCACACCCCTTCAGTGCCCCCATTTAGCTATGATTCTCAGCTATACTGGTCTTTGGATTTCTCCATTGGTACCTTTATAATATAGGACTATGACATTGTGCTTAGTGGATAAGGATAGGATTGTGCTGCAAAACACTTTTCTAATTCAACCTCCCAAAATAAATAACATCTGTATAATGAAGTGCTTTATCTAACAATGAGCAAAATGGTGAAAGTTGCTGATCCTGTAGTGTGTAGGCAGTTTTAAATAATGGAACCTCAACATTGGATTTGAGACTGGCTGATGAAGGAAAGGTGGAGGAGGTTTGGCTCTCTAAACTAGCCAAATTGCTGAATGTATGTGTAAACATGGGTTCAAACTGATCCTAAAAGTGATAATATCATGGATTTGGCGGGCAGTTGAAGATTTGAGTTTGAAAAAGGGAATTGATTTAGTTTCACATGAACAAGGGCTTTGTGTGAGGTTTTAAGATTTATCAAACTCAATGGGTGTTTTTCAGCGCTTTGGGACATCCTCCCGACGTGAAAGGAGCTCTATAAATGTAATTTTGTTGTTGTTTTGACACATCATGATATAAGTTGTGTTCAATAGCAGTAATTCGCACCTGGACTGTAGAGCATTGTTTAGACCAAATACGAATTGTTCATGAGTTATTTTTGGTCAGCTGGGTGCCTGACGCATGCAGAAATCCATCATCATGCTGAAGAGTATCCTAACCAAACTGAGAGTCCAACGTATGCATGTAACCTAATCATGGAAATGTCCCTGTGTCTGGAATGCAATGCACACTCTGTCCCTGGAGGGAGTTCAGGTCAGTATAAGACAGAGCTCTGCCTCCCTTGAGTCACCTTCCCATTCATGTCTGAATGACATCAGCGCTTTTCACAAAGGAAACTAATAAAGAAAATTTAAGTAAGAGTTCTGACGAAGGGTCGTGGACCCAAAACGTTGACTCACTTTCCTTTCTCCATAGATGCTGTCTGACCTGCTGAGCGTTCCCAGCGACTTCCGTTTTTGTTTAAGTAAGGGTTTGTTTGGGCTGAGTGACCTATTTTCGTGCTGTACATTCTTTGTGAATCTTTAGTTTTTAAAATGTTTCCCATTCTGGTTGTTCTTCTGTACAATGTACAGCTAGCTCCCTGATCTAGAGGGTGGACCAGGTTATCAACTCTCAGCTAATACAGCTTTAAAGTCAATTCCTGTCTGGGATAATATTCCCTTTTGTTTGTTTTTCTTTCCAACCTCACCCCTCCCTGATTTGCCCACTTGCAGACAAGCAACTGTTTGACTAGCATTATAGTCGATGGTTCAGAATATATTTATTCTGGACAATGTTCTACACTACAAAAAAGATTTGTCTGAATTTATCTTGCATGAAACACACTAGAAGGTAAATAGTAAAAATGGAATAGCTATAGAAGAAGTAGGATTTCATATTTGTTTTATATGTTGCAGGACCTGAAGCTAGTCAGACAGATCCAGAAGGCGGTTGCTATGGCCTCTGTAGCTTGGGTTTGTGAGACCACATCTCTGTATCCAGAGCTGCAACTCAATTCACTTGATGCTGTCAAGACACTAGTCAGATTTATTTCAACTGCTCCCTTCAACCAAACTCTCGAAAAACCTCTCTGGAGTGAGCAAGACACTGGGTGAGTAATGGGAACAACTTAATTGTCAATTGCCAATATTGCTGAACATTAAAAAGTGTTTGATATTAAAAATTGTTGCGATAATAGACAAATATTGAAGCTGTAACCAAATGGGATTTATAATATGAGAATGCTAACTTATCAGATCAAGATGTCTGGGTAGAGGAATTTATTACAGGCAGTCTTTGGAGATCTGGAGGCTGTGTAAAAGTAAAGACTTGTGTTTTATGCCGGATTTCAAGATTTCCAGAACCGCAAGGTAAAAGCAGTATCGGTCTTTCATGCTGCATTTACATTACGCTTTGAGATGTCCACCCAACGTGAAAGGTTGCTCTATAAATGTTAATTGTTTTCTGCTGCTTTTAAGTTGAGCTCTTCTCTGGAGGCAAAGTATAATATAAAAGCAACACATTTCCAAGCTCTCGCTCGGTTGGATATAAGTTGCAGTCTCCGAGGTGAACTGCTGAATATAAAAGCTCTGCTCAGAATATCTCAGCAATCAGATTTTCACTCCAGTAAATTGATAGATCACATTGGTTCATGGAGCAGGTCACCATATAGAATAGAATGTTTTGGTAATAATAATAATAATAATCCTTGCATTTGATATAGCGCTTTTCACGTCGGGAGGACGTCCCAAAGTGCTTCGCAGAACACACTGTAAAGTGAATTGACTGTATATTTGTGGGCGAACGCGGCAGCCAATTGCGCACAGCAATGTCCCACAAACAGTCGTAGATTGAAAATGACCAATTTTTTTTTTATTATTGTTTTTTGGTTTTTTTGGAGGGATATATTTGGTAAGTATAGTATACCTATTTTGGATGTGTGGGTTTGTCGGTATAGTTCATTGTATTCAGGGTGGAGGAGAATGTTGAGTTATGGGAGGGGTGGGGTACGAAGGTCAAGCATGGAGTGGGTTGTAGGACACTGCTGGGGAAGGACATATGGTACTGGGAGCTTGGTTTCCAGAATTCCCAATACTAGGGCTACATTTCTGTATCACCCCCCTCACGTACTGGAATGGTTTTATGTGTTACTGCATGTGCTTCACACACATTTCATATATTTGAGCTCTTGTTTGTTTATATCTCAGATATATTTTACTAAAAATGCATATAAAGTAACTAAACTTGATTCTATTTTGAAACAACACTTGTGCATGAATTTATTTGAGTCCCTTACAATTGTTTTCATGTTAGCGCTAAAACTTTAGCCTAATGGGATTTATAATATGAACTCATAAAACTTATTAAAATCTTGTTGCATTATAAGTGGTAATGCAACAAGAGATAAAAAGGGGGAACAAGAGGGATATAAAGTGCATCCAGTTTTTTTTAAAAAAAAGGTTTCTGATAAATTCTTTGTTGTCAGAAAATAGCTCATCACATACCTTAAGTATCGGAGAAATAAAAAAAAAATCAGTAGTTGCCAAACAAAAATAATTTATTGCCAGGAAATTGTGCATCACGTATATAAAGGTGTTCAGTGTGATGCCTTGACATGATTGCGATGTTGAGATCCACACTCTTGGATACTTTCACTGAGTCAGATTGCCTGCTTATAATAATAATAATAATCCTTGTATTTGATATAGTGCTTTATTACATCTTTATGGCATGAAGAGTGGAGGCACTATGAGATCCGACTCAGTCTCAAGTTTTTTTTAAAAAGACCTGTACACTGAAAAAAAATTATACACATTTGGAAAATGTTACAAAGATTTATTTTAAACTAAAACGAACAAGAAAACTTTGTCATTCAAACTTGCGGATCTATTCACCTACAAATACATTATCCCCCCCAGAGGAAAGTTCATTGTAGAGATTGCCAAGTGGTAATTGATCTCAACTGAAGACATAAGAAAGAAGTAAAAAAAAATCACTGGTGACAAACATAAAGAGACTGTTATTGATTCATTAATAGTTTGTGAAAGGTGTTAAAGGACTGTTAATGGCAAGATCAGATTGGAATCTGATTTGCAGAGATCAGAAATACTGTACTTTATTACAGTGGCAGCTGCAACACCAATGGGGAGGGGCTGATAGTCTGGCACCTCTCTTCCTACCCCTGCATTTGCAATGTTCTTTGTAAAAGGTGAGATGACACCCCTTGTGTCACTCGTGTTCAAAGACATTGGAAGTTTATTTTTGTGATAATCATCAACAATTAACTGATCAAGAGATGTTTTGGAATATTGGGCCACTTTGCTTGTGGCTATTTTTTTGTTGCAGCAATCAGGAAATATAATTGTACTGCTTAGGCTCGTATGTGACTCATTCAACGTTATTGTGCCATGAATGCATTTGTCATTTTGCCTACGAATACACGCTCACTGTACTTTACAGTAAAATCCTACGAAGCACTGTAAGGCATTTTGACAATGTGATAAGGTGTGATATCAAATGTAACATTTATTATTGTTCTATTAATTAGTTGATAGCACTTTCATCTGAATTCCAGAATTGCAGCTTCAAGCCCACATTGAGTTACAGTTTAGGTTAACCCAATGTTGGGGACCAAGGTTTCATTTGACAATGTTGCAAAACTTTGGTTGTTTCTCATTGTGGGTTACTGGCAAACGCAGGTCTGCTTCTGTAGGCAAACTCGCGTAGGTGGCATGGATGGAACTTTGGTTTAGATACTCTAAAGCATACTGATGGTTTGTATTGGACACCCAACAGACCAAAAAGAAGTGATCTTGGGTGGGCAAGTATTAAAGGCTTCTCGGTGCTCTACAATAGTAGGCTGCACGATTTAGTTGATAATACTCAAGCAGTATCCCACTGCACTTCTCTAGGGTCCGCAAGCTTTGGCTCTTGTAAACCTGCACTTAAATTCTTTGAAATTGGCTATATAAAATGCATGAGAGGGAGATGGAAAGAAAATGTGCATTCTGTTACCAGATAAATGGAATAATACGTATGTGGAACGCTCATTAGTTTGGTTTAGAAACTCTTAAGCAGTGAGGGTTTTTGAGTGTGTCAGATATCTGGCCAACCAGAAAAAAGCTATTTCTTTATACATTTTTTATTCACTCATAACTTTGTTTTCTTGGTTTAGTCCTGCTTTTACTCCATCCGTGAAAATGATTTCTGTAGTTCCAGTTCTGATGAAATAACTACCTTATCTTTCTCGTTTGGATATAAATTGACCTGTGCGTTTCCAACCTTTTCTGTTTTCATTTAATATTTTTCTGGAAGCCTTTCTGCTTTTCTCTTTGACCGAGCCTTCAGCTCCCCTCTCGACTCTCTACCCCCTCCTCGCTCCCTCCCTTCCCTTCCCTCCCCTCACCCTGACCGTTTCCCCCCTGCTCGGGTCCTGACCCAACTGTACAGCGCCTTGGGACGTCCTCCTGACGTGAAAGGCGCTCTATGAATGGAATCTTGTTGTTGTTGTTGTGGCCTTCAGCATTTCTGCCCCCACCCATTGGAACTCCATCATACAGTCCCTTTGCCTCACTTCCTCCCTTGCCTCCTTCGACCATGCTTTTGGTCATCCTCCTATCCCTACCCTCCCTGCCCTCCTGATTACAACCCCAACTCAGATCCAAACCCTGACTGTCCAGCTCTTTGGGACATCCTCCTGAAGCTATACAAATGTAATTTGTTGTAAAATTTTAACGTAAGCACCTGGATCAACATAGATTACTATTGTGAAATTAAAGTTGCAGTGATAGGAGAGGTTAAATTGAGGGGAAACTATTTTTAGTGTGAATTACCCTCCATCTACCTTACTTTTTAAATAATATTATTAAATATTACATTTAAGGTTAATTGCAATTTAATTTTCCCACATGCATGGAGACTGGCATTTAGTGTCTTTTAACTGAACTGGCACCAAACTTGACAACGTGTAAGTTGGCATCTCCATAGGATGCAGTGCAGAATGGCATTTCTTCTGGCTGTGGTTATGAAAAAAGCAAAGTAGGAAAACAAACCATGATAAGAGTATTGCTTTTTCAAAAATCAACATAACATTATAAGTAAGCCTCCTATGCAAAGTAATCCTACCGCTTAATTAGTGCCATAGTTATTTACTGTATCTCTCTGCTAACTTAAGAAATTTGGATTTTATCTTCCAACTATTGACTTTTGGCAGAACTAATGCGCTGTTTGACATAAGGGAGGTATAGCACTGAGTGCATGCCAGACACACACTTACGTACCTGTAGGGAGTTGGAGACATTTGGTGGGCGAGGCGACCCGGGACCTGCTCCTGCTGCCAGCAGCAAGCTGAAGAATGGGAGACTTGAGAGCAGGTTGCCTGCCCAATGTCTTGACAAGTAGATTAAAATGTAATAATTTTTTTTCTGTGCTGTTATGTTGACTTTCTTACAATTTGTTCTGTAAACCAGATGTTTTTAGTTGAATTGACCACTCGCCAGCTAATCAAAATTTTGGATTACACTAAAGCCATGCATTAATATGAAATAAACAGTGTTTTTTTAATCAAATCTTCCTGGAACAAAATAATTGTGTTTATAATAATATCTAAATTTTATGTGAACGCTATTTGTGCCAACAGTGGTAATTTTGTCTTAACAGAAATAAAAAGACCAAGTTGTCAATTCACCAGTGAGCACACTCCTCAATTAATTACTGTGTTAAATAACAAACCATGATTTATTTGTAAACCACAAACATGTTTGCAATTAATGTAATCACACAATGACTGCTCTTATCATTGAAGCTTGTAGCTTTCAAATGAACTTTAAAGTGTTACTCCATCTGCTACACATTCATCTTCTACTTTTTTTTAAAGCTTTGTCAATCTGCAAACTGGATGTTTTAGTATCCTGAGTTGTCAGCAAATGTGATGACTGGATAAATATTTGGTAGGCTTCTTCCAAGCTTGATACAAAGGACTGGTAACTCAGAAGTCGTAGACCCAGCCTAGCTGGTATGATGGTGTTTTCATTTTTCTTTTAAATTGAAATGTCATTGCATCTAGGATTACTCAAATACACAAGCTTGGAAACTTGCATAAGATTAGGAAAATCGTTGAAAACAATTTAGAGTGTATATGCATTTTCTTTGTGAGATTAAATTCTCTATTCATGTACTTTAGTAAAAGGTTTATATTTTGAAGCTTAATATGAATTAAGACAATATAGAAATATTCTCAAACACCTGTCCTCTTTATATTTTATATTATGTGTGTATATATATATATATAATAATATATACAATTTCAGGCAATGCAATTTCAGGGAATTTGTGACCTGGGATACCATTGTAACTTTATGCTTTGGATCAATCCAGATTTAGAATTAATGCCCTCAGAAAAACTGGTTACATAAAAATATTTTTTTTACAGAATGGGAGCTATGAATGACGCTGTGTAGCCAAATGGAAATCTTTAGTATTTCCATTTACAATTTTGTCTAATTTCTCACAATAATTTTCCCAATCTCGCTATATTCCACCATACTACACATCCGTCCCTGCTGAAGAGAAAGCGTGACTAGCTGTGCTAATGTCAGGCTGTTACTATGGCATTGGGCCATCACTTTAACCATCTATGTTGTGACAGTGATATATTCTATATTACTTTTTCAAAAAGTTTAAAAACAGGGATATAAGCCAGAATATTCAGCAAAATTCAGCTGCAAACCGTATAATAAATCAATGTTAAGAAGTTGCCTGCGTTGCACCTCCTTTTCGATGCTTCATTAGTCTATGAAAACGGATGTGATACTTCATGACAAAACCGTAATTCATTTTGCCTCCTTTACCATAGGTATTCTGATAAACCTTTATAAAAATGTGTTATTAATTGGTTAAATACAAGAACAAAATGGTGTAAATATGAGTGTGTGGTTGGGGATGGGGAAAAAGAAAACGTGTTTAGGACTGACCCAATATAGTAAATCTAATTTGAGGAGCACTATTTTCATATTAGTTCAAATCTTAAATCTTACTGGCTCGTTGCAATTTAATTTAGCCGGTCTAGATGATGGCATCTGAAGTTTCATTTTATTCCATTTCCGACCATTATATGATCCAAAGACTCATACCCAGCTGCTCAATGGATGCTGTTGACCAACAGCCCTGATTTCTTGGCTGAGTGAATGTAGCCAAGTAAGGTCTTTTGGTGGTAATTTTGTTTACACTAATAATCTTTGGGTTTGATATTGCATCTATAACATTGAGATGTCTGTTTTGTTAATGTCTCATTTATACTGGCAGAATAATTGATGCTGTTAGTTCTATATTGTTCTCAGCTTGGCCTATTAAACTGTCCAAGCGTTAAAGACTATAACCAGTTGAGTCCCCAATGGTGTTACTCGACCTCTTCAAAGTGATTCATACCACTTGTCTAAATTGGTGTTGGGCTCAAAAAGCTAGAAATTACACTCTGAATTTCACTATACTTGATAATTTTACATTGGTGTGAAATTGTGACTTGGTATGATTCTCCTCATAATTTTACGTCTTATTTTTCAGATTTTTGGAGACTGGGTCTTCAATTCAAGGCTGGGGGAAGATAGCTGCACAATTTGTCTGCAATCAATGGATTTGTATCCATTTTGCTTTTAACAAATGTGATCAGTTTATTACATCATCAGACAAGAATCTAGACCTCTCATTACCCGTTGTAGAAAATCCTGCACTCACACTCCAAGCCTGTACAGAAGCTCTTAGCATTGTTCCATCTGATCAAGTACTTCCCATTCTGCAGTGCATGAGGATTCTTATTCCTAAGGTGAACAAGATTTAAATTGATAATATTTGATGAACAGAATCTGATTTTCTTTTTATCGCTCTTAGCAGAAACATTTGCACTAATTGTTTTACAAATTTAAATATAATGATAATAATAATAATCTTTGCATTTGATATAGCGCTTTTCACGTTTTCTAGACGTCTCAAAGCGCTTCACAGAATATACTGTAAAGTGAATTGACTGTATATTTGTGGGCGAACGCGGCAGTCAATTGCGCACAGCAGTGTCCCACAAACAGTCGTAGATTGAAAATGACCAATTTTATTATTGTTTTGTTTTGGAGGGATTATTATTGGGCGTGTGGAGTAAGGAAACTTGCCCAAGGTTTCGCCTGGAATTGAACTCAGGTCTCTCACTTGCAAAGCGAGTGCTCTAACCATTGAGCTACAGGACTCCACATAATAAAGTAATGTTATTATGGCAAAACTGCACACAAGTAACCTTATGTGGCTTTTCCGCTTGAGATCTGTGAATGTTCAGTCTATTAAACATTATACGTGAGAAATATTTGTACTTTAACAATTTTGTATCTTGGTTTTCTATCCAAGGTGGTGGGGGACCATCTTTTAACATGTGTTTAGATTTGTTAAAGCTGGTTGTATTTTTTAGGTGCTTGGGTCAAGAGAGCCTTTGTGTGTAGAATCTTTGGATCTTGCATGGAAAGCGGTTTTGGATCTGAACAGCAACCAGTTATATTTCTGGCCTACTCTAAATGCCTTTATAAAAATTGCCTTTCACCATCAACTTCTTGGAGTGTCAGCAGAATGCAACATTGGAATAAAACTAAAGGAGGTAGGATATGTTATACTTCTGCTGCTATTTAGTGAGTGTTTTCTTATGTATAAATTGTCATTTACTACTAGTTCCCCTGATAATGCTGCTCTAATTGTGCAGAATTTTCATATCATCTACCTGTGCTGTTTCAAAACTATCTTGTATTTGAGGAATACCGACTATAGAAAAAAAAATGAACAGTGCATGTGCAGAACCTGCTCGCTAGGTTTCTGCGTTCTGACCAATTTTAGGGTCAAAGGTTGTGCCAATGTCACTTTCTGCTTTGCTACTCATACAGGTATGTTTTACTGAGTTGGATGTGATCTGCTAGGAAGAGTGGACTAAGAAAGTATATTCTTTACACTACCCCACATAAAGGACAAGTTGTTGTTGTACTATGGCTATATTTGTGATCACTAGGCAAATATTTCTCTTGACCCTGCAAGATGAAGTCCTCCCGATGTGAAAGGCGCTAAACAAATATAATTTTGTTGTTGTTATATGGTATTATAAAGAATTGCTCTCTTCATTTAGTAACCAAACACAAAACCTATTGTTGCTGTGAAGTGCTCCAAGCTGACCTGAGAATTAAGTAATGGAGATTCCCACATTTTGTTTCCTACAATGCTGTGGGATCATTCTGGATGATTATAAAGATTGGATGAATGAGGAAGAATGTAAAATTAATTCAAACAACATTCCTCACTGTTTACATGTATTTCAAGTTTCACATAAAAAGGAGTGATTTTATTTGTTATTTACCTTGCTACACTTGGAGTTGCTTATATATTGTGCATCTTTCTTGTAACATCTTGACCACTCCACTAATGCCTTCTTTCAGAAGAAATGAGGCTACAAGAATTAAACCATGCTTACAATGGAATTAAAGAAGGACCATGTGAGCATTATGGCACCAAATCCTTAAGAGAATTAAGATTTGTATGCAAAGATTAATTTAGGAAGATTCAGCGATTTAGGAAAAACTTACTTTATGGTAGGTAGCCAAAAGTTCCATGATACTTATTGATACATGTAGAGGAACACGTATTTAGCTTCACATTTTAATGAGTTTCTGATGATGAGCAGGTTACTATGAGGAGATGCTTTTATGATCCTCCTGAAAGCATACTATAGTTTTTTGCAGCCAGACACTTAATATGCAGTGAAAACTGGAGTGAGAACAATCCCTGGACCACATTAATCTCAATTTAACCTCACAAATACATTGGTATAGCAGATTTACTACCATTTTCTTAATTTTACTAGTTTATAGTGTATGAATAACGGGAGAAAATAAGGTGGAACATAGCAGGAAAACCCCATCCCTTCTCAAAGTCGTAATGTTTATGGGTAATAAGTTATCCTATTGCATTTTAAGTCAGGTTCCTTGCATGGGAATGTGCAATTACATTTTGGAAATCAGGTTACCAGAATAATTTGATTTAGATAGGAAAGCTCTGTGCATTTGCATTACTCGCCGTATTATAATTAGAAGAGATGAGGACCACATCGTTTTTATTGCATGTCAGTCATTGAAGTTCTGCTGCTATGTTGGACTGTGTGTATTCATCTGTTCAGTAACTAAATTATGGGATCTTACTCTCCCAGCATATATTTGATCTCAAGAAAAACTGTCATCTTTGCTAGAGGATTAAAATTATATGTTGGAATGATGCCATTTGATTTAAATAACCACAAAAATGTGATCTGAGTTATTGTTTTAGTATGATAGACCTTATCTTTTTAGGTTCATAAAACTAGATTATAACCATCTGTTATTACTGGAGAATATTTGAATGTTTATCAATTTCTGTACAAATTAGCGTTGGGCATGACCTAATTCTCTCCTAACGACTGATGGTGAATTATTCATGCACACACTCCTAGATTTATATCTCTTCCTACAGGAAGTCTGCTTTAATGTCTTCATCAGATGGTAATTTTATTTTCATTATATGTCTACTATTTTTAAACAAATGATCATTCAATCCTTAATGTTCATATGATTCAGCATTAATATTATTTTCCTTTATGTATTGAATATAATTTCCTGTTTTTTCTGAACTCACTGAAAAGAAGTAAGATTTTCTTTTCCTTATAGCTATTGGTCTTTATTGAGGTGACTGGGCTATCATCTCTTGCATCTAGGTTAAAAGATAATGCTCTCACCTCTGGGTAAGGATGTTGTGGATTCAAACCCTAACTTGAGTCTGAGCTGATTATCCAGGCTAGTATTCCATTGCAGTATTAGAATGCTTTCCTAAGAGAGAAGAGCATAACCAGGACGCCCTTCACCCCTTCTCTACACAGTTCTTCAGGACAGTGTTCAGGCAAAAGTTGGTGTTGACCACAACGGCAAGGTATCTATAAGAATCAACAATTGATACTGATGAACTTCCAATCAATACCCTCGATGTCAGAAAGACCTGGAACAGATGCATAAGTCTGTCCCCCCCCTGATCTCACCGATTAAAGTCGTGCTTCGGGTAATCAATTATACGCATGTCGATTTATCAGCCTAGGACTCCAGTACAGGCATTGAATGCACACCTGCAAGGTACTGGCAAAAAAAAACTGTTTGAATATGTGTGAAGTTATTAGAAGTTTTTAGGGACGCCCTGACTCCAGGTACATCCCGTTCATACTGGTAATCCCCTATCATCTCTTTTAACCAGACTTTTTTTTGCCAGCAGTGAAGATAGGTATTTATACTTCTCCAGTTTAGGGTTAGACATAGCTATAATGAGAAGGAAATATAGAAAATTAGGGAGACCCAGAGAGAAAGAGAGAGATGTTATTTTATGTGATGTTCAATTATTCTGTCTGCTGATCCTCAAAAGGCATGGTCACAATTAGTGTGGCTAATCAGCTATTTACTGTGCTTTTAAAATTGATGGTCTGGAAATCGAATGAAGTGGGGGGAAGTTGTTTTATGTGATCTGCAGTTTGCCTTGAAGCCACAGGCTGGCGGAGATAATATTATAATTACTTCATTATGATAACTGTTTTGGTAAACAATCACAATCCTTAAATATAGAATTGGCAATTTTTTAAACTGTGTGCTCATTGGAGCTATACCTGTTCAGTTTCTCCTATAATCCCTTCAATGGGATTTTGAAAAGGGTAGGCAAGAACTTTTTTAAGTGGCTTGACATGGATATGAGAGTACTTATATGTTCTACATGTTTATGATCGTTGCGACTGAAATCCAATTGATGATCATCAAGTAAGCACTGCATTTTTCCTATGTGGAATATAAGAACTCAAGAATATTTGGGAAAAGGCAAAGCCACTTACCATCACAAAGCCTGTTCTTTAATCAATGTCATTCATATAGTAGATGAGTTACTTTGTTGTGGGAAATATCCTGATCTAGTTTAAGCTGACCTCCAAATCAGAGTAATGGGAACTGCGGTTCTCCTTTGTTCCAATTCCCAATTATAACTGTCATATTCTCGGAGGTGACTACTCTCTGAACTGCTTTTTATCACCACCCGAAAGGCCCCTCTAAGAGCAACATCACTGTGGGCCAAACCTTTCGACCTTTTCAATTTTCCCAACACCTTCCTGATATCAGCCAAACCACAAGTGAACTCCAAATGCTTTCCAGGAAGGAGGAAATGGTAAAAGCCTTTTTCAGGCCATTGCCCTGCAGTTTCTAGTGGACAGTCAAGTGTCTGGGCAAGGGAGACATGCAGTTCCTCCGAATCACTACTCAGTTTTGCAGGTCAGATAAGAACTAGATCAGCTTAACTCTAATGTCTTCTGAGATAAAACAGCTTGCCATATGAATGGGGAGGGTCCATACTCCTCTTAGCTATTGAATGTGTATGACCCAGTGGAGTAAATGAGAAGGAAAAAATATCACAAAACTAAGGTAAACCACTCCATTTTCATTAACAGTTCTCATTCACTCAAACCTTTCTTTTCCCAGATTCTGAATCAATTGTTTGAAATTTCACAAACCAAAATTGGAGTCTTCAATGTGTTGATCGCTCACTGCTGCCAAACGTGGTTGCCAGCTGTTTCTGCTAGTAACACTTGCCTGCAGGATTCTTTCGCAATTGCTCAAAACCATATCGACCTTTTTGTTGAGGCTTGCCTGTTTGGACCTGTGTTTAGGAAAGATCAAAGGTAAGAATAAGGAAGCTCTGTGAAACAATTTAGTCCAAATTATTTAAAAAAAACTAATCTTCAGATTAGCATATTTCATCCTCAAATTATTATCTTTCAATAACCAAAATATTCACTTGATCATGAAGTAAACCATTGAAACAGAAATACAGCTGATCAAAGGTAATCCAGTAGGTATTAGTATGTACTTTGTAAAATTTGAAGTGTGAAGAGATGATGTTGGATATCACTGCTTTAGTTATCCATTTCATAGATCTATTTGATTTTTTTTCTGTTAATTGGCTGCATCATATTGCAAGGTGGTTATGATTTTAATGTGCATTATTCCTGTAATGGTTTTTTCAAAGGGTTTGAAGAGCAACATTTTGTATTTTTTTTTGACCAGATTAATTCAAGATGTACATATCTTCATAGAACTACAAGGAGACGACTGTGCAGCAAATGTAACTACTGAAAGGTAAAAAAGCATATAACTATTTCTAAATCGGTGAGAGTTCACTGATATTGAAATGACACAGTATGCCAGGGCACAGACATACAAGATCCTGATATGATGGGTTATCTATGCGAATGTCTTAACTGCATAAAATGGCAGGTGAAAGTAATGCTATTTTGTACGATTCTAACTTTTTATTTCACTGTTTTCTCAGTGCAGAATAGTAACATAACTTTAAACGTATTTGAAACCGCATCATGTGTGCTTAGGTATTGTTATTTAAACATAAGGCAATTTTTTAATGTTTATCCACCTACACAGTTTATTCGTGGATATTTTCATTGCATTCAAAGAACTTAGTTTTATCCCTTCGTGTCTGCTGCTTATAGACTTGGGTTTTAATGGGCTTGAATGTATCTTGACTATAGATTTGCTGAAATTGTGCCAGTTTGTATAATATACTGAAAGACATGTTGAACTGAAGAGTAGGAGTAGATAGGATAAGTAGATCTTATTTTAATCTTGTCAAAGAATAAAATTGTATACATGCAGGGGTTTCATTAGAAACAGACAAGATAACTTTCATCTTACGCACTCGAGCAATTGCTTGCTCATTGGTCACATTCATTACGTTTTAGGTTCGAGGAGAACACACCATGAATGAATGCTCATTTCGTAATGGCCTCACGTTATGCCTCAATGCTAGTTTTTTTTAAAACCAACATACCTATTAAAGCTTAATTAAACCCTTTGCACCTTTGCATGCATTTAAGACTTTAGTATGTAAAAATAGATTTCAGTTGAATGTGGTAGGCATTGTACATGACAAATGTAATGATTTTCTATAATATTGTAAAATATAATGTGTAACAACAAATTTACATTTGTATACCGCCTTTCACATCGGGAGAATGTCCCAAGGCCCTGGGCAATCAGTGTTTCGGACCTGAGCTGGAGGTCGGGATCGGGAAGGGTGGGGGGCAAGGGGGGAAGAAGGGTGACTGAGGCACGGTTGAATAGGAGGATCTTGAGACAGATCTTGAAAGGAGGTAAGGCGGAGGGACTGCGGTATGGAGTTCCAAATGCTGGGGGCAGAGTGGCTAAAGGTCCACCCACCAATGGTGGTGTGGGCAAGATGGGGGAACGTGAAGCAGGCCAGACACGCTGAGCGGATGGAGCAGGCAGGTTCGTAGGGGGTTAGGAGGTTGCAGAGGTAGGGGAGAACAAGGCCATGGAGGACTTTGAAAGTGAGGGTCAGGATTTTGAACTGTATCCTCTGTGTGATGGGAAACCAGTAGAGTCGGGAGAGGGTGGGGGTGATAGGGTCGTGGAGCCTGGTGCGTGAGAGGACACGGATTGCAGAGTTCTGGATGATCTGCAACCTAGAGAGATGAGTCAGGGAGGCCGACAAGCAGGGAGTTTGCATAGTCAAGCCTGGATGTTGTGAATGTGTGTATGAGGGTTTTGGCAGCCTGCCGTGTGAGACAGTGGTGGAGCCGGGCGATGTTGCGGAGGTGGGGAGAGTCAAAGCGGGTCATGCCACGGATGTGAGGTATGAAAGACTGTTGAGGATCGAACAGGATACTGAGGTTCCGTATTGGCTCCATGAGATGTAGAGTGCATCCATGGAGGGAGATTTTGTCAATGCCTGAGGTATGGAGGCACTGACAGGAGCCAAGCAGGAGGGCCTCAGTCTTATTGACATTCAACTGCAGGAAGTTAGCTCTCATCCAGAACTTGTTGTCTGACAGGCAGTGAGGACAGCAGTGGTCCTGGAATCGAGGGTGGAGGTAGAGAGGTAGAGTTGGTGTCATCCGCATACATGTGGAAGTCGGTGGATGATGCCACCAAGGGGGAACATATAGATATTGAAAAGGAGAGGGCCAAGGATAAAGCCCTGAGGGACGCCACACATGACGGAGTGGGGGCTGGAGAAGAAGCCGTTTGTGGCGATAAAGTGGAGATGGTGGGAGAGGAGGACAAGGAGGCAGAGACGGCCCTTGTCGCAGGTGTTCAGAACGTTGTTAGTGACTTTGACCAGGAGTGTTTCCGTGCTGTGGGCAGCACAGAATTCCGATTGGATGATTTTTTGAGGATGGAGGTGTGAAACATTTAAAAGTCATGCTCCATTGACCTTCCAACTGAGATTGCCCAATGCCTGAAAGCTGTATAATAATGGTTAAGATTACATTAATTTTGCAAAGATCATTTAAAGGTGATCATTTTTATTTGTTTTAATTTTTAACAATCATTCATAAACCATCTTTTAACTTTTACTCCTCTTTCTAACTGTTCTTATTAACTGTTCTGAAGACGCTCCCTGCACAAAGCCCTCCAATCCGATTTCCACAGTACCGAGACTGTACTGGTGAATGTCAACAGTGACATTCTCTCTATCTGTAACCAGGGCGCTTTCTGCCTCCTTGTTCTTCTTGACCTCTCTGTTACTTTCGTCACTGTTGACCATTCTATCCTCCTTCAGCGCCTTTCCTCTCGGTTCCACCTTCACCGTTCTGTGCTTTCCTGGTTTTGTCTTACCTATCCTAACATCTCCACCTTGTGTCTGCCAATTACTTCTCCTCCCACCCCCACACCGTCATGTGCAGTATTCCTTTACCCTCTTCTCTTAATATCTACTAAATTGGAGAATAATGTCAAAAAACACCCCAGATTATTTTGGCAAAATTACATACTTTAAAGCCTAGTATTTGATTAGACAATTATCTACATACAAGTTAATTTATAACATAGATGATTCTTTTGCCAATTTACCATTTTACAGTGAAAACAAAGATGATCAATTTGTGCGAATATGGGCCATTAGCTTCTTATGCCATTTGGATGGATCAGATTCTTTGCATAAGAATTTCATTGAGAAGCTTGTTAACAAACTACTTGAAAGGGTAAGCGCCTGTCCTGTTTTCTGCTCACAATTTTTTTTTTACATATATATTCATACGCTCTTTCCTGAACAAGTGAGAAGAATTCTGGTATTTTTGATCAGTATATTTTAGCTTATGTTATTATACAGTGCAGTCCTGTGACAATACTGTACATGATAATGCTCATTTGTTTGTAACAAGGATGGCATGTCAGCCCTATTCACTGAGCATGTGTGTAGCCAACCGAATGGGTTCCCCCGTGCTGGCTCGTTCCTGCCCTAAAAGTAGCTGATATATGAGTCTTTAGGTCAATGCTAATGTCATTTCTTATGCCCTGCACATGCCAGCACATAAGCAGTGATGTCAGCAATGACCTCCTGATCACCCAGATGTTGGATTTCTTTTTATTGCAGGAAATGGCTGGCCTGCAGAAACTGAGCGGGCTGGTTGTACGTACGTGCAGTGAAAGTGGCAATTGTTATAAGATGGGTTGTGGTTAATAATAATCCTTGATTTAATATCGCGCCTTATCACATCGTTGAGACGTCTCAAATAGCTTCACAGAATATATTATAAAGTGGATTGATTGTATATATTGTGGGCGAAATGCAGCAGCCAATTGTGCACAGCAGTGTCCCACAGACAGTCCTGAATCGAGTGCCCAAATTATTATTTAAAAAAAANTGTTGTATATTTTTTATAGATTCCAAACATAGTTGTTCGGATCTGCAATGCATTGCCTGAAAGGGTGGTGGAAGCAGATTTGATAACAACTTTCAAGCAAGAAATGGATAGATGTTTTGGGAAGACAAATTTGCAGGGCTATGGGAGAGGGAGCGGGGAAGTGGGATTAATTTGGACAATTCTTTCAAAGAGTCAGCACAGACACGATGGGGCGAATAGCCTCCTTCTGTGCTGTTTGAATATAGGGTTAGAATAAGATTCCACCGTAGTTAAAATTCCGCACAGTGATAATTGAATGGCATTTTTGTTTTAAATGATCAAAAGTATCAATTAAAATTGAAATAATACTTTTAATAGAGACTGTCACTGGCATAATACAAAGTTCTTGTTTTATGTTTCTGCATTTTTCATGTAATACATGTATTTTCAGACCTGATGCACTGGAAAACAACAGCAACAAGATTACATTTGTATAGCGCCTTTCACGTCGGGAGGACTTCCCAAGGCGCTGGACAGAGTACAGCATTTCAGACCCGAGCTAGGGTCAGGGGGGGAGAAGGGAGGGGAGGGGAAAGGGGGTGACCGATGGCATGGTCGAAAAGGAGAGTCTTGAGGCGGGACTTAAAGGAGGCTAAGAAGGGGGCGAGGCGGAGTGACTGGAGGATGGAATTCCAGAGGTTGGGGACAGAGTGGCTGAAGGCTCTCCCACCAATGGTGGGGTGAGTGGGTCAGGGGATGTGGAGCCGGCTGAGCCAAACATTTTCCAAAAATGTTTGGAGCAAGATTTTTTTTTGAGCTCTCATAGTTTTGTGGATAGAACTTCAGCTTGTGGATTGGGAACTTGCTGATTCAAATCCGATCCATCCTGAGTTTGCTTGTCTTAGTTGGGGCTTGGTCCAGGCCTTTCCAGGGTTAGGGAAACCAGCCAGACAAAATTTCTTGGACCCTGTACAGCAACTTCTGGTAGTGTGCATTTGTGGCAATTGACTGAGGAGAGATGATAGATGCCAAGGCTCATACCTGAACAATGCCATTTGGGCATGTTGTCAGGTGCCAACCAGCACCCATGGAACCACCTGGTCACTAACCTGCATGAACAGGCTAGTGACCAGTAGAGGCATATGTCAATGGAGGGAAAAGTTAGAAAAATAATTGGGCATCTAAAATTATATATTTTTAAAAATTGACTGAAGTGCAAATCCTTTTTAACCTCATTTTTCAAAATGATATATATCACAATAGCTTGTTTTTCAAAATGATCTGATTTGGGGAGTGGATGGTGTTAGTTCTTCCATCACTTAGTAAAATTTGAACAAAATGATACGTTGTTCAATATGCTAATGCCTTTTTGTAATTCCTGCTCTCTACATTGTCGACATTTGTCGCTATTGGCCATTTCACTTACTTTGCAGGATAATGAGCTGAGGAATAAGAAAGGCCGTTATTATGTGAACTCAATGTATCATCGAGTGAAGACCAGAATATGGCAGACTTTACTTGTGCTCCTTCATCATCTGGATCAGGTAAAATGATCTACATTTGATATTGAGATCTGTGTATTTTGTAATCAAGAAGCCATTTAGAGTATTTGTTAATTTTAAGATTACTTAATGATATCAAAATTTGATCTGGAAATTTTCTCAGGATTTCTCTTTCACCTCTTAAACAATTGAAGGGAATTCTTGACTGCAACCGTTAAGTTTTGATTTTGAGAGGTAATGCCATTGATTGTTGCTTAATATTTATTTAAAATACAAGAGAGAATTATAATGCACAGTGAGTGCTTCACTGAAACGTTACTTTTAGAGTGTGAATATTACCTTAACTTTTGATTCATTCATTAGAATTTTACAGTATATAAGGAGTCCATTTGGCCCATCTTGTCTGAGACAGTTCTCTGAAAGCTGTTCATTTCCCCCCAACTTCTCGGCCCATATCCCATATCCTTTCATATTTTCTTTTTAAATTTTTGTCCTATTGCCTCCATCCAATATTCCACCACCCAGATCCGTACCTACACCTGGATTCACTCAGCACGCTAGGTCTACAGTGTGCTCCCAGCCCCGTGAGCCCTACCACCTTCAGCCGCTATACCTGCTGAGTTTTCAGCTTCTATTACCCGCAGGAACTCCTTCCCTCAACCATCGTGCCTATCTGTTTTCAAAAAGCCTGCTTAAAAGCCTACCTCTTCGACCGTGCTTATGGTCACCTTTTGCCTGCTTGGGCACTGCCTCTGTAAAGAGCTATGAGATGTTACTCTTCATGAAGGTGCTATACAGATACAAATTGTGCTGTTGAGGCAAATGCAGGGATTTTTAAAAAATTGAATTAAACAGTGGTATTCATAATAGCCATAATTACATAATGGAATCCATCATTTTACCCTAAGTTTACTTCACAATGTAAGATAGTTGTTGAATTGGGCTACACCTGGTGGTTAGTTTTCTATAACAAATAAAAAAAAATCCATAAAACAACACATTTTGACATTGACTTTCCAATCCACTGTGTAATAGATGAACTGATGGGAACATTAAGTCTTGGCAGTGTTTTTCATATTTTTAGAGGTTGGAAAGTATTTTACCTTTCTGTAATTTGATTTCAAGTATCCAGCTGGCAGCCATTTTCATCACGTCCAGCTTTGAGCATCTTACTTGGCTTTGAGCTGAAAAGTCATTGCAATCCAACATGATTTCAGTTGATAGGCGTGTTCTAGTTTAACTTGACCCATATGTCAGTACAATTCTTAATTTTCTGGATGGTACATTTGGAAATAGGTTGCCCTGCCTTGTGTATAAATAATGAATAAATCCTTTGTCAGCTTCAAATATATTAGGATAGGGAGGGGGAAGTACCCTGTTAAATTAATGTTTAAGTTGGGTAATAGTGAATAAAGTAAGCAAAGTGGTCAGTACCATTGGTTTTGGAATGTGTTTTGTTTTTATGCTAAGTGAGCAAGCTAAGGCTTTCATTGCTCTCATCAATTCCTTACTCATTATCAATTCAGCATCAGCATTTAGTTTCAAAGGTCTGCAAATGTAGTTGTGGATACATCCTAGTGATTGATGCCTATAGGGAGTGTTTATGTTGTCTTCCACTGAAATGGGATTTTGAAAGACAGTCAAAGGTTGACAGGCTAATCAAGTTGACCGAGGCTGAGTTATAGATTTTGGAAGAACCCTTCATTTTGGAATGACTGCAAAGAAGTGTCAAGTTCTACCCTGGTGAAGAAATGTAGCTCTAGATCCTTAACATTTGAGATTGTACACCTCTAGTGCTAGACATACTGAAGCCCAATGTATAATGCAGAATCTGCCCATAATTCAATGATTTACCAATATCGTATAACACATTAGACAATAGAAAGGAAGTTGTGAAGGAACTTCCCACCCTTTTTATGAATATTGCAAACTAGACTCTAGCGATACAGTAGAGAGCAAATTATTCACATTAATTGGGACCCCATTGTGGATAAACAAACCATGTGGATAATTGGACATCCTGCAAAATACAAATTGGCTTCAAGTGTTAACTGAAGATAATTCTTCTGACTGTTATACCTTCACTGTAATAACACATTGTGCCAACTCTTTGTTAAAATGAATAATCCTTGCATTTGATATAGAACTTTTCACGTCTTCTAGACGGCTCAAAGTACTTCACAAAATATACTGTAAAGTGAATTGACTGTATATTTGTGGGCGAAACGCGGCAGCCAATTGCGCACAGCAGTGTCCAACAAACAATCGTGGATTGAAGTGACCAATTTATTATTGGTTTTGTTTCTTGAGGGATTATTATCAGGCATATGGAGTAAGGAAACTTGCCCAAGGTTTCGACCTACCGGGAATCTAACCCAGTTGTCTCTCTTGCAAGGCGAATGATCTAACCACTGAGCTACAGGACTCATGCTTTTTTTGTTCTCTATGCTTTTTTTTTTCTCTCTCTCATTTTGTGTGTGTTTTTTGCTTAAAGTACCATTTTCTGTAAGGTCCTAAGTGGTCAATATAGTTACTAACAGGTCAACTCTGTCCGTAGTCATTAAAATCGGTGCTTCAGCAATTTGTCTTGTGTTAATTCAGTTCCCTCATACTTTAGGGCTGAGTAAACACCTTCACTCAATGTGATCAGTTGTTTAAACAAACAACAGATTTTTTAAAAGATGTATTAGTGGTGAAATGTTTCTTTGAATAACCATTATTCAGAAACAATAACTTGCAAAACCTTCTCGCAGGATAGTGTCTTGGAGCACTGAACAATGGTGGGTTTTGATACCGAGCGGGCAGAAAGGATAGGTTTACTATAGGTATGGATGAAGATCTGAAGACAGGCAAAGAAGAGGCAGGGCAGAGTGATTGAGCCAGTGAGTTCCAGACGTTTGTAAAGTACAGCTGCCAACAGTGGAGTGGAGGGGTCAGGGGATGCGCAGAAGGCCCGAGTCAGCGGAGCAAAGGGGGCATACACGCATTCATGACTCCCTGCTTGTTGGCCTCCCCAATTCCTTCCTCCATAGACTGCAGATCATCCAGAACTCTGCAGCCTGTGTCCTCTCCGCATCAGACTCCGTGACCCTATTACCGCCATCCTCGCCCGACTCCACTGGCTTCCCATCACAAAAAGGATACAGTTTAAGATCCTGATCCTCACCTTCAAAGCCCTCCATGGCTTTGCTCCGCCCTACCTCTGCCATCTCCTAACCCCCAACCAACCTGCCCGCTCCCTTCACTCGGAGAGCTCCGACCTGCTTCACGTCCCCTGCCTTACCCGCCCCACCATTGGCGGGCAGGCTTTCAGCCGCTCTGCCCCCCACCCTCTGGAACTCTATCCCACAGTCTCTCTGTCTTGCCCCCTCCCTTGCCTCCTTCAAGACCCATCTCAAGACCCTCCTCTTTGACCATGCCTTCGATCATCCTCCTTTCCCCCACAGCCCCCAACCTCCCCGATCCTGACCCCCAGCTCGGGTCCAAAACACTGATTGTTCAGTGCCTTGGGATGTCCTCCCGACGTGAAAGGCGCTATACAAATGTAATGTTGTTGTAGTCGAGGAGAGGGGCATAAGCAAGTTGGAGCGTGAGGAACGTGCTAGGGCATGATGTAATTTGTAAGTAAGTGTGAGGGTCATGGAATTAATCCGTTCTGTGACTGGGAGCCATTGGAGCCTGGCGAGGACGGGTGATGGAGGAGCAGATTGGTTCAGGTGAGGATATTAGTGGTGTCCTTTTGAATCAGATGGATTTTGTGAATGGTGGAGCTGCAGGGACTGGTGAAGAATGCATTTGAGTAATATAGGCGAGAGGTGATAAAAGTATGGATGAACAGCGTTGGGTGTGAGATATCGTTAGAGACGGGCAATGTGGCAAATGTGGAAGAAAACAGTCCTCCAGTCAGGAAAAATAGTCGGGGACTAAATGTGCGTGAAAGGACAACTGGGGATCAGAAAAAAATAGATTGCACACAGTGAGTCTGAGAGAAAGGCTGGGAAGGTTAAGGAAGTTGGAGGTGACAAGACGTTGATTGGAACCAAGTATGATGGCTTCTGTCTTGTTCGTGTTCAGCTGCAGTAAGCCATCACTTATCCAGGCAGACAGAACATCAATGGTCCTGGAGTCTCGGCCAGAGGAGAAAAAATAGATTTGGATGTCATTCTGCATATATGTGCAAATTGACCCAATGTCTGTGGATGATAGTGGTAGTAGAATAGTTTGTTCCATTTAATTGACATATTTCCAAATTACTTGCACTAAAATTGCATTCATCTCTCCCACAGAATTTTGTAAGAAAAATCCTTGAAACTGTTTATCTTTCTGGCTTCAGTGATAATCAGGCATCTGTAAAGTACCTAATCGAATGGTTCATCATTTTGATACTCCATAAGTGGCCTGAATTTCTGGATTCGTTCTGGAGATGCTTTCGTTTTGTAAGTAAAAGTGCTGATTATATCTGTATTCCTCTTTTTGTTTTGCCCTTTTCCCCAGGCATCAACTATTCCAGAAGTCTAATACTAGCTGAAAAGGAAGGGTATCACAATTCTGTTTGAATTTACTAATTAAAATAGAAGGTTGTGTCTATTGGGCTGCATTTCCCCCTCTCTTTAGCAAACATTAGCTGCATTACCTCATATTAGGGTCATTTTATACATATGGTCTCAAAACCAAATATAATACATACAATTCGACCCTCAGGATAATCTGAGGCTTGGGTACAGTGAATTCTTACAGAGTCAATAGACTGGCCTATTTTTCCCTTATTAATGATGCCCTCATTAGTGAGTTTGCAATTTGAGTCACCATCAGTTTCAAATGAGAAGCTAGACTGGAAAAATGTCTTGAAGAGCAAAGTGTCCTCATTATTCAATTACCCATTAGGTTGGGCTCAACTGTAGTTGGAACTTAGGCTTGAATCTGGCCCAGTGCTGCAAGAGATGACATTGTTATCAATGAGCATTTCATGCTAAGCTATACTGCTCACCAGGAAGGCTTGCCGGTTGTTGTTTGTACCTACAATCTATTGCTCAAATTTGCACTGGTCAATGAACAACTAGTGACTATCCTCCTTGGAGTGTGGGGTGGGGGGAGGTAAGTGGGATCTCCTTGGAACTGAGCTTGCTTCGAGATTGTCCTTAGCCACGGAATGTCGGAATTGAATTAACTCTCTGTGGCAGTCTGCCAAATCCTATTTTGGGAGCTAGTTTAAGATTTGCTTGATGTCAAGTAGCTTGGAATACAACATCCTATTTGGCTCTGCTTTGGTCAGACAATTAGATATGTGTACGTTCACTTTAAAGCCTTTTCATTAATATCATTCCTCACCTGTTAAAGAATGCTCCATGTGCAGTGTTCACTGGTTTCCTAGGTAATTTCCTTAATGGCTGTGTCAGTCAAACTAGCAAAGAAGTAACCTATTAAGTCAGGATTGATTTGTTTTTGAAGTGAGGAAGATAGTTCTTTTCAGCCACGACTGGAGGTAAAAAAATTACCTTAACTTTAGCCAAGGAGGAAAGTTGGATCCTTTAATAATTCTGCAGATTTATAGTTTTAAAATAGATAATAATTGAGCAATGTGTATTCATTGTCCTAACTATCCTAACATTTCAGTCTTCATTATCTTTCCTTTGCCTTGATCCACACACCTAAGCTTCTTCCCAAACGTCAGCCTAAAATGTACACGATCCTTTAGCCCTCATTAATATTAATTATTATTGTGGCTGTTGCATTTTAGCAAAACTAAACGCTGGAGTATCATGCAGTGAAAAAATGAAATTGCAGAATAAGATGAGTAACGGTAAATTGGTGATTACATGAAGGGAAGGACAGTTTCATTATTATTTTTAATTAGAACGCAACCATTATGTGGAGAGTTGTCTTCCAAGTGGAATGTGAAAAGGAATCTCCAGAGTTGTAATTATGGCTCGAAATAAAAATCCTTTGTTGGTAATTGAATCCTAGCATAATTTGCGTGACTATTTCACCATAGCAAAAGAATTAGCATTACTTCCTGTTTAAATTAAAGGCTGTAATTGCAATGTATTATGACTTCTAAAGGTACAAATTTGTCTGTAGAATTTGAAATAAACGGTCTGTTGCAACTTATACTTCAGAGCAATTTACGAAAACACATTACCTTTAGAGTCTTAAAATAACCATTTTCTTCAGTTTGGTCTGAAATATTTCTTGTATAGATTGGATTGAAAAATGTGGACTTATAGCTCAATTGTTAAGTTGTCTTATGCTTTCTCTTGTTCATTTATCTACAGAAACAAGAAAATACTAAAAGCAGTATTTGCACCTTCTTGGCAATATTAGTTCACATTGATGTGATCCTTAAGAATGTTGAGGAGAAGGTAAATATATGTGCAGAAAACCTTTCAGGTTAAATATAAGTAATGGCTATTTATAGACATCCTACATCTGGCCTCGCACCCTTTTGGCTGTCCCTTACCTCCCTTGCCTGTGTCCCCCACTACTTCTCTCCCCAGGCCGCTGAGACCATCGTCTACGCATCCCAGACTCAATTATTCCAATGCCCTGCTCACTGGACTCCGGAGCTCCTCTTTGTACAATCTGCAGATCATCCATAACTTTACAGTCCATGTCTGGTCCCACACCAGGCCCCGCAAGCTTATCATATCTATTCTTACTCAACTCCACTGGCTCTCTATCGCCTGCTGGATCAAATTCAAGATCTATAACCTCACTTTCAAATGACCTCATGGCCTCATGCTACCCTATGGTTTGCGATTTCCTGCAAACTACAGCCTGGCTGCTCCCTTCCACTCAGCAAATGTCAACCAGCTTCATGTCTCCTGCCTGATCAGCCCATAATTGGTGGGTGAGCTTTTAGCTTTTTCTGCCCTCACTCTCTGGAACTCCATCCAGGGGCTCCTCCACCTTGTCTTCTTCCCTGCCTTTAAAACCCATCTTAAACCCTATATTTTGACAACACAGTTGGCCACCTTTCTCGCTCTACCCCTCCCCCTCACCTCGGGCTCCCAGTCAGCTGTGTGAAGCGTGCGCTTAGAGATCTCTCAATATGAAATGTATATAAATGTGAATTGTAATTTAAACTTGTATGAAATGCAAATAATTATGCTTGCTGAAGGAAAGGGTTCTATTTTTTGGTATCCAAATATATGAAAATTTTTCTAAATCAACTCGGAAAAGCAATGACACCAAGTCATTCCATTCTGTGCAATGTTAGTTGACAAATTTGCACAATGAGCCTTATTGGTGTATCTGGTAATCTTAAGTGGATCAGCTGAGCGAATACATGATCGTCCTTGCGAATGTTTTCACCCTGATGGTTGTAGACTGCCAAAGAAGATCTGGGCAACAAGTGTTTCAAGTGAGTTATCCAGCAGCATGTCCAATATAGTGTTCATATTGCACATTAAAGGCTGATAGTCATGATGTATTCTTATTTCATGGTAAGATTGTTTAATACATTGTTTGCCAATATTTTGTTTCATTAATTAGAACCATTATTTGAAGAAAGCACTGAGTGTAATACTGCCATGGTGTCTAAATCACAATTTCAGTGTGCGACTGTATGCCTTGCTTGCATTACAAAAAGTCTGGGAGGCTTGTCAACTGGCGAAGATGGAGGGTGACGATTTGCAATTTTTGGAACCAATAGTTGAATCCAGTCTGGAGCAAGCCGGTCATAAGCAAAGCACAGGGTCAGCATGAATTCCATACACTATTCTTTTATTTTTCTAAAATTGTATTACCTATGTAAAGACTTTAAGGGACCATTCATAATTACACTTTGTGTAAGAATAATTTGAAGTGGGTTGGGGGGCAGTGAGTCACAGTTAATGACCAGCACTAAAGAACAAAAAATCAGTTTGAATGAAGAAGGCCCCTTTTCCCATCTGATCTCTTCCTTAATATTACACAAATGTTTTTTTTGAAGGGGTGGGGGATATTAGGTTCCACTTCCAAGGCATTTATGTTGCCCACTTACCCTTTTCCTCTTGGTTTCCAAATGAGTTATTTTTACTATTCAAACAATGGGAAACGACCCTGGGTATGAAACTAGTCTATTTCTTAGTGGTAAAGATGCTGGAGAGGATGGGAAAGTTTGGGCTTCCAATAGCTTTCTCTAATTATTGATGTGAGAGCAGTGTTGTAGTACAGTTTACCATTGGGAGAGCAGAAGATCGGATGATATAATTGAGCAGTTATCGGGAGTTTTTTTTAGGATGCACAGAAATGCGAAGGAAAAGGATCCCTCCCTGAAGGTTAGCTGTTGCAAGCACTTCAGTTGGCAGCCAGTACTGTCTGATAGCTAGGAGAATATCAAAATCCATTAATGTAAAGCCTTAGTTATGAGTGGCCACTCAAGGTTTTATACTAATTAATTAACAAAATTAAACTGCATTTCTTATTTGTTTTTTTAAAAAGTCATAATTATTACATCTGTAATATTTGCACTTTTCATTTGGTTGATTATTTTCAAGTGAATGGAGTTAGTTTCTAAGTGTACTCAGGTGAAACCTAAATCTACCTCTACTTCTCCCCTTGATTTTGATTGCACTGATGTTTTGACCATCTGCCTGTCAGACATTAAGTTCCAGATGAGCTTAAACTTTCTTCAGTTTAGCATGACCAAGATTCAAGCAATCCTTCTTGGCACCTGTCAATGTCAACAACAACTTCCATTTATATAGCACCCTTCACGTGGGGTAACGTCCCAGAGCGCTTGACAATGGCGGAGTCTAACATCGACTTTAGGCGGGATTTGAAAGTGGGGAGGGAGGGGAAAAGGCGAAGGGGTTGAGGAAGAGAGTTCCAGTGTTTCGGGACTTAATGGCTAATGCCGTCTGATGGTGGAGGGGACAAGGGACAAATAGGAGGCCGGAGCCAGCCGAGTGGAGGTAACGGGTGGTGGAGTTGGGAGTAAGCAATTTGTATAGATAGGGAGGTGCGAGGCATGAAGTGATTTGAAAATAAGTAAGAGAATCTTGAAGTTGATCCATTTGGTGATTGGGAGCCTGTGGAGCCTGGCAAGGAATGGTGTGATGGGAGTACGGAGTTTTGTGCAGGCGGTGGAGGTTTGAATTAGTTGATTTTTGAGTATGGTGGAGCTGGGGAGACCAGCGAGGAGGACATTGGAATAGTCCAGCCGGGAAGTGACAAAGGCATGGACAAGGGTTTCAGCTGGTTTGGTTGTGAGTTACGGACGGAGGTGGGCAATTCTCCTTGCTTCTGGCTTCAACTTTCTCAATCATCCTAAGCTATCTTTTCAATTGATTAACCAGTGTGCAATTTAGTTATTTAGTTTGATCCTCAACTCTACTTCCTCCCTCACGTCTATATCCTGACCACCACTTTTCTGCGCCTGCGTCAAATTGCCATCTCCATCCCAATGTCGCCTTGAATGCTGCCGAAATTCTCGTTCATGCCTCCGTCACCTCCAGACTTGACTTCTCAAATGTTCTCCTTCCTGGCCTCCACAGCTTTACCATCCACAAGCTTCTTTATCCACATGTCTGCTGCCCGCATCTTGACTGGCTTGTCCATCATCTCCATCCTTGTCAGGTTTACCTATCTCCCAGGCGATTCACTTCAAGATCCTTGTCCTCATCTATATGTCCTCACACCTCCGTACTCTGATCTTCTCCAGCCTAACTCTTATGCTTGCCCCCTCTGCTCTTCCAATTCAAGTCTATTACAAGTTCCCTGCCTCCTCTACACTATTGACGACAGTTTTCAGCCACTATATTCCTACCCTTTGGAACTATGCCCCTCCCGCCCTCCCCTCTCTTTTTACCTGTCTACCTTAGCTCTGTCTCTGCTTATCTATCTATCTTCAAAAAAAAATCTAAAACCCGACTACTTTGACTATGTCCAAGGTCACATCCTTCCTCTCCCTGCTTGGTGCCTTGCAATGTTTCCGTAAAGCTCTCCTATCTGTTACTCAGCGTGAAGGGTATTATATAATTGCTTTCTGTTATTTTAAAAACTAAAACCTGAATTTCCCTTGTGTTTAGAAATGCTGGAAAGAACTGGCAGAGAATTCAAGAGCACTTCTTTTTTGAAACATTTCAGCCACTGGAAGACTACAGTTTAGAGGTATAAAAAAGGTGCTAAAGATATTCTGAATGTTTTATACAAAAAGTAACTTACCAGTATGATGTGTCATAATGGAAATGCAGTTTTGAGGATATCTAACTTGGCCTGAGAAACTGTTGTATCTTCATTACAATGTAATCATACGTTACAGTAATTTGTAAACAGAAGTGCACATTTTTTTCGTTCAACTTAGTCATAATCCTTGCATTAGATGTACAGTAACCCCCAGCTTACTGGACTCTGGGTATCTTGAATTTGAAGCTATCCGGACTGGGCCTGAAACCTTAACATTTTTTTTTACAGGAACAAAAATTTCCTTGGGTCGTGTGTAGACTCCCAACTATCTTAGTGCGACAACGCTGTGCTGAGCAGCCTCACTGTGCTTGCTGGCCTTTTTGTATGTCAACCTGGTGCAGCGGTAGTACTCTCGCCTCTGAGTCAGTATGTTCAAGCCCCACGTCGGAACTTGGAATCACATAGTCTAAGCTGACACTCCAATGCAGTGCTGGGGGTGGGGGTGCTGCATTGTCAGAGGTGCTGTCCTTTGGATGAGATGTTAAACCGAGGTCCCGTCTGCCTGTACAGGTGAACGTTAAAGATCCCATGGCACTATTAGAAAAGAAAAGGGAATTTCTCCCAGTGTCCTGGCCAACCATTCCCCAAATAAAATTGATCACTGACTCCATTATTTGTGGGTCATTGCTGTTCCTACGCTTTGCCAACAAAATATACAGTCAATTCACTTTATATCCTTGTGAAGCGGTTTGAAACATTTCAACATAAGTCACTATATCAAATGCAAGGATTATTATTGTTGTTATTCACAGTGGCCAGGGATATCAACTATGACTCAAATTGTTTGCTTATCCGCTATCTTCTGCTTGCGGGATTCAATTACAATGCCAGTACCAAATGTGGCAGCTAATTTTGCGCAGCAATGTCCCACAAAAATTATAGGGATGAAATGAGCATGCAGGCAGAGGAAGTGCAGTTATGGATAAGGATATTGGTTTGTGATGGAGCTTGCTGAGTCCAGTGGATTCTGAATGTAGTGTTCTACCTGTTGGGAAAGTTCATTGTTCTTTTCAGGTCCTCTTTGAAAGAAGAGGGTAATGAAATGCATGCTAATGCACTTGCAAAAATGAAAAATGAAATGTTTACTAAATTTAACAAAAACGTCTTGAATATTCTAATCTATCGGTAAAAGCCCAATGCCCAGTGTAAAAACCAAATGTTCAATGCTATGCAGACATATGAGCATAAAAAGTTACAATGCAAATTATATTTTTAAATAGGAAAGCCATCCCTACTTAGTAGAAAATCAAAAAGCTATAAAAGCCAAGCAATAAATATTCAACATAATTAAATGCTTTTGGCTGCTAGCTGAGACGGTCTGGTCCACATCAGTAATTGGCAATCAATATTGAACTGGAATGTAACCAAAAATATTAAAGGGGAAGTTTTAAACATTAACAGCTTTGGTTATTTCCAACACCAGCAGTTTTATTTTGGTGTCCTATTTAATTTAAAGATTTATTTTCAAATAAAAATCTGACTCTTTCATCAGTGCTAATGGTTGTCCTCTTTCTATTCCAGACATTTTTTTACACCTTTCCTAGCCTGTCAGATGTGATAGAAGATGAATGGATTCCTGTTTGGAAGTTTAAAAGAGTCATGGACCTCTCCTCCTCCACTTCTGTAGTTAACTTGTTTAACTCTAGAAACAAGCTTTCGGAATTGAAATCTACTGACTGGGTTCAACGAGACAAAGGTAAAAAGACACTCTGAAATTTGTCGGTTTGAAATTCTCTGTGTCCTACTCTTAAGGGCCATGTACCACCTGTAGTTGAGAGAATAGGCCATTTCTGCATGTCTGAGGTACTAAGTGAAAGTGGTAATGGAGACTGTTCTGTATCCCACAACTGCTGCGGTTCCGTTATCTTGAACTTCCCACAATTTGATCGTGTTTCTCTAGCAGTGCAAAAATACATTTTTATGGTCTTGGTTTGTCTTTTTCTCAATTTGTTTTACAGTGTTTATCACTAGAAAGTCACTTTTGTGGTTGGCTAATGAAATAATTGTTGCGTACTGTAATGGTTACAGAGTATGTTCAATTTTCAAATGCTTCAGGGCTGAACTGTTAAAAGCATATGAGAAAAGTTAGTGAGCTAACCTCCAAGATAACATAAGAAGGGGCAATTTGTAGGGTAACTGAATGTATATAATAATAATAATAATAATCCTTGCATTTGATATAGCGCTTTTCACGTCGGGAGGACGTCCCAAAGCGCTTCACAGAACACACTGTAAAGTGAATTGACTGTACATTCGTGGGCGAACGCGGCAGCCAATTGCGCACAGCAATGTCCCACAAACAGTCGTAGATTAAAAATGAACAATTTATTATTGTTTTGTTTTGGAGGGATTATTATTAGGCTCTGTGTGGAGTAAGGAAACTTGCCCAAGGTTTCGCCCTCTGCCTGGAATTGAACTCAGGTCTCTCACTTGCAAAGCGAGTATACATGACAAATTTTCTGAACTATTGAAGCTAGAGGGAGGATATGCCATAGGTTAAGTTTAGAAACTTTACAGGAAGAAAGAGTTCAATGAGTGTTTTGCTCATTATAAATCTTCATTCATTGGCATTCTATTTTTTTATTCAACACAGCATTTATTTATGCAACACACCATATATTTCTTGACTCAAGAAAAGCTTCAATGAATTACAAAGTGGCCATAGTGCATGAGCTATCTCAAATTTGCCCCCCAAAACACTTTTTCTACCCTTTATCTTTTAACTTTGTTTTAAGATGTTGATTCAAAGAAGCACAATGCTAATATAGTGCAGTTTTGTTATGATGGACAGGAAGCGCTAGCCAACTGTTCGAATGTGCAGTCAAATTGCCTATAATACAGGTAGGGATTTCATGGTCTAAAACAATACATTACAATGGGGATCTATTGCATTTCTGAAATATAAAGAACATTAAGCCACTTTTGTCCTGATTATTTTGTGCTGTCCATTGCCTTGCCAATATTTATTGTTACTGCTTGCAAATAAAAAACGTCACTTGGGTGAAATATCAAAGAGTAACCAGTGCCTGTTGAACTCATGCACTACATTCTAAGGAAGAAATGTCAAATGCAGGTAGGAGAGGGAGGAGAGAAAATTTAAAAATTGTTTCTCGCACATAAAATCACTCAATAAATTCCATTCTAATTACCTCTTAGCAGTGAGTTTTTATTGAGTGGATGTTGTAACAGAGAAGCAAACAGCTGAGCCAGACATGTCATTCTCTTTAGATTCAATATGCTTTGAAATGTTTACAGTTTAAAAAAACTTTTTAAAGCAACAAAATTAAAAACAAGCTGTTGCATGCGTGTGTGTTTGCTTCCTGTCTTGTCCTTAAATTTCCAGACATTTTCAAGTCTGGGTCTAATTTTTTTAATTGTATTTGCACTGCTTTTTGACAGGGTTGCTCTGAATCCCAGTTTATTTACTTTTGCTTTAAAGGTTGCAACAGTGTTTTATTTATAGCCCTCCTGTTTGGTGTGTGTTCAGAATAGTTGATAATGTAGTATTTGTAGTCAGATACAAATGCTAAAATGCTAATTTAATGCATGAAATAACATCCAATTCCACGTTGAAAAGAGTACTGCTATTTAATTGGGTGTTCGGGAACTAGCTGCTCTCTGACCGTAGCTTTGGTTCATGGAATGTTGCTATTTGTTAATGCAGTTCAATATGTACGAGTCGTAAGCGCAAGCCAACTAATGGAATATAGAACTGTGCATTTTATTTTGTTTAGATGCTCTTCAACTCAAAATTGTCTGGTTCTAAAATCTAGAACTTTCTAATTCTTCTAGAAATTCTTCGCCCCTTTACTCTCAGATCTCATCAACCTCTCCCTGTCAACTGGTACCTTTCCCACCCCCCTAAAAACAGCTGTCATCACCCCTATCCTAAAAAAAAAACTTTCCCTGGACACATCCCTGCTCACTAACAAATGCCCTATCTCCAATCTCCCTTTCCAAGGTCCTTAAAAGAGTTCTTCCCAGTGTCACTCCTTCCTCTCCTGCCACTCCCTTTACGAACCCCTCCAATCGGGTTTCCGTGCCGCCCACAGCACAGAAACAGCCCTGGTCAAGGTGACAAATGACATTCTGTCCATCTGTGACTAGGGCTCTCTTTGTCTCCTTGACTCCTCTGCTGCCTTTGACACTGGACCACTCTATCCTCCTCCACCACCTTGCCTCTCACCTCATCCTTCAAGGTTCTGTCCTTGAATGGTTCAGATCCTATCTCTCACACTGTCAGCCATCAAGTCCTGGATGAGAGGCAACTTTCTACAGCTGAATGTCAGCAAGACCGAGGCCCTCCTGATTGGCTTGGGCCAGAGCCTCTGCACTCCAGACACTGGCATCATCAGCATCCATGGATGCACGTTCTATCTCACCAAGCCAGTTAGGAACCTGGGTGTCTTGTTCGACCCTTAACTGTCCTTTCTCCCCCACATTAGTGCCATGACCCGCTTTGCCTTCCACCATCTCCACAACATTTCCCAATTCTGCCACTGCCTCATTCCTCAGGCCATGAAACCCTCATACATGCCTTCATTACATCTAGGCTCGACTATGCCAATGCCCTGCTTGTCAGCCTTCCCAACTCTTCCCTTCACACGCTGCAGTTCATCCAGAATTCTGCAGCTTCTGTCCTCTACTGCACCAGGCTCCGTGACCCCATCACACTCACCCTCGCTCAGCTCCACTGGCTCCCCATCCCTCAGAGGATCAAGTTCAAAATCCTCGTCCTCACCTTCAAGGCCCTCCATGGCCTTGCCCTCTCGACCTCCGCTCAGCAGGCTCCGGCCTGCTCTATGTCTCCCGCACGGCGCGACCCACCATCGGCAATCAGGTCTTCAGCCTCTCTGCTCCCACCCTCTGGAACTCCATCCCACATTCCCTCGCTCCCTCCCTTACCTCCTTCAAGGCAAGACTCAAGACCCTCCTCTTCGATTGTGCATTTGGCCACCTTCCTACCCTCTCTGCCCTACAACCTTCCTGATCCCAACACCCCTCTGCTCGGGTCCTAATCCCTGACTGTTCAGCACCTTGGGACATCCTCCCAACGTTAAAGGCGCTATACAAATGTAATAAATTCCTTGTGAGTAATTTTGTATTGTGTGATTATAATTTATATTTAAAATAACAAAATTGTCAGAATAAATGATCAAGATTTGGACTGCTTGAAGTTTGTCCTAGTGACACTACCAGATTTGTGATCAAATCTGCTGGGGAATAAAACAGTATAAAATGGGTCGATACTACTACTAGTGCAAATTAATGTTTTTTTCCCTTCAGTCTAAAACCAAAGAGTATCGAACAGCTGAGTTTTTGAACCAGTCTCTGTGTTGCGATTGAGACATTAAATGCTGCAGCCAACATGTAGTCTGTAGGCATGCAAACCTGATCCCATTTGAGGACAGGAATTGTAATGAAAACACAAAATAGAATCTTAGGCTTTATAATTGTGTTGATTTCCCCCAGGTATTAAACTGGGGAAATCAACCAGGTTAATCTCCAAATGTTCGCACCCAGAAAGATTTATTTCTGAGGCATATGGGAAAAAGTGGATATGGTACATAAACATGATAAGATTTCTTCTTCTTTCTTTCTTACCTCACTCTTTTACAATAAATTCCTTTGTGAGTGGGAAATATCAACTGTATCCACACACCCCTTCCCGCCCTTTACCAATAAAGCACATTTGGCATATTGGTCCTAAATTTCCCATTTTGCAAGCAGGGATTTTTCCCACTCAGCTCTTGTTAACCCTGCAAGCCAAAACTAATGGGTAGGGTGGTCCTAACTAGACAAGCAGCGGGAAAGCTTGCCAAACAGTGACAAGCTATGTAGTTTCAGCTGGTTACATTTCAGCAGTACATTGTGGGGTTTCAACGCCTTGGCTCTTGTCAACCTGTGCCTAATATTCTCTAGAATTAGGTAAGCAATGTGTGTCAGGTGCTGACAGCATCAATCTACATAGATGCACACTTCACCTCACCTTGCCAGTGTAGAACCTTGGTGTCTTGTTCGACTTCAACTGTCCTTTAAACCTCACATCTGTACCTTGACCCATTCAGCTTTTCCCCACTTCGGCAACATTGTCGCCTCCGCCAATACCTCTCCTCTTTGGCTACCGTGATCCTTGTCCATGCTTTCATCATGTTCAGGCTTGACTACACAAACTTGCTGCTCGCCGAACTTCCCAACTCTTCATTCCACAAGCTGCAGACCACTCAGAAGTCTGCTTCCGTATCCTCTCCCGCACCAGGCTAGGATGGGGGTGAGCCCATCACCCCCATCCTACCCGGGCTCCACTTGCTCCCCCCTGCTGGTCTGCCTCCACTCTCTCGAGCTCCATCCTGGAATTCCCTCAACTCTTTCAAGTTCCGTCTCAAGCCCTTCCTCTTGACCATGCCTTCGGTCATCTTCCCACTCCTCTCAAATCCAACCCTCAACTTAGATGCGAACCCTTGGCAATCAGGCACCTTGGTCGACCTCCTGACGTGAAAGGTGCTATATAAATGCAATTAGTTTTTGTTGTCGCTCTGGGGAGAGAGTGCACTTTCCATTTCAGACCACAGGGAAATTTCCATCTGTAGGTGGTATACATTTCTGGAACTCTGTCTGATTTGCATTGTCTAAAGTATGTGTCAGACACCAGCTGACCAAAAAAACTAAATTTCCCCTACTGTATTCCTATGTTGG